AACTTAAGGTAGCTCTCGACGTACCTTAAGGCTTCCTCGAGTGGTGTTTAAGGTGTTTTCAAGTTGTTTTTTGAGATTTTGAATTTTGAGATTATTGACGAATTGGTGGATTTTATGGATTACGTATACGATGATGAACCATATAATCATACTAGTAATATTTCCTCTGCTAAGCATTACACTAAATTGTAATAACAGAGGACTACCTGTACCGCCTTTAATACAATGACTGGTGGCTTTGAAGTTTTACGTGACAGGATTATTTCAAGTAGATATTTACCTATGTTTGTTGTGTGATATTTTACTTTACACATATAATATGTCTATGCTATTATGCTTTATAACTTTGTTTGTACTCTCAGTAGAGGAATTCTCAAGTTTGTTCAAGATACCTACTAGAATAACATTTTGGAGGTTATTTGGAGGAACTCCTTAAGGAGCCCTCGAATGAGTTAGAGTCGAGGAACGTTTGAGGACGCGACTAAGAATGTGGGTGTAAATGCGCTAAAATTTGAGTTCGAACTTTTAATTAAGCTTATTTTAATCCTTCACCTATTATTAGCTATTAGCGTGTTAAATTATCGCCAGCCAAACTATCGTATATGAGGAGATCGATGGTGCAAGTGGTTAGCACGTTCGGCTGCGATTGTTTAAGTTATGCAACTTTCGTAGTGGCAGGTCGTTGGATGGGTGACCAGACTAGCTCGAGCTAGCTAGGGTCATGGCATGGCCTTAACTCTCTATTCTATCCATAGGTAAGGCCTGTGTCCCAGCAGTGAGGACATTAATGACTGATGATGATGACAGAACTACTTCAAATTTTGAACGCTAATTTTAGTGCTGTTAGTGCCAAAGCCACTCGAAGCTTCGTCGCGCAGGTTATGCATGCGCACTACGCTGCGTTGTGCAACAATGAGGCAAGTCAAACTCACATTAGTTTGTTGCGCTTTCAGGCCTAAACTACTGAACTGATTTGGATTAAATTTGGTACGCATATAGTTCATGACCTGGATTGAGACATTGAAAATTTTTTATCCCAGAAACGTCTTAGGTTATGTTTTTTTTAAGCAATTAACAGCTAGATGTTTAAATCTAAAGAAAAGTTTTACTAGAAAAAAATCCACGCAGACCGCAGGCAGCGGACGGGACTCGAACCCGTACCCTTCGCAATCCGGGTGAATGCACTGACCAATTATGCTACCACGGCCCTAGTGGCCGCGCCGAAATTTTCCTAGCCTTAAGCTGCAAGGCAGCGCCATTTCTCCGCATTGTAGGTAACCCACAATGTCAAATGAATACTTTTTCAAGCATTAAACATTTGAAAGAAAAAAATACCAATTAAAGTTATGTTTTTTTAAGCATTTAACTGCTAGATGTTTAAATCTAGATTAAAGTTTTACTAGAAAAAAATCCACGCGGACCAGACAGCGGACGGGACTCGAACCCTTCGCAATCCGGGCGAATGCACTCACTGCCGGAGTAAGGGGAGGGCAACCGGGGCTAAAGCCCCGGGTGCCTCCACATACGGGGGGCCCCCACAATAGAGACTTGGGAAAAAAAATCTTTCAAATTCCAACTAGTAAACACTAGTAAACATCTTTTCCTTTGATTTTTTTTTGCTCTTTTACCTTTACCTACAGCCTACAGTACTTTGTACATCTAACATACATGATTATTTGATTATATTAATCTTAAATAACAGAAATCATTGATCTATATTTGTCCACTCCAATCAGGCAATCGGTGAAATATCAAAATCTCAAATGGCCCTGTTAAGCACTTCCAATTCACTACCCATCTTGAGCGAGTACCCCAATCACTTAATGGCTGAGTGGGGTGGTATTTGCCCGCAGGGCCGAATTTAAGGTAGGGCCTCCACAATAGCTTAAGAAATAACAACATTTCGATGGGTTTACAAGAATACAAATCCTAAGTGGCCCGGGGCCTCCACAATCCTAAATCCGGCCCTGAATGCACTGACCAATCTTAAGTCTTAGGTTCTTCAGGGATCGATCAGTGGTTTAGGCGTGAAAGCGTAACAAATAAAGAAACACTGCACTCACGCATGCGGATGCAGATCTGCACAACGCAGCGTAGTGCGAATGAAGTGTGAGAATCGATTAAATTGGGAACTCGCCAAATTAAAAAAGGCCGATATAAAGCAGTGTCCACCTCGGGAAGAACACTATTTTAAGGCTCTATCGACGTACTTTGATTGCAAACCCTAATTGTTGTCACCGACAACGAATAATTCAAAAAATAAACTTTAATGTTAGCAACCTACGCGTTCTCTGTTTTTCTATTGCTCCCGATATAACTGGGTAGAAATAACACAAAGATAAAGGATGACGTTGGTTGGGAAATTTAAAATATAGATGAATAGATTTTCTATTATCAATAACTGTTTAAATTCAATATAATTAATTATTTGACAACTTGACGGTCTGATTTTGCGGACAACGGATATCGTCACAATAGCACCACAATATAACGATTGAATGCGAAAATGAAATGGAATCATTTCGTTTCGTAGCTATTTCTATTCGTTTGCTAAGTAATTGCATTTAAAGTAGCTAACTAAACGTCGCAAGGAACTAATCGTTAATTGATTTCAGCCGCCTTAACATTGACCATCAAACAGCAACAGAAATTGAAAACGCGATAAAAGCAGAAGTCCTTCGCTCATACCAATGTCACAGAAATAACTCTTTGTTGCGAAACTGAACAATCGTCTTTTATAGATTTTTATTTGCCTTCAACTTATCAATTAATGGTGTCCTATAATATTTTACTTACAGCACAAATAAATTTGGACATTTATAAGAGTAGGTACTAGTGCGTGTCCCCGACTTCGTCTGCTTGGGAAACTTTGTTTCCTATACAATCTTCCATCCCTTCAAGGCTAATTTCTAGGATAAAAACTAACTAATGTCCTTTTCCGGGACCCAAACTTTCTCTATACAAAAGGAGACCTTCGATTTTGCCAATTTTGTAACCTGGTACCAATTGTCACAAAAAAACATCTAACACTATAGTTATATTTTTATTTATTTTTAAGCATTTAACTACTATATGTTTAAATCTAAAGAAAAGTTTTACTAGAAAAAAAAACGTAACTATAATTGCTATTTCTTCTTTCAAATGTTTAATACTTGAAAAAGTATTCATTGGACATTGTGGGTTACCTACAATGCGAAGAGATGGCGCTGCCTTGCAGCTTAAGGCTAGGAAAATTGCTAGGATATACGGATACGTATGGAGATATCCATAAAATTACAGCTCTCTAGTGCTAATACCCTCCAAGCAAAACCGGGGACGGACAGACGGACATGACGAAACTATAAGGGTTCCTTGTCAGGACTACATCATCATCATCATCATATCAGCCGTACGACGCCCACTGCTGGACATAGGCCTCCCCCAAGGATCTCCACAACGATCGGTCCTGCGCTGCCCGCATCCAGCGTTTTCCCGCGACCTTCACCAGATCGTCGGTCCACCTTGTAGGACTACGGAAGTCTAAAAAGGCTCACTCATCAAAATCTCAATAAATACAATAAAAAATGCTAAAAATCTGAATTAAAATAGGGAATCTGTGTTTAAAGAAACGTTATTACTAAGCCGCAAATTGTCATTGACTTCGGGCAAAGTTATATGGAGAAAAGAATGGATCCTTTTATCTAAATTGGTTCAGCAGTTAAAGCATGAAGAGGTAACAGACAGATCAGACCCACTTTCTTAACTGTTTATAATTTTAGTATGGATTTTACTGCGAGGAGCTCGATGGTAGAGCCTGAGATCGTAAATGTCGAAGGCAATAAATGTTTGGTCACCCATATTATGGAAATTTAAAATCTCATAAAAGCTCATCGGAAGGCACATCAGTCGTTAGCTCAGGCTGCATTTGCCTGCAGTTATAGAACCCACCTTGTAGAAGAGCCTACATGGTAGGTTATGTCATGGCCCAATCTCCCTATTCCAAGCGAAGGGCTGCTCCAGCGGTGGGGACCTAAATAGGCTAACAATGACGTTAACTAATATATAAAATTCTCGTGACACGGTGTGCGTAATTGAACTACTCCGAAACGGCTCGACCGATTTTCGTGAAATTTTATATGCATATTCAGTAGGTCTGAGAATTGGACAACATCTATTTTTCATCCCCCTAAATGTTAAGGATGGTTAAATTTTTTCTTGGAAAATTTTTTTTGTTTTTATTTTTTATGATACATCATCACAAAAATACATATATATTTTTGTAATTGGTGGTAACCAACCCCTATTTTTAATGGCGGTACGAAGTTCGCTGGGACAGCTAGGAATTATAAAATTTCTCATGTTCAGTGGAAGGAGATTGCAGTCCAGCCACTCTTTGGCAAAAACCACTTGTCGAGTTTGTGTGTTAAATAGAATGCAGTGGCTGTCATTCATTAAATGGTTTTCCATTAAATGGATAGCTAGTTAAAACTGTCCAAAACATAAACCATCATGTATTATTTATTTTTTAATTTCATATAAAAACCTATACTTACATAATAATAATACTTAGTAAAATTATTTTACATCACATTAAATCAGTCAAGTAAAAGCTAAAAACTAAGTAAAGTTAACTCTGACTGAGCTGTTTTACAAACTTATTGTATCAGAGTTTGTTTGCTAATGTATAGATGCAAGGTGTACTGCTTAGATTATGCTATTAACTTTATATAAACCAAAACATTTTCTTTGATGAGATGTACTGTCGCGGAATTTAGCGCTCTGTCACTTGGCGAACAAAATGCTTTGAACGGTTTTCTACGGTAGTTTTTACTACGCCCCGCCCTCGCGTCGGACGCGCCAATCCGGGCCGCCGCACAAAAGTAAGACAGAGAGCATTTCATTGATTGAATAATGAATTGAATTGCATTTGTTTTTGTTGCAATTTGTCATCCACATCGTGATCGCGACAGCGCTATACGAAAGAAAGTAAAGCGCTAAAGTAAGAAAAGAATTTTACTACGCCGCTACCGCAAGCGATTATGGCATTATGGGTGACAGAGCGGGTCTTTCCGAGAGTGTACAATGCTTAAAGCCAGTAAATTTCGAAATTCTGTATCAGTCAATGATAAAAGTATTTGATTTAGGTATGATCACCACAATTTATGAGAAATGTGTTAAACTCCTACTAAGACATTGCTTGCTGTATTGTTTTGTATTTTCGCTATTTCGTCTTTGAATTTTGATATTGTTTCTTTAGCTAAATGCAGCTTCTCCTTTAGCTCTGATATTTCATTTCTAACTTTAGACTGAGCAGCTATTATCTTCTCCAAAGTTTTCTCTTTCTTTTCTTCAACTAAAACAAAGTAAAAAAATGTGATAATAATATGAGAAAAACTAAAACTGTTTATTTATTAAAATAACTTGTCATAATTTCCAGGAATAACATTATTTATCTTAGTGGGACCTGACACTAAATGGACACGAAATGAAGTGTTCAAACTCCAATCAAAATAAATTTCAGATTCTTGTTATTGACAATATCAATGGGGTTCTGTGTTAACATAACTAGGTTCTTGTGAGATTATCAAAAATATAATTAAGAACATATTATTGCAATAGCATAGTGATGGAGTTTTTAATCCCAAGTTTACCTAAGGATTTTTTTAAACAAAAGTTTATGCCAAACAAATTTTCAAGCAAAATCTAGTTAAATAAACTATGCATGCTTACAATTGGTATCATGAGTCCAAGGTCCGTTTGTTATTGGTTTCACACTATTCAGTAGATGCTGCATCAATTGAGTTGGCTCTTGGAAGACTATCTCTTCATATGATTCACTGACCAAAGCTCTACCCACAATCGGGGGAGCGCCCTCCGTTACCGGTGATTGGAAAAGCTTCAAGATGTGATAGACTGTGACCTGCAATGTGTTATTTGCTCATTATTATATACCTATGTTATTCAAAAAACCATAACTATTCACATGACATGTATTGAGGTACTAATTGCATTGTAAAAAATTGTATTTGGTTTGATGTCGTCATCATCATCATCATCATCATCATCAGCCTATTAATGTCTCTATTGCTGGGGCACAGGCCTTCCCTATGGATGGAATAGGGAGATTGGGCCATGACGCACCACGCGGACCCAGTGCGGATTGGTAGGTGCTAACGGCTGTAGATGCAGCCTGGACCAATGGCTTAACGTGCCTTCCAAAGCACAGAGCTAAAGCAGCGAGATAGTAAATTTTTGGTCACCCATCCAATGACCGACCACTGCGACAGTTGCTTAACTTCAACGATCGCAGCCGAACGCGCTTACCAACTGCGCCCTCGATGGTTTGATGTAATGATATTCAATGTCATGTGTCTGACAAAACATTAAGAACATTAAGCTTAATTACTACAGAGTTTGTCAACAATATACTTACAGACTTTCAACTACAACAAAAAGCGTAAAATTTTTATTGATACAATTAGATTATGCTTTATACTCACAGGTCTCTCATTGGGATCATGGAAATATATCTTGATGACTATCTCAAATTCACCCCAACCGGTCTCTGTCAGTTCGTAAGGGGGCTTCATCACTATTCTGTTGGGGTTGGCGTAACTTTCGTGTAGCTTGAAATGCACCTTCTTTATATATGCAGACATATCTTCGTTGGCGTACGGTTTCACGTACACAGTCCATTGATGTGTGTGGCCGTCCTCTTCACGCTTCTTGCCGAAATAACGAGCCACATTGCCGTAAACAATCGGCTTTACTATAACCAGCCCCTTAAATTTTGTAAATAATCGTTTAAAACCAGTAATACTTAAGAAAACTTTGAAAAACTTTAGGAGTGTTCAAACCTTTACTCTTCCACCCGAATCAGGGCCGAAGTCTGTAGGTAGGCTCATATCAATATCTATTTTGGAACTCAGCTTGACGTATTGTGTGATTTAGGTTTGTAATTTAATAAATTTATTCGGTAAAAATGGAAAAAACAAGCACCAACAACAAGAAAACAATGAAATTTTAACCATAAATATAATATAACGTAACACTTGTCACTTTTTTTTTTGTTGAAGTTCTCCCGTTTTAGGGAAGGCAAAGGGAACAATGCCCATACAGCCTAGTCTTTAATTAAATTTATCTTCTTTTTATTTTTACATTAGAATGTCGGTGTGACGCATTCTAATGTTTCTTGGAGTGTTTGGCACGAAATGTATCGAGTTGGCTTTTTCGATAAGCTTCTGTAAGGTTGTCAACACTACAATATAGTTCTCATATCCACTTGACCGGTATAGCGTATATTTTAAAGATTCCACTAATTCTTTAGTTTTAAGTTTTAACATAATATCACACCAATTTTATTTTACAATTTCCACGAACGAATTTAAGAATAATTAAAATAAGACGCCAACCTCACTCGATAAAATACCGCCAAAACCTCACTGTTTTCTTTTAATGTGTTTACCGTTTCAGGTAGGCAAAGGTGGTCCCATACAGTGTTCCGTTTGTAGTTTATCATCATACTGAAATTTGAATTACCACAGATTGTGTTCCCAGCTCTCAGAAATATATATCCCTTAAGCTAATGTCGTAATGTCGAAAACCGCTGAAATCGGTCAAATTACTTAGATAAATATTCTTTAAATTGTATCCAAAAATAAATACTAGCTTTGTTAGAAAAACCGGCCAAGTGCGAGTCGGAGTCGCCGTGAGAGGAAAAATTATTTATTTGTTTTCGTCGCAACTTACAAAGTACATTATGTATCGGCGTAATCAGTATTTCTTGTTTAAATACAGAATATGGGACAGCACATACCAAAATTTCACATTCACTAGATCCCATAACAAAAATGGTCTAAAAATGTCCACTTTGCCTGCACCCTATTTCTTTGTTATTGAAAGTAAAAAAATATATTAATGTTCTACTGAACGAGATCTAGAGCTAGACAATGTGCCACTTGCTATGATAAAAAATGAAAAGAAATCGTTACCTCTTCATATTCGGCTTTGGGCAAGTATTCTACATAAAACACAAAAAATTCAATCATGTAACTCATTCCGTTTACGATCTAGAGACCCGTGACATATGGACAGACAGACAGATAGCAGAGTGACAGTAAAAGCATTTCATTTTTTTACCTTTTGTCAAGTACCTATCTACTATATAGTATTGATGTAAAATGTTGCAAAAACGGGTAAAAATATTCCTTTTGGGAGATTTCGTTGCATGCGCTGCGGTTATGATTAAAGCTACATAAAAACTATTTTATTTTTATTGCTTATTTATTTTTATTATTATATATTTATGTTCTCTATAAAACTTTACTACATCACTTTGCTCTATTGTCAATGACTTCCGCAGCGTAAGCCTAAGCGTTAGAAGGTTATTTTTGGTATTTTTTTTTACACCCTGGGTTACATTATCGAATTTTTCGAAATCCTAACTTTTTTTAAAATACTATATAGCCTATATTCATCAGGGATAATGTAGGATTCCAATGTGTAAGAATTTTTCAAATTAGTCCTGTAGTTTCGTAGCCTACTCGAAACAAACAATCAAATCTTTCCTCATAGATGAATGAAGAGACCAATCATTCATCTATGTTTTTTCTGTTTATAATATTGGTATAGATATAGATAAGTTATATAACTTTCTTGTCTCAAGTAGGTCCCTCCTACTTTTCTTTTTTATTGGCAAGTCTTTTGTAAATTAGAGACGGAGCCATTCATGAACTATGTGCGCCCAACACAGAATGTAAGGCGTGAGCCGAAAGAAACCAATTATAAGATGCAGTCACTCTCATTTTAAAACAGAGTGAGTAAATCTGTAACTACTAATATTCACAACTAGAGGTCCCCATGTGGTTTTACCCGAGTTAATTGTAGGAAAAAGATAATAGTGAGTCACACTTAAAAGATGGTATTAAGTATTACAAAATAAAACACTATTTAACTTTATATTTTATTCATTAATTCTTATCAGAAGGCAAGTGAACAATGGTCCGACAAGCTCATTCACTTATATTTAAATGCAATATATTTGAATAACATTTAAACTAACTACCGTCTTATTTTCTAAAATGTTCGCTCTACTTTATAATGAGCACAGATTAATACAATCACAACAATGAAACGGTGGGTTTTTATCACGACGCCGCCGCCCGCCCAAGGCTTATCAAAAAGGGTTTCTTCTAAGGTAGGCCGTAAAATGAAAAACCAGTATGCAAACACAATTCTTTCTATGAATGAATTGTGGTTGTAAGAAAAATTCACATTGCGCAATCGTTGGCAATACTTTTGGCTATACTTATCTGTCATATATGTATCCATAGAGAAGGCCTGTGGCCCAGGAGTGTGGCCAATAATAAATAGGCTATGATGATGATTGATGATATATAAATACAAGCATAATTTTATGTCAACGGGGAAGTGAGTGATCAGATCACCACCAGGTGAAAACGGTAGTGATAAAAAAAACGCATTCATTACTTTCACTAATGCGTTTTGCCTACGTCAAAGACCTACCCTGACCCTATCCTCTATGCCCCATGGATTTGTCTGGCAACTATATTTCATTAACTACATCAATATCGTGCTTTAGCTGAAATTTTCTGCAAAGTGGAGGGTACTTTCTTAGGCGGACGCTCCATTGCGAGCGGGTAAACTACTATTCCCTACCTTATATTTGTAAGCTTTAAACTTGCACTACCAATATCAGTCCTATTTCCATAAGATAAAGACTATGTCAGTTTTAAATCATAACCACTGAAGAGTCCTTGATTGCGCATAAGTTAAAATCTTTAGATATAAAAATCTAGCATAAATAAATAATATCATGAAATTGATACCCATTAAATGATTTTATATTTTTAAACCCACGTAATAAAGCTTATGTAATTGTCAACCAATTTAATAAACCTAAACATATTAATAATTAACGACAAAATTGCACAATGCAAATTTTTCCTTGCCCTGAGGTTAGAAGCCGTTGGGTCAGTATTAAAATTTGTGGTCGGCTCGTGAGTTTTCCGCCTCCGCTAGAAGAGGGTTACTCTCTTCCTCGAGCCTCGAAGACCTGGAGCCGTGTCTGGACGCCGAGACTCGCTGCGTGAAGGTGACCAGGTTGGGCACCAAGCCGCTGCACGGAGTTGCCGGCGCTGACCTGGACGAAGCTCTAGTTCCAGGTGAGATCCTCGTAGTTCTAGTAGGGTAAGCGACCAACGGCATGTATAAGCTCGATTTCCTGACTTTGGGTGTCTTTTTGACGCTCTCTAAGCGTCGGTGGCGTCTTTCGTCGCTGGGTCTTCGGAGAGTGGATTCTCTGGAGGTTTGCGTGGGGCTGGTGGGTTGTGGGGGGGATTCGCAGGCGTTCGGTCCATCGGGTGATGGACACGAGAATAAGTGCCTCAGTCCGTAAGCTTCGTGGTCGTACGCGCCTTCTTCTAGAGTGGAGGGGGAACGGTGGGCGGGGGGTGAAGCACCCAGGCGCGGCTTGCATCCCCCGTCACAGTACATCTCGCAGTCGATCAGTTCCAGCTCTAGATCAAACGTAGGATCCTGAAAGATTTGCGTTGATTCATTTAACAGGATTGGTAGAGCGGAAATTTTTGGGAAACGATACTTCGTTTCCCAATTTTGATTAGATAAAATTTTAATGATATATTGTGTGTTGTGAGTTGTCCAGAATTACATGTATATAAAGTCTAGTTAGCTTCCGCCCGCGGCTTCGTGCCCGTTAACCTTGATTTCGCTCAACTTTTCTCTATTTTTTTTCGTAAGAATTTGAAACAAAGTTTCAGAAAACTTTCAAAAACCAGCCAAGTGCGAGTCGCGCTCACGCACGAAGGGTTCCGTACAACAGTATTTTTTATTAAAAAACAGCATATATGGGACATCATATAACAAAATCTCACACTCCTAACTAGTTTCGATTTTCAGTTAGACCCCGTAACAAAAATGGTTTAAAATGCCAACTTTGATCCCCACCATTTTTTCTTTGTTGAAAATAAAAAGTAATAAAAGTTATATTTACATCCTACTCAACGATCCCTTGACAATGATGTGTCATATGCTGCGGTAAAAAATAAAAAAAATATTCATCGTCTCCTTTATACACCCTCATATACACCCTCCATTAAAAATAATTAAATAGATTTTTTAACAAAATTTGGTTTTGGGCAAGCAATTTACATAAAATACCAAAATTTCAGGCTTGTAACTCATTTCGTTTACGATCAAGAGACCCGTGACATACGGACAGACGGACAGACAGAGTAACAGCAATAGGGTTCCATTTTTACCCTTTGGGTGCGGAAGTCTAAAAAAGATGGATAAAATAGGTAAAGTCGTTCTCAACATCCTTATGATATAACCAAGGGAAAATAAAGATTCATTTTAACCGACCTCAAACAAAAAAAGTAAAATAAGAGATTCTCAATTTTAACCTTATTTTAGTACACAATAAGATTAAAAATGTTTACTCACAAAATCCTGAACAGGGGAAGTTATAAGGTTGTCTCTGAACGTCTGCGAGGACTCGCGCGTGCGCCCGTTGTTAGTTGACTCTGACGCTGCCCGTTTCCTCGGGCGCACCACGTGATGAGCGACAGCGGGGGCATGAGCGGTGGCGGGCGCGGGTGCGGCAGCGGGGGAGGGCGCGGAAGCGGACGCGGGCGCAGGCGCGCGCTCCGTCAGCGAGGACAGCGAGCGTAGCAGCGAACGCCCGCACCCCACGCCGCTGCATTCCTCGTAGTTGCTCGCGCACGAGTATGGAGGCGAGATGATCGAATTTGCCTAAAATACAAAGGACAACTTATGTGACTGAAATCATCATCATCATCATCAACCTATTAATGTCCCCACTGCTGGGGCACAGACCTTCCCTATGGATGGAATAGGGAGATTGGGCCATGACCCACCACACGGGCCCAGTGCAGATTGGCGGGTACTAACGACTGCAGATGCAGCCGGGACCAACGGCTTAACGTGCCTTCCGAAGCAAGCAGGAGCTCGAGATAGTAAATTTTTGGTCACCCATCCAATGACCGACCACTGCGAAAGTTACTTAACGTCAACGATCGCAGCCGAACGCGCTAACCACTTGCGCCATCGAGCTCCTCAATTTGTGACTGAAAACATTTAATTTTTAGTAGCTCATTCTGTTCGCACTACAAAATTAAATGTTTTCAGTCACATAAGTTGTCCTTTTATGTTAAAACGCAAAAAAAAAATCTGAACTCCACAAAAAATAAATATTCCCACAGAACATAGAAAGAGGTTATGTGTGACCAAATTCCTCATAACTTGACCAAAATTTGGTTCTGATTGCTTCGTTTCGTTCGGGTGTGAGCGCTGATTGGTCCGATTATTTGATTTCGCGTCGTTTGATTGGCTATTATCTATTAAGTGGAAGGTGTGGTGGGAGTGAGCCGGCGACATCGGTTCCCGCAGAAACGGTATACGATCACCCTTCTAACCAATTTCTGTGTTCTGTGGACATTCCAGACTCTGGCGTTTGAAAATTAAACAATTCATAGACTGGCTGCTTGTTCACTAGCACATATGAAAGTTTTTTTCTAAATAGAAGAGGATCTTCTAATAGCGAATTAATATAGTAAAAATAATTAAAAAAAGAACATTACGGGTAACTTATTGAAAAAGGGTCTCTCCGTTATACTTGGCTAGTTACTAAAATAATAAAAAAAAATTGGAAGGTTACTTTTCGATACAAATCAATAGAAACTGAAGTGAAATCTTTTCGGTTAGGCGATAACTTATTTTTGTGTATTCCTTGCGTATTTTTAGTTTTTTTTAAAAGTCACGAATAATTTTAAATTTCTTCATTCAGGTTTACCTCATTTGCTGCATTGCATATGAAACTGGAGTTGAGAGATTCTGCAGTACTCGTCGCTGATAGAGAACCTACGAAGCCAAAAAGAGGAATTTCAATTACTACAAAACACAATTAAATAACCTTCGTAAAATTTTCAACTGCTTTATTTAAGATACTCCTTGTACCGGGTGGGTGCCTAAAAATTTAGAAGCTAACTGACCCCAGTTATCAGACTCATTGATCCTCTTTCCTTGTGATAATGAGATCTTGTCTCCATCAGCTATGGGATAGAGTAATTGTTTTTTACAATATTTTTATTTCAGCATTTAACTGTTACATATTACATATTATAGTAATATAAGTTATTTACGGGATTGTTACCATGTACCTTGTTTTTACCGAGTTTCCGATATTTCAGCACTGTTGCAAGCGCCATGATCACGGAGTAACAATACTGTAAATAACTTATATTACGATAATGTTAGTGACCATGAAAGTTTAAAACAATATAATATTACATATTTTTATCTAGAGAAAATTTTAACTAGAAAAATGTCTACTGATCCCAGATTACAATATTTTATTTAGCTATAGAAACCGAACTAAAAATATTGTATCGTGATCGTATCCCTATTTACTTTGCACCGAGCATCTCGACATTTTCATTCCCAAGACGTTTAATTTGGCAATTATTCATGGAAGAAAATAATGGTTAAGTATGCACACAAACATACAAGCCGTCTACCTGGGTGGGTATATTAGGGACTCATTCGAATAAAATCGATATCGCCCATCGTATGTGATCTGCGTGTGCGCACCGCGATGCGCTCGTATCCGCACTGCAATTGTTGAATGCGGTGGTTGGTGTCTTGGGAATTAATTTTTCATTTTAATTTCCAACCCCTAATGTTGCGGATATAGCCGGTCTCGCTACAAATATTATAAACGAAAGTTGGAGAAAATATAATTAGAAAAAATTCCATGCGCAGCAGACGGGACTCGAACCCGCACCCTTCGCAATCCGGGCGAATGCACTGACTAATTATGCTACCGCGGCCCTCAAGCACTGCGTCGAAATTCTTCTAGCCATTCTTAAGCTGCAAGGCAGCGCCATCTCTTCGCATTATAGGTAACCCACTATGTCAAATGAATACTTTTACAAGTATTAAACATTTGAAAGAAGAAATAGCAATTATGGTGCGGCTTCGAGTCCCGTCTGCTGCCTGGTCCGCGTGGATATTTTTTCTAGTTATATTTTCTTTAGATTTAAACATCAAGCAGTTACATGCTTTAAAAAAATAAAAATTATAACTATAAACGAAACATATTTAAAACACTAACAGTTTTCACATTTAATTTTGCAAGCCTCAGAGCGCCGCTATGTTTTTTGAACACTTCTTTCACTGGATCTAACATAACGATAGAACCATTTATCGTTCCAACAGGTACTTGAATAGCTACGTCCTCAGTGTACCGTGCATTGCACAAATACTGATTCCCGAACAAATGAACAGCGGTAATTGAGTTAAGAACTACGTCAATATTTTCTCTCCGTAATGACAAAGCCGATTAGCTTAATGCCTAACCGAAGTGCCTGCAAAGTTATACTCATTGCCAGTAAACAGTATTATAACTAATACGTATGTGAAAGTTCTTTTAAGATTGAAACCTTACGACGTTTTATCAGCAACTATTCTAGTGTTTACGGGTTAATGCACGAAACTTTATTTATTTATTGACGTTTCGCAGCCTTTTCAGGTCTGCATCGTCAGAATAATGATTTTTTATTTAAAATTGTCGAGCTACCTTCGAAAGACTTATATTGAGCGTTCGGTTATTTCATTGGAAGATTTTTAATATTTTATTGTCTATGTATGAATTTATTATTTAATTTACTTAATCAAGTATTTTATTTAAAATTCTTGTTTGTAATTTTGAGTTTATTTATTTGACCCTAACTACCGTAAACTACCACCGGTTCCAAAATTGGGAGACCTTCCTGAGAAGAACCGGCGAAACAAACTCAAGAGAGGCTTTCTATCTCCTTCTTATTTTAATTTTTAATAATTACTGTGATACTGTTTTTGGGCCCTGCCTCATGTCTAGAACAAATAAGCTCATCCAACGCGTACAGAACGCTTGTGCTCGGTTCTGTTTTTCTGTACCTCCTCGTTCACATGTGACTCCTTTCTTGAACGCTGCAAAACTGTTAAAAATGGAGGCAAGGATGAAACTTCATCTGGCTACACTATTATTTGATGTGCTGGACAAGGAAAGACCAAGCTATCTTTATAATAAACTTGTATGGATGCGGGATCACAGTCGATACCCAGTAAGGCAGTGTGGGCATATCTTTGTAACAATGAAGCACCGAACAGCAGCTTTTCGTGGATCCTTTAGATTTGCAGCCACGAAATGCTGGAACGATCTCCCGCCGCCAATGCGTAATCTGAATACAATTAACACATTTAGGAAACATTTGAAAACACATTTACTACATATGCAAAGCTTTTCATAGAATCTACGACTCACGAATTTATAGTTTTTCACTTTACGTAAACAGGCTTGCGGGGATTGATTCTGGGTTGTTGGCCAATACTTAAAACAAGTGTAAATTAGTTATCATTCTCACATGTGGCCAAAACGGTCACATATTTGGGGAACACGCCACCCACTCTCAATTCAATTCGTTTATTACATATTCACAATGTACAAAAAGATACTCTGTTGTTCACTAAGCATGTTCAGATAGTTTTTTCTAACACCCTTTTATATGTTAGTATTTTTTGTTAGTAAGTATAGATTTGTATTTTTTTTTGTAAATAATTGTTTCATATAGTTATAAGCCTCGTCCCTGCCAGAATATCAGCGCCGCAGCGGCCCTGGCGTCGCTGTGGCGCTATGCTGAAGCAGGGACCTAGTTGGCCTTTTTTTTCTGTTGTTGTATTTGTTTTGTATAATCTATTTTTTTAAGGCTAATAAAATACTTTCTTTCTTTCTTTCTTTCTTTCTTTCTTTCATTATTCTGACGATGCAGAGCTGAAAAGGCTGCGAAACGTCAATAAATAAATAAAGTTTCGTGCATTAACCCGTAAAAACTAGTTTTATTTAATGAGTGATGTGCGTGAAAACCTAAGAAACAAATAAGCAACTATTCTATTGTCTCGAAGATTGATATTGAACCTCTTTTGTTTGAAGTATTTCGTCAAATCTTGAGAGACAACAACATTTCTATGAAATGAGACACGCTCCAGATCAGCTATGTATTTTACTTGTTTTAAATACCTACCATGCGTACGTATATGATTTATGATAAAATTAGATAACGAATCGAAATTCAGTTGACAGGAACTTACTACTTACAAATTATCCTGGCCGATAACATTTTGTTTCCAACGGGAAAGTAAGAAAGTAAGTAGCGAACGCATTTAATGCTCTTCATTCACTCCCAATCTAGCATTGCAGAATTATGATAACCATTTAGAATTATATTTTGTATTTTTTTTTAAACATGTTACTGCTAGATGATTTACATCTAAAGAACATTTCACTAGAAAAAATTACACGCGATCCCGTCTGCTGCCAGGAGGCCCAATCGCCTAATGGTGATCCTATGACTGTCGCTATCGCTTACGATTTAATTTTGTTATTTCTGACTGCCGAAGGTTTTGAAATGCCTCGCGCATTTTTTTTTCTGTTGCATTGACTATAACAATATTAAAGAAAATGAGCGTGATGTCTTTGAAAACCTTCGGCGGTCAGAAATAACAAAATTAAATCGTAGGCGATAGCGTTACCCATCAGCAAGCCCGTTAGACGATTGACCCCCTGGTCCGCGTGGATTTTTTTCTAGTAAAATGTTCTTATTTACAAATTAGACAAATTTGAAGAGAAATATAAACAAGCAAATATAAGACAGGCTTAAACAGTAACATAAAGAAGCGATTAAAATAGTCACCTGGTGCTCGGATGACATAATTTCTGAAGTAATGGACCATGAGGTAGTTACCGCCAGCCTTGTTCTCGCCTTCGCCGCATGTAATCACCAGGGGATACAGATCGGGCTTAGAAGTCACCTGTACAAAAAATATACATGTATAGAATAAGAATGATACCGCTTAATAGTAAAATGGTAATTCTTTGAAAAGTGTTCGCCGTAAAACATTCGTGGCGAAATTTTATAATGAGTTTTAAGAAAATATAAATTTATTAAAATATTTAAGACTTAATAATTAGACGTAATATCTAGGAACCATATAAGTAAATTGTTTAAATTTTACCGAGAAATGTAATTTAAAAAAAAATGTGTCCATGAAAATTACGAAACGAACTTGCCGCTAACAAAATACCTTGCCGCTACCGAAGAACAGCAGTTTTACTCCCGATTCCGATCTTTAATAAATATTTTAAAATCTAATATAATAAGGCTACATTTACAATAGATTAGGTTTAACAAGCGTGTGACTGCCAAAAAGGGTCCTTGAAGAAATATCCAAATACACTAGAACAATAGAAAAGTGTTATGACGCTACGACTTATATAAAATATACCATTTTATGTATTTTTCGAGACAACGTTTGTTTTTACACTTACCATTATTTTATATTGGCTACATATACTTTGAGATCATTGTAACAGTTAAAAAAACTTTTCCAATATTTTTATGATAACTCATTTAACATGCTACACGTAGCTGCACGTAGTGCTACACGTAGCTGCACGTAGTGCTACGGCGTAGTTCTATTGTGTTAGTAATGTAGCAAAGTGAAAGTACTTCGAGATAAAGAATTAACAAAATTGAAAGAACAGTATACCTGTTTACAATTATTCGCAAAAGGAGTGGAAGGAGTCGCGTGGCTGTAGTGCTGCGGGGCGGGTAGATGGACCCGGCCGAGTTGTGGTCAGTGCATTACCTCAGAATACGGCGGCGATTTCTGGTGGAAAAAGTCGCAGCGGCCGCAGCGCGGGGTAGATGGACCCGACCGAGTCGTGGTTAGTGCATTACCTCAGAATACGGTGGCGATTTTTGGTGGAAAGAGCCGCAGCGGCCGCAGCGCGGGGTAGATGGACCCGGCCGAGACGTGGTCAGTGCAATACCTCAGAATACGGCGGCGATTTCTGGTGGAAAGAGCCGCAGCGACCGCAGCGCAGGGTAGATGGACCCGGCCGAGACGTGGTCAGTGCAATACCTCAGAATACGGCGGCGATTTCTGGTGGAAAGAGCCGCAGCGGCCGCAGCGCGGGGTAGATGGACCCGGCCGAGATGTGGTCAGTGCAATACCTCAGAATACGGCGGCGATTTCTGGTGGAAAGAGCCGTAGCGGCCGCAGCGCGGGGTAGATGGACCCGACCGAGTCGTGGTCAGTGCATTACATCAGAATACGGTGGCGATTTCTGGTGGAAAGAGCCGCAGTGGCCGCAGCGCGGGGTAGATGGACCCAGCCGAGACGTGGTCAGTGCAATACCTCAGAATACGGCGGCGACTTCTGGTGGAAAGAGCCGTAGCGGCCGCAGCGCGGGGTAGATGGACCCGACCGAGTCGTGGTCAGTGCATTACCTCAGAATACGGTGGCGATTTCTGGTGGAAAGAGCCGTAGCGGCCGCAGCGCGGGGTAGATGGACCCGACCGAGTCGTGGTCAGTGCATTACCTCAGAATACGGTGGCGATCTCTGGTGGAAAGAGCCGCAGCGGCCGCAGCGCGGGGTAGATGGACCCGGCCGAGTCGTGGTCAGTGCATTACCTCAGAATACGGTGGCGATCTCTGGTGGAAAGAGCCTCAGCGGCCGCAGCGCGGGGTAGATGGACCCGGCCGAGTCGTGGTCAGTGCATTACCTCAGAATACGGCGGCGTTGCCTGGTGGAAGGAGCCCCAGCGGCTGTAATATGGTGGGAGGTATATAGATCTGGCCGAGTCGTGGTCAGTACATTACCTCAGAATACGGTGGTGGTGCCTGATGGAAGGAGCCGCAGCGGCTGTAGTGTGGTGGAGGGTATATAGATCCTGCTGAGTCGTGGTCGGAAGTCGGTCGTCGCATGCAGCACGCGAACGAGCACATATACACGCCGTGCGACGACCGCTTGAAGAACAGGCACCAGATGCAGCAAATCAAGATCCCGCCCAAGGTGCCGAGAAGAAATAGCACAGACCTGAAATGAGAAAGATAAATTTGCATCAAGTATGAATAAAAGGGTTTGTTGCCTTTTGGTGGTTTTCATCTTCCGAATAGAAGACTGTCGATGCGCAGTCACAGTTTCTACAGACCTACATTATTTAGGTCTAAGATCTAAGAAAAACACTTACCAAGGGCAAACCTTAGCTATGAAATCTGGCCAGGAAGTTTACCTCTGTGAGTGCTACTAGCTCCTCAATGAATGAGTGGCCAAAAGTTTATTAACATTAGCCTCTCCCTTGCTCTTCATCTTTCTCATTTATCCGGGTTTGTAGTCTTAGTAGAACAGCAGGCTGTCCCGCAACTTGACACCATGCGCCTATTTTGCGTGAGGAATGGCATTAGTCATGACATCCTAGCTCCGACAGAAAGCCCAACAGGCCCCGGACGTTGCTGCAGGCTTCTACTAGTGTCCGTGGAGTTCCCAGTAGAGAAGTGCTTTGTCTGTGCCTCTGATTAGATCTTTCTTTCTGGGTGATTCTGACAAGGAATTTGCCTCTATGCTAAAGATGATACTGACCATTGAGCATACCACGGGTACGGATAGGGCGGCTTCTCGTATGGCTCGTCGTCACGGTGCGTGGTCGCGGTGCCGCCTGCGACGGCACAGCAGCCCTGCTCGCAGCACTGCCACCCGCCGGGGCACTGCCGCCCATCCGAGCAAGGCACGTCACCACTGCACTGCAGAAAAATAACGGGTATGCTAATGCAATATTTACTCTTAATGGATGTGAAGTTTTACGTGGCATTACCACATTACCATGACGTGCAATGGCCGATAAAGCACAAAGATTTGATTTTGTAACGAATAAACCTTTAAAAGGATTTAATAAAATCTTTCACCATCAGAATGCTACATTATCCCTAAATAACATATATTTATTTGCGTTAAATAAAATTCACCCGTTCAAAGTAGGGGTCGAATATTCTCAATAAGCTTAAATATACTATAACAACTTTTTACCGCTCGAATATTCGGAGATATGAATAAACTAAATTGTTTGATTAAAAAATCTGGAAGAAACATGATAATAGTGCTTTTATCCATTTCAATCCACTAGCGCCACCTAACGGTGCTTGTTAGCCGTAACAAGCATAAAATGCGGTTAAATAACAGTCACTAACGAAAAAAGGTGGTTATTAAAGATTTTAACCTTTTTAAATCGCATGTTTAAAATCTTAAAGTCATGGCCCAATCTCCCTTTTCTATTCATATTCTACGGACGGGCTTGATTAAATCGGAAAAGGGATGAACAAATATAGATAAACATTGGCACACATAAATATAGTTTATTACCAGGATTGAGACAAAGGATATTTCATTAGGACAAAGGATTATTCCGAAAAAATGTTGGGTTCCTGAGGGATTCTCAAAAAAATATAGTTAACGTGGACGCAGGCGCAGGCGGCCGCGAGTATAATAATATTTTTATTATATAAGGCTCAAGCTCAGCTCAGCGCCGCGCCTGCCGGCCTCCCCCTTGGTCCTGGCACCTTGTGAATTCGGGTTCTGTCTATGTACATTCTATTCAAAGGCATGAATGGCCGAAATCACAGGGTTGAACATTTCAAAATAAACTCCGCTTTGAAAGCTTTCATAGAAGATCTCAAAATTCCATTTTGCTTTTGAATGGTATGCGGTTGCCTCTGACATAGACTTGCATCAAAGAACCACGCTCAATGCAGACGCAATGTTTACCCATTTTTGCAAAGCCATGGTCAGATTGAAAAGGTTCTGCAGGAAATTTGTTTCACTTCAAAAGCCTAAGCTTTATGCGAATAGAGCAATAAAGTTTGTAATTAATTTGCGGCGGTATATTTATTACATACCTAGAAAAGAATAAATTCGTAGTGGTTTTCTTATTAAGTAAAAAATATTTTCTTCTTTTTGTAATCCAGAATTACATCACCTAACTAAGTAAGTACTTGGTACCTGTCCTAAGGCAGGCCAGGTAACCTCTTTCACATTTCTTAAAACAATCTTATACAAATTGAGTACTGTTTATAATTGAGGTGTTCCATTGTTTTCTCCGAAAATACTTATCAGATCTTCACCAAAATATTAAGACCATCTCGCCTAAAAACTAATATTTTAAAGGAAAAAAATTGTTAGTGTGTGATTGTGTATGTTTGTTACTTCTTCACGTCTAAATGGCTGGAGCGATTTTAATAGAATTGAGTATGCAGTTAGCTGACACCTTGGATTAAGATATAGGCTACGTTTAACTGCGGGAAAATATCCCTAACTGGAGCATGAACAACAATAAAAAAAAGTACTGAAGTATTTAAACCTCCTCCTTTTTGAAGTCAGTCAAAAATTTAAAGGAATATAGAGTGAAATAGCCCAGTCAATATTTATAGACGTATCTAATTATACAGTGAAAGAATTATCTACGAGTATGAAGCTGGAAATTGGTTTTGGCTGTAATACATATAGATCAGATAAACATTTTTTTGTGTCGACATTAGTGTAAACATGTGTCCCGGTTTAGTGTATTGGCTGTCCCGTCCTGTCTCCATGGCTGCGTCACGGACACTGAGCTACATCGCCACTACATCTGCAACTAAGTGTCGCGGCAGTGGATACACAGAGACAGTCGACCCCCTTATTAATAACTAGTGGCCCGCCCTCGCTTTGCTTCGGTGTAGAGCTGTAGTGTAGACTATAGTTTTTGTTCAAAGTCTTGTAATACACAATGACTTTTTTCATAATAATTATAAACCTTCCATTCCAAGTAAAAAATTCGTTGCGTAGTTTAGGACCCGTTGTACCGAATGCAACATTGCTCTGCTGTTCCGATTTGAACCCTAACTTTTTTGAAAATACGCTATAGCCTTTATTGATCAGTGATAATCTAGCATTGAAATGGTGAAAGAATTTTTAAAGTCGGTCCAGTACTTTTTGAGCCAATTCGTTACAAACATACTTACATACAAACCTTTCCTCTTTAATATTAATATAGAAAAAGGTAATAAGCTTATAGCTTAGACTAGTCACTCAAATGGCCTTTGTCATTCAATAGATAGAGACAAAACATGGAGTAACTAATCCAAGCGTACTCTTCGTTTATCTCTGTTTATATCTGGTGTCGTCATGTATCCTTACCATTACGATGACTTTTCTATATTCCTCCTGAGACCCAGACCACAAAAAGTTTATTGATTGTCATGAATTTAGGAAATAACATTAATTGTGATACATATAACGTAAAAAAAATAGTAAAAAAAATCTATCCCCCCTAAATATTTCAAAATGGTGGGTGTCACCAGTGACACAACGGGTTCAAATTAGATTAAAACAGGTTCTAATTAATCAACTTTTTTTTTAAATAAATTAACTTTTTCTTTAAATAAATATGAGATATTTTGGTGTTTCCGAATTATAGTCGTTTTATTGACTAACCAGTAATAATCTAGCTTTAGTGAAATCATTGTGTAGTATGAAAAGTATTAAAAAAACGGTTTGCATTAAAACTTAGAAATATGTTGCAGCTTGAACACTTAACGAAGGGTTGCTGATTACATGAAGTAAGCCGACATTTTGACCAATTTTCCTTTATAAACATGGGCATGTGTTGAGCTTCTTTTAGTCGCTTGACAATGTGGGGAATGGGTTCGACAATTCTACGTTTTCGGTTTGAAGACAGGGCTTCAACTTCGAATTCTTCCTCTTCTGTTTCAGTAACAGGGCTACTTCGAGGTCTATTCCGAGTGATACGTTTCTCTGGCATTAGGTATTATGCCGCTTCTATGCTGGTTCCCCCTCCCTGATACAAATAAAAGTCCAGTGGAAGTCCATTAGGATTTTCCTTGGGTTTTCCTTTCACGACCTGCTTCATTTTACACTTTCCTATAAACGGAATTATTTGTTCACCTATTGCCACATTTTGGCATCTTTGGTCTTGTCTACAACCATGCACAATAGTGGATACCAGAGGACCAATTTCATAGAAGACGTTATTAACTGATCGTCAACAACTTTTATGTTGCTCCTCAACTGAAAATATCTGTTGGCGTCATAGCAGTAGCCACTAATAGTGCCCTGATTTCCGCAGCCTGGACCACACGAAGTTCGCATTTCTTCTGGGTTTGGGATCTTAAGATCTGCCAGTTCTGTGTATGCTGCAAATATTAGTACAAAGTGATATTTGTACAAAAAATCAGGTTTGATGATTTGGTAAAAGTATTCGTATATTAAGTAACGGTGGACCCTCATGAAGATTGTTTGAAGGGCTCTGGAAGTTGTTTGTACGATCCTATGGCAAGGGGCGGCCTGTATCCATATCCATCCACAAGGATATCCATCCTTACGATACGAGAACTCACTACAGAGGAAAGCGGCTCCTCGTCTGAATTATTCTACTCGCTACAATCAGATGACTGAGGGATTTACTCTTCAGACTAGTCTTTTTCTTCTTGAATGAAGTTTTCCTCTTCATCTTCATCAACATCTTCGATATCGGAGTTATTGAAATTAAGAACTGACTCTTCTATTTCAGCTTCTCTCAGTACTGTAAAAGTTCACATTTTAAGTCACGAGTCACCAAAGTGTCACCTGTGACACCCAAATAAAAGGGTTAAAATACGGGTAAGATATATTTTTTTTCCTAATATTTATCATCATTATTGAGAGATCAATGAACAGTGTACACAAATAACACAAAACAATAACGACAAACGTAATTAAAATAAGATTTACCTCTCCGGGATGTCTACATGTCGGTATTTGCACTTATTCAAAATTGCAACTAAAATTTTCGCTAGATTCAAACTCCGAATAATGGAGCTATATCCACCTAGCGATTGAGCACAAGTCGTAACCTTTCATGCCATTGCTTTAGTTTGCAGTTACATCAATAAATGGCGCGACAAAAAAGGGTGACACCAGGGGTCTCAGGAGGATATATAATTTATTCATCATCATCATCATCATCAGCCTATTAATGTCTACACTGATGGGGCACAGGCCTTCCCTATGGATGGAATAGGGAGATTTGGGCCATGACCCACCACGCGGGCCCAGTGCGGATTGGTGGGTGCTAACGACTGCAGATGCAGCCGGGACCAACGGCTTAACGTGCCTTCCGAAGCACGGAGGAGCTCGAGGTAGTAATTTTTGGTCACCCATCCAATGACCGACCACTGAGAAAGTTGCTTAAGTTCAACGATCGCAGCCGAACGCGCTAATCACTTGCGCCATCGAGCTCCTCAAGTTATATATTTTATTATGAATCCCTATTTTCTTTAGTTACTCTATAACTTGAGAAAGACTTTTACCGATTTTGTTTATCAGTCTTTTGTTTAAGTTTTCTTATGGCTGAATCTCACCTGTCTTAGGGTGCACGAAAGACATTACTAGGATTCGGGCACTCGAAGCAATATTTACACTAGAATACTGACTGAAAAACGGTGTTGGGTAACCAAAACGAAAGCGACCCGAATACGGGGGTACTCAACTCCGTTCATTTACACTTAGTCGTTTACCCGAATTCGGGTTAGCGACCAAAAGTAATCACGGCATTATAAATAAACAAATAAAATAAAATAAATATTTCCAATGGGATGCTAGAGTAACAGATAGTATACATAATACTGTACATATCTTTATATATATAATTCTTCTGTGAGTGTGTATGTCACTGAACTTCTCTTAAACGACTGGACCGATTTTGATGAAATTTTTTGTGTGTGTTCAAGGGGATCTGAGAATGGTTTAGATTCAAAATTTTGTCCGCTGGACAATATTTTTTTAATTAATTTTTAATTTATTAGTAGTTGTTGATTTTGGAATGTTTTACATTGGATCCGGCAGACGGCGCTACCATCGCAGTGTCAAATCTTTATATATATAATTCTTCTGTGAGTGTGTATGTCACTGAACTTCTCTTAAACGACTGGACCGATTTTGATGAAATTTTTTGTGTGTGTTCAAGGGGATCTGAGAATGGTAATTTTCATCAAAATGGTCCAGAATGTTTTAGCTTATTAAAAAAAGTTTGAAATTTTCAAATTAAAGACGTGTAGACAGGACAACGTCTGTCGGGTCCGCTAGTATAAGTATATTTATATAGAAATACATAAACATCCATGGGTGGAGTACAAATGCTCGTATTCATCACACAAACATCTGCCCCCACCGGGATTCGAACCCGGGACCTCTCGAGTCGGCGGCACCATGAAACCCGGCGTACAAACCACTCGGCCAAGGAGGGCGTCATACGTATATGTCGTATATTCAGTCTCTTCTTCTTTGACGATCTCCGTGGCTAATTGGAACCCCGGGTTTCAAGGTGTCAAGGGCGGATCCACTTCACAATCTGTACCCACTGTGACTTGACCACGACTATATGACCCCCCCTGGCGCCAAAGCTGAATCCGCCCTTGCCTACTCTATAGGTCCCGGGTTCGAGTTCTTATCCCGGTGGGGTAAATGTTAGTAGGTATGATGAATACGAGCATTCGTACCTTAGCCATTGTTTCTATACTTAGTGCCAATAGAATTCGGGTAAACAATTAAGTGTAAATGAACGGTAAGTACTCCGTATTCGGGTAGTTTTCGTTTTGGTAACCCGGCTTAACACCGTCTTCCAGCCCGTATCCTAGTGTAAATATTGCTTCGGATGTCCGAATTCGAGTAATGTCTTTCGTGCACCCTAATTAGGGCTAACGACCTATTGTAATTAAGACAACGATATAAAATACCCTAGATACACCACGGGTGCTCAAAATGTGTCCCAATCAAGAAGTGCTTGACACCACTCAAGCACTTCTTGGTTCACAGTTACGCGCGGACCGTTGAAAAGTCATTATGCCCCAGAGCTCCGTGAAAAAGCACTTAAAGTATGTAAAGTGTCGTTTTTTCGACAGGTATCTAATCAATGTTTGTTAATTTAACGCATTTGAAGCAAATTTTGTTCTAATACTGACCATAATAATGATTTTAAAAGAAAATATTTGTAGTAATATTCAAATGCATGGTCGGTTATATAACCGTCTCTTTTCCTCGCAGTCTATACCTGCTATATTGCTAACAGCGCATTCAGAATTGCGCATAGAGTCAAAGGAATAAGGATAAGTCGTAAAATTTTACGAGCTTGCATTTCGAACTGTTATAATTCGTTGACGCATGCGTTTTAATTAAGACCTTATACCTTATGCGGTAAAGGTGACTTTCAATGTTTAAATAATGCCTTATATTGTTTTTGACTACGCCATCATCTTACGCAGCTCCGTGGATCGTCCAATGTACCTTTTAGCCAGGTTTCGGCCACAATTTTGTTCGTGTTGTTGTATCTAGGGTATTTAATATCGTTGAATTGAGCCATAAAACAGAATAAAATTTCCCATAATTTTGTGGCTTTTACTAATTCAGTTAATTGTGTTGCAATAGTGACGCTACGACCTACGGCTGCTGATGCTACGACGAGAGTGCCCCGTAGTTTATGCTACGGTCTACCATATTCATGGAACACCATCTGGTGAAAAACGCGGCATAGTATAAGTCGCGGCACGAAACTCTAGCGCCGCCCGTTAGCATTAGATCGTACAGCATTTGTGAGTGTTCACTCCATCGAGACAGAGTTGCCATGTCACAGGACAAAAGCTCCAAAACAAATAAGGTTAACAAAAAGGGACTTTACTGTGTACTGTTTTTGTTTGCCATTTTTTTTTAATTACAGAGCACTCATAAAAATTAAACATACGCCTAGTTGCACTAAACCTTTTAGTAAGGTTTACTTTTATTGAATATACAATATGTTTTATTGAATACAGAATTGGGAAAAAATAACCGGGACTGTGATACAAAGAAACTCATAAAAGAAAGGCATCTTTGTATCATCCTTAGCAACCAACAATTTATGTTGCGGAAAAAGCGCGGGCGAATTTACAGCGCATGTTTACCGGCCGATCGATATTAAATTGTCAAACGGGAGAAAGCGGCATGTTTTCATGTTTTTAACGATATAAAAGATTGCCTTAAAGTTATTTATGAAACGGTGAAAATTGACTGATTTGTGTTAAACACAAACAAATACTTTTATTCAACATAGGTTCTGTTGCCAAAAACCTTGTTTTGGTACGGTTAAAATGGAAGTCTATTTATTTTATTAACATTTAAACTTTAAAGCTCAAGGAGAAACTAATTTTGCACCTTTTTTAATCTTAATAAATTTTATGATTTTACTTCTTTCAGTAATTGTTTTTTTAACAATTCTGTTAAAAACAACAGTTCTGTTAAAAAGAAACATAGTTTAAACCATGATGTTGATGGCTCTGTAATTGTGTCACCTTCAATCATTCACATGTTTCAAGATCGAAATCACCATACTTACTGGTACTGGTTTTAATAAAAAAAACCCGAGCATTGACAAAGCGAATAAGGCGTAAAACATTGTTGCAAAGAGTAGGGCAGCGCGGCCGGGCATGGGTCCCCTCAAATCATTTGGCACCGCTGGGCGTGAGTGCAAGGTGCAGATGCACCCTGCTCCGCGTCACACGCGACAACAACAGCACTGGTTCTTTATGGGAGCCACATCGCGTCCCCGCGCCATCTATCTCTCCCGGAGGGTCGCGCGGAACTGCCTTAACTCAGTACAGTGTTACCAGAAAGCCATTTCGCCTTCCCCCCAAAAACTTACCCGAAATCTCCCCATAATACAGGTTTTTGAAGAAAAAACCCCCCCACATGCAAAATATTTACTGGATCAACATCTTCGTACGCGGTCGTCTTTCCCACTCCTTTGTTATTCATCTTACATAACTTTTTTTTAATAATGCAACTATTTTACCAAGTTGCAAACATTAAAAGGACCAACCAAATCGCGACTTAGCAAAGCAAATATGATACATAGTTTAAATCTAAAGAAAATATTTCTAGACTAGTCAAGTCTCGTTCAGTCAGAACGAGCGACTGAGTGAGACGGAATGGACCGAAGAATATTTTTTTTAATGGGCTTTGGACTTAGGGGTCCGAATCGGGCTCACAGAATGAACACAGTTCAGTGAGCCCGAATCTGGTATGATTCTCGAAGCCTAGTAAAATTAAATTTGACAAAAGTCTATCCTTGTCATGCTCTATACAAAATGAGAAAGAGAGACTGTTGATCGCGACTCTTTACAGAATAAAAGTTTATGAAGTGGTTTTATTTTTATATAAAAATGTAACACTCGTTTCCCCCAAACCAAAATTTCTTCCCCCCCCCCCCCCCCCCCCCCCCCCCGAATCACCCCAAAAATATTTTTCCCCCAATTATCCCACCATCGCTATAAAAATCCCCCAAATTTGGGGGTAATCCCCCCAATCTGGCATCAGTGCTTCAGTAGAAGCGTAACCCAAGGACCAGTCAACACAGACCTCCCCTTCCTCCCACCTCTTCGGCGTCTGAAATGTGGAAGCCTTCGCTAACTACCGATCTTATTTCACTGAACAGTGGGATCAATTCGCATAAACACGTTTACTGTTACGCAGCATTCAAACCAAGCGACGCATTGCTTATTGCGAGGACTCAAGGTAACTTTTTCAATGAATTAAATTTTTGCACAGCTCACAGTAACTTTGCTGTAAGAGCAGAATATGTAAACAGCAAATAAGCCTGTTACGTATGAGGCTATTTTTATGTCCCGTCCCGTATACATAAAAAATGGCACGACAACTGGAAATTTTAAGGCTACATTTTCGCGCAAGGTCTTAACCTACTCGTAACATTGATTTATTTGGCTTTTGATGTTATTTTTAAGTAAGTAGAATATACGGGTGATTTTCCCAGGCTGTAGATTTATGTGTCGAGGCTGAAATCAGTAGTCCACACTAATTTCACAATTACAAATACACATTTTTTTTTAAATAAAGGGCTTTGATATCTTCATGAGGCAATATACTATTTACCGCATTAACCATTTTCTAAGTATGGTGGAGCGTCCAGAAACCGTTCTCTTAAAAGATTTGTTAATTATGTCCAATATTGAGCAAGTTTTTTGAATTCATGATATATACTAGTTATTTCAACTCTCTACAATTTTATTATTTTTTTCTATGGCTCTAATTTACATTTAGAGCATACCAAAAAGGTTCATCGGCGTATAATTGATAATTTTGGTGGCTATACTGTAACGCGTGCTAACATATTATTTGCAAGTTAAAAATAATCACCATTTGCGATTCCTAGAATCTCTCAGTTACTCTCTGCCAAGTGACAGTGTCTAATGCATTCTTATCTGCTGAGATTTTCCACCAAAAGTATAAGTTGAACAAGTATCGGCAATCTGACAAAATATTATCAATGTAGGTGTTTACGCGTTAAAATTCTCATGACGAAAAAATACAATTTAAACTTGGACAGTTCGAGTTTTAAGGCACATTTTTTAAATAAATGAAAAATTTAAAATCATATTTATACTTTATTGAAAATGAAACAACTTTGACTCGTTTCTAATTTTGGTGTTGCAATTTTATTAGGTTCGGTGGCGGATTAACAGCTACCAAAATTGTTTTAATACACCAAAATTAGACGATCGGTTATAAGGGACTTTTCAATTCCATCTCTGATTTAAAGAAATGTTAAAACAAGTAGACCTTTGCCTCAAATAAATTAGTTTTTTTTATATTTTAAGCATTAACTACTAGATGTTAAAATTGTGGGTTACCTACATCGGAAGAGATGGCGCTGCCTTGCAGCCTAAAAAAGGCTAGAGTAAATTCGATGCGGCCGTCAGGGCAGCGTTAGTAAAATTGTCAGTGCATTCACCCGGATAGCGAAGAGAGCGGGTTCGTCCGCATGGATTTTTTTCTAGTTAAATTTTCTTTATGTTTAAATATTTGTAATGATTTACTTTTTACATGAACTGAATATACTATACTTGTGTAGCGTGAGGTCTCCGAAATGTCAATTACCACAAGCAATAACGTTTGGTAAAATAATGTTGTGCATATTTGGAAATAACTCAGATAAATTATGGCATGAGTTACGTGTCAATGAAACTCAGTGATACAAAAGCGGAGTAAAGAAAAAATATTTGCTCTGGTTTTTTTGAACAAACCGGAACTGCGCAACACTGTGGTATATTCGATTACTATGTTAACGATACGGTTGTTTTGTATTAAAATATGATTCAAATGTAAACTTTGATTTAACACGCGTATTAACAAACTTTAAAAGCTACACTTCAGGACCTTACTCAACAGTGGCGCCATCTAGTGAGACAAAAAACGGTAGCCTTTGTGGGTTGACTACGCGGGTTTATTTCTAATTAAATTGATTTTGTGAATATTTATAAATAACTCCGATTATTTATGGTAAATATGGTTAACATGTCAATGAATGTCAGTTATAAGCGGAGCTAACATAAATTATTATGTCCTCCTTTTTTCCGAACAAAACGGAACTGCGTAACACTGTGGCATGGCCGATTTCGTTTACACTACGGATGTTTTGTATTAAAACATTATTTAAATGTTACATTTCATGCACGTATTAACAAACTTTAAAAGCTACACTTTTGGACCTCATTCAATAGTGGCGCCTTCCGGTGAAATAAAAAATGGTTGCCCTCATTGAAATATGGTCATCCTATTAGAAAGTGATAAAAGACCTCTGTTCTATATCTCTTACGCGTCTCATTTTATCCCCAAAAATCATAGAAATATATATTTTTTTAACTACCAATGGCAATGGTTTAAATTAAGTTTTAAATTTACAGAATCGTGCTAGAATCGACACCATTGTTGAGCTATTATAGACTTCATAGAAGCATTGGCGTACTTTATTATAAATAAGACTGACACTGTTGATTGTTAACATAAGTCTTTCCTTTTCTGACAATAGAGAATGACAAGGATACACTGTTGTCAAATTTAAGTTTAGGTTTAGAGAGTCATGCCAGAATCGACACCAATATTGATCTGTAGCAGCTCAGATTTTTCCTGTCAGAATTCTATTCAGTTAAGGCCGCTGCACACGTGACGAGTTTTTATCCGGACGGGACGGGACGGGAAGTTTTGGAAACATCGTTTCATACACAATGGTTGCTTTCCAATTACAGAGCATAATGCGACTCAGTGCCGCACAATGCCGAATTATGCTGATGCTTAATTGGAACGTGAATTAGTTTTCAAATGCACCAGCAGAGTGCGCTAAGTTCAGTGTTAAAAAAAAAGTCAATGTTTGTACCTTCATCCATATTTATATTTAATTTTTAACACAGTTTGAATTAACTTTGATAATTTAAAAAAAACTATGATGAAACGAAAGTTTTAATAATTTTTCGACAATAAATAATATTACTAACGATAACATATAAATAAAACATTTCGATCAATGCCAACTTAAAGAAAAAACACTTGTTAATTTTCTGTCTCTGAGTTGGTACAATTGCACGCATCACACGAAAACATTACTTTTGAGAGTGCTCAATTGTGCGAAGCGTTGCTGTAGTTGGAACACTCAACGTTAAGCATTATGCCGCATAATGCGCTATAATGCTGTAATTGGAAAGCTACCAATGTATCCAAAAACGCATACGCATTTTTTTTGCAATAAATAAATAAACGCATATGTCACGGGTACATGGACGGGGCGGGAACGTGGACGGGAAAAATATCGTCGCGGACGATGTGCCCCGTCCCGCTCGTGGTTTCGCTACGTATGCATAGCACAGTCACTCTGTTCTGCTCATTCCGAACAGATTTGTAATGACGCATTGATCTGAGAATATAAAATTACATTTCCAATTATTATAAAATCAACACTAGCACGTTAGATCCAAATCATTGTCACGGTGCGTATGCGTTTGCACCACGTTGTCGTTTTGAACGAGATAATCACGTGCCCGTCCCGCTCACGTCCCGTCAGAAGTATTTACTCGTCACGTATGCAGCGGCCTTTAGAATTGTCCACCACCCTCCACACTTATCTGTGCTGCTCAGCTGCTGCAAGCTGCTGGCTTGTGAGGTGACAGATGAGGTGTCAACTGTCCTTAAAGCATTGACACTGCTGTGCATTGACATAAAAGTATCAAAAGAAAGAAGTCTTCATTTTCATCTCCATAATTTTTTGTGATTTTGTCGGAACGGTTCACGTTCAAATAATACAAAAATATTAATTTTATAAAATATGCGGTCTGTAGTTTTACTATTGATACTTGCTACAGTAGCGCACTGTTGGGATGACGGTGATTTCGAAGTGTTTGACGTGGTTGAAGAAGTGAACCAAAATTTTTACGAACTTCTAGGAGTAAAACAGGTAGCAATTCCATTAAAATACTATTTTTTCTTAGTCTCCCATTATAGATAGGAATTATTTCCATCAGTTAATTTTGATTGAATAAAAAAAAGAGGTTAGTTTGATTTAAAAATTAAATTATTTATTTCTCTATTTTTTGCTTGTTATTTTAATTAAAGGTATAGTCAGAGAGTCGTAAGGACATACATAAACTTTTTTTATTGAGTAAAGTTTTAGGTCTTGGTTTATGAGTAATATGATAGGATTATAAATTGAAAAATCTGAATGAAAATACTTATGTAAGTTTTGTTTCTCATTTGTAGGATGCAACACCTGCTGAGGTGAAGTCTGCTTTCAAAAGGCTTACTTTGAAACTACATCCAGATAAAAATGATTCTCCTGATGCTGATGTGCAGTTCAGAAACCTGGTGTCTGTTCACAACATACTCAAAGATCCAGGAAAGAGGGAGAAGTGAGCGCCTTATTTTGTTTAGCATAAAAGTCATAACTATGATGTCTCAGTGATAAATGTTCATATTGATACCATCTTTATTACCAGTACTAAGTTTTATTTCAGATGAATTAGTATGTGTATTTACTGTCACTCTGTACACCTATATTTATTCTTTTATAAGTTTCAATTACCAACAAAACCAACTTACAAAAGAAACTCTTTCTATTTGTTTCTTACCTTTAAATGTTTTTCTTTCCTAGATACAATGAGGTTCTTAAGAATGGTTTACCAAATTGGCGATCAGCTGTGTACTATTATCGACATGTTAGAAAGATGGGTCTTGCTGAGGGTTCCTTCATATTGTTCATAATAATTACCTTTGGACAATATGCTGTTGGTTGGGCAGCTTATGCAGAGAAGAGGTATACTGCTGTAAGTTCATTTCGTTCTATCATAATAATGAGTAGTTGTAATGTTACTAGAACATTGAATACAACAATTTTATTTTCAGGAACAAATACTAAATAGTAGAGGTAAAAAGCATTCGAAGAAATCAGGATTTGATGCAGGGCTCGCTGAGATATTAGAACAATTGCCAAAACCCAGTATTAAAGACACATTGCCATTCCAAATCCCAAGATGCATATGGTGGTCTATTACTGCCATCCCTAGAGGTGTTATGGAGTTAAGACGGATGATGAAGGAGAAAGAGGAAGAAGCTAAAAGACAGAAGAAGAAGTGAGTATGATTTCAATTTTGTTTTTTTCAAATCGGCTGCAGATTTTTTTTTGGTATTATGCAAAATACACATACACACCTCTGTATTGTATCTTATGATTATCTTCTCCATGCTTTTAAAGTTATTAAAAATATTAATTGTACTTCAATTAAAAATATTTAACATGAAAACATCCAGAAATAGGGTGTTCTGTGGGTCAATTATATTATTATGGTGTGCATATTCAATACTTTCTGTCAATCATTACATTTCTCAATAAGATTCTCCCAAAGATATGCCGTATTTTTTTATATAACTAGTGGGTGCTTGTATCTTCTTGTATCTGTAAAGAATAATTGAATTTTCAGTCAAACTTGACTCCACTCAGGTTTTATTTTCAAGACTAAAAGTAGATGTTCTTCACCGAAGTCCTCTTTCTCTCCATTCCAAAACTCATCAAAATCAGTACAGCATGTAAATTAATTATACGAGTACCATGAATGTTGCTGTATGAAATAATTGTATTCTTTATTACAACTTCTCTATTAATCTATGCTCAAAGTTAAAGAAATAAAAATAAGACTAATATAAGAATTTTGAATCACTAATAACAGTACTTATTTAAAAAATACTTATAATAAGTTTTTATAAGCCCTATCAGCATCTCTATCAATTTATGATTAACTTCTTCAATAGGCTTAGATTATTGGTCAGCAACTATTCTATGCAATCAAGTACCTAGATTGTCACTTATGCAAGGTGTTTCTGAAGTGCAGTAAATTTTTGCACAATATTGCTCAAAATGTGACAACATTCGAGCTTTATACCCAATGAGGTCAATATAAAAAAAGAGAAATGATTGACTTCCAAGTTATTCTTACAACAACAGTACATTCTTTCTTAGTGGATTTGTTATGCTTCTGCAAGGCATTGCAATGCATTTTTGTAACTAGCTGCCATTAAAAGTAGTTTAGTTAAATAAGATGAGAAGCTTAGATATATAATTAATTAGTATATCAATCAATCAATTTATTTGTTCAAATATGAGTACATAATTTGGAGTTACATAATTTTACCCAATATGGGTGTAGTGAAAACAGAATAGTATATCTATTAAACAAAATCCGATATTGTCACAAATCAATAATTATACTTAAAATATAGATTAAATTTGTGATAAAATCAACCTTAAATTAATTGAGTCAAATTAAATAGAAATAGTTCATATGTCACTTAAAAATATATAGTATATTATACCTAGTTTAGTATAGTTATTATGGGTTGTGTATTTGTCTACTTTAATCTAATTAAATGTTAAAATTAGGACAGCATGATAATAGGTAAGAGGAGCTCGATGGCGCAAATGGTCAGCGCTTTCGGCTGCAATCGTTGAAGTTAAACAACTTCCGCAGTGGTCGGTCAGTGAATGGGTGAACAAAAATTTACCGTCTCGAGCTCTTCTGAAGGCATGTTAAGTCGTTGGTGTCGGTCTACAGTCAGTAGCGCCCACCAATCCGCACTGGGTTTGCGTGTTAGTTCATAGCCCAAACTCCCTATTCCACCCACAGAGAAGGCCTGTGCTCCAGCAGCCCACTGATATTAGACATTAATAGACTGATAACGATCAACCAAAATACTCAGATTACGCAACAAAAGGCAGATGAAACGGAACACGCAGGTCATCATAGCGAATGCCAAGTCAAAGCTAAAGACTTTTTCTGTCTTTGTGAACAGTTTTTGCAATGTTTAAACAAGGCGGCACAGTTTAGATAAAAACTTAATATTCACGGGACGTATTCACAACACGACGCGTTGTATTGTACTGACGCGAGTTTGTATTTGCTTTTAACTTCGTATCCATATTTGCTTTGGAGGCCACACTTGCGTGTTCTGCGCGTTCCGTCTGCCTTTTGTTCTGTAATCTGAGCAGAAAAACTGTTTTGACGGCCTCTAGCTAAAAATGATTGTTACATTGAGCAAAATGTTATTACTTACGCAGCGCAGTTTTGAAGCCGTTTTCTGCTCGATCATAAACATATATTTTTGCTACAGCCCGTTGAAACTTATAACACTAAGTGAGGCGATAGATGTGTCCGGAAGGATATGTAAGCAGATTTTAAGACCGATTAGGCCACAGAACACACAAAGAGGTTAGAAGGGCCTTGTGGGCGGCGCAGGCGCGCCACAGTTATGTGTAAGCAAATGCTACTAACTTGACCAAAACTTGGTTCTGATTGCGTCGTTGCTCTCGGGCGTGGGCGCTGATTGGCTGGATTGTTTGATGTCGCGTCGTTTGATTGGCTATTATCTATTAGGTGGAAGTGTAGTGGGGGCGAGCCGGCGACATCGGTTCCCGCAGGTACGAACGGTCTTTGAGCACCCTCCTACCTCTCTATGCCCCTTATTAATAAACGTGGACTAAGCTTGGATTAATTACTCCATGTTTTGTTCATTGAATGACAAATGGCATTTGAGTGATATGAACAAAACACGGCGTAACTAGTCTAAGCTTTCCTTGTTACCTATAATGCGAAGAAATGGCGCTGCCTTGCAGCTTAAGAATGGCTAGAGGAATTTCGACGTGGCCATCAGGGCTGCGATAGCATAATTGGTCAGTGCATTCGCCCAGATTGCGAACGGTGCGGGTTGAGTCCCGCCTGTTGCCTGGTCCGCGTGGGTTTTTTTCTAGTTATATTTTCTTTAGATTTATAAATCAAACAGGTACATGCTTAAAAAATAAAAATTATAATAATTCCTTGTTTATTAATAAGGGGGTCTGTGTTCTGTGGATATGGCTATATAGGGAAGAGGAAGACCGCGTCCGCTCGGAGCGCGAAGCCGCGGCGGCGGAGGCTCGCGCGGCGGCCGGGCCTGCGAGGCGCCGGCGAGGGTTCGAGCCCCCGCCCGCCAGGGACTCCTGCCTGCTCGACGCGGCCGACGAGCCGGAGGGGCCTGTCGTGGTGCCTGTCAAGACTGCTGTGAGTATAAATAATAATAAATAAATAAATATTTCCAACACTCACACCAATTAGCCTAGCCCCAAAGTAAGCACTGTAAGGCTTGCGTTATGGGATGCTAGGGTCACGGATAGAATACATATCTATATACATATATAAAACTCAAAGGTGACTGACTGACATAGTGATCTATCAACGCACAGCCCAAACCACTGGACGGATCGGGCTGAAATTTGGCATGCAGGTAGATGTTATGACGTAGGCATCCGCTAAGAAAGGATTTTGATCAATTCTACCCCGAAGCGAAGCGAGGGCGGGCCACTAGTAAATAAATAAATATTTCCAATACTCACACAAATTAGCCTAGCCCCAAAGTAAGCACTGTAAGGCTTGTGTTATGGGATGCTAGGGTAACGGATAGAATAGGTATTTTTTGAAGCTATACTTCTTTAGGCGCGTTATGAAAAAATGATGAGAGTGAAATTTTAAGATGCGCGCGCATCACTGTAACACAAAAAATTACTAATTATACTTTTGTGTTTACCGCACATTAAGAAAATCTACCAACAAGAAATAGAATCTCTATTTAGTGGGTGCCAACGACTGCATTGTGAAGGCCTATCAAAATTATTTATTAATCTGGAACAACGGAACCAAAGCGCGATTCAGGAGACTACAGCGCCATCTTTTGACCATTGGTGTAGTAGAACCAAAAACCACATCTTTATTTTTTGTAATAAAGTAACAGTTATAGGTATTCATATTTATAATATTTATCCACATGTTTCTAGTTTGTATATTCGGAATACGTGTTTGAGTTTCATACAAGTGCAAATCACATATGTTCTAATAAATTCTAATTGAATATTTTGATTATTTATTTATTTTTTCAAATTAAAACTGAACTTTATTGACTGTGTCCTTTTCCAGACTTTTTATTAATTTATTGTAATTAATTATTTGCATGCAATTAAAAACTAATTTTAAACGATGCCAAAGAAGGATAACTTCTCACGCGCCTACATAAGTACACGCACCCATTTTTTTTTTGTATGTCTTTGTCTCCCCATCCACAAAAAAGTATAGACTTTCTTCCATTACAAAAGTGCATCATAAAACTAAGAGTGAATTCCTCAGGCACCCCCAGTCATATCAGGAGGCTTATGGACAGACGATGACTTGGCCGAGCTAGTGAGACTGGTGAAGAAGTACCCAGGAGGAACCAGTGAACGTTGGGAGAGGATAGCCGAGACGATGTGTCGCAGCGTGCCAGAAGTCACGCATATGGCACACAAGCTGAAAGATAATTGCTATAAAATACCGGGTCAAGAGGAGGAACCCCAAGTCGTGGAGCCACCGAAGAAGGTAAGAAATGAAAGAAAAGAATTAAGAGATGAAGGTAAGAAAAGAATTAGAGATCCTCCGTCTTATAGAAGGCCACATTAAAATAACCTTTTAGTGGTGTTGTGTTTTAGACAAGCTCGATGGCGCGCGTTCGGCTGCGATCGTTGAAGTTAAGCAACTTTCGCAGTGGTCGGTCATTGGATGGGTGGCCATAAATCTTCTATCTCGAGTTCCTCTGTGCTTCGGTAGGTACGTTAAGCCGTTGGTTCCGGTTGCATCTGCAGTCGTTAGCACCGGTCAATCCGCACTGGGCCCACGTGGTGGGTCATGGCCCAATCATCCTTTTCCATCCACAGGGAAGTCCTGTGCCCCAGCAGTGGGGACATTAATAGGCTGATGATGATGATGAATTTTTTTTCTGGTGACAAAGGTTCCGGGGCGGGATTGATATTGTTTGTATCGGAAGCGTCTATACTCTATCTATAGTCTATGGAGACCGCTTACCAAAGTGGGCCATAAGCTTATTTGCCATTCTTTTACAAAAGAAGAAAAGATTTGCATGTCTACCTAGCCCATTATTTAGTAATATATCTTAACCCTTTCTGTTAAGAGACTTCAACTAGCACCTTGAAGAAGAAACTATATTCGCAGTGGTAACCGCGTTCGGTTTGCGATCGAAATTAAGCAACTTTCACATCGGCCAGTCATATGATGGGTTGCCAAAATTCATTGTTTCCTGCTTCTCTGTGCATCGAAAAGCAAGTTAGGCCGTTGGTCCCGGCTGCATCTGTATTCACCCAACACCCATCAAGGGGCATTCGGTTCTGGCCTAATTTCCCTAATCCATTTAATACTGGGTCCATCCCTTTAATATCGGATTGTATATTTATTTCATATTGTTGAGATTGTTTATTATTCTTTCACTATAATATGGAATAAATCTCGATCTGGAAAACAATACAAAACATAGGAACAACATACTTGAAGTTGATTTAATCACTGAAATCATAGTCATAGAATCATAGATAATCATAGAAAAAAGTCCCTCGTGTGCGCAGGCTATTATCGCTTTTTACAACCTCTTTTACCCCCTTATTAATAAACAAAGAATAAACTTGGATTAGTTACTCCATATTTTGTCTCTGTTCATTGAATGTCAAATGATGCCATTTGAATGATATGACCAAAACACGGCTTAACTAGTCTAACCTTATTCCTTGTTTATTAATAAGGGGGTTAGCGTGTCAAATTAAGGCCAGTCAAGCTATCGTCTAGAGTCTACAGACACGCATTCCCCTAATTTACTACGACAACGCTAATAGGGTATTTGACAAGTTTTATAAAACGATCTCATGTTATTGACTAATGTTTATAGAGTCCGTAAAAAGATATTCATCATTCTGTTGTGTATTTCAGTAAAAATAACTAAATCAAAAACTCCATTTTCAAGTTGCCGCGAAAACGTTTCTCTGGACAATATGGCGTCTTACTAGTGTGTGACGTCATTTTAGGCTCCGCCAATCCCAAGCGTTTTGGGTCACGTGACAATAGATAAGAAAACTATTATCTTTTTCGTGGGTTTTTAGTAAAACCCCTGCCAATATTCATTCTAAACACAAATCTGTCAAATACCCTATTGTAGCGCATTTAGTACCAAAGCCACTTTGAAGCTGTGTAGGCTTGGCGTAGATGTGGGAGATAGAGATATGGGACGATTCAATTTGAATTAATCGTTGTATTAGGTGAAGACGCGTAAGGCCGAAGAGGTTAGCGGGGCTAATAGCGGCGGCAACTGGTCGCAGTCTCAACAGCGAGCACTGGAAGCGGCGCTCCTCAAGCATCCCAAGGGCGTCGCCTACGACCGCTGGGCCTCCATCGCCGCCGCTGTCACGGGGAAGACCAAGGTATGTATACTGAGACAGTTGGGTCCCAACGGGGATAGTATGTAGTAGTGGAGACAAGATCGTCGCCTTTGACTGCTGATCCTTCATCGCCGCGCCGCGCCGTGCCGGGGAAGATTAAAAATATTGATTGTAGGAGGCGATTTTAAAAAAACGTGTGAATGCAGGTTTTATTATTATTAAAAATAAAATGATGTCTTCTTCCATTAAAATAACCTATCTTCAATATTTAATATACTTTCCCTCCGTATGGCATGATCGTGGGACACCCTGTATAAAACAAGAAACTGACTGTCATATCAACGCATGGCCAAAATAGCATGATTTTTTCAAAATTCATACCCAATAAGTTAAAAAAATACGTGAAGAATAAATTCCTTGAGTGAATAGACTTGAAACTTGGCATGGATATTATCTAAATAAATTTAATGTCATTTTGATTTTTTCCTAATTAACCCGCTAAAAGTTTGGTGTCGGTGTCGAAGTTTTTATATGGATGAATTTTAACGTGCATTTCGATTAACTCGGAACTTGGTATTTTTACTAAAGATTAGAAGTAAAGAAAGTTTTTAGAAAATCTACCTATAAGGTTAAAAAGGGGATGAAAGTTTGTGTGAAAAACCTTCTTCTCTGAGTTATTTAAACTCAAATCAAAACCGTAAAATGATTGATAAAAAATCAAATTGGATAAAATATACTCAAGTCACTCATTCCACGCGTACGAAGTCGGGGGAAAAAGCTAGTATATCAATTCGAAAGATTGTATGTTGAAATTTGGTACAAAAGGATAGTATCAGTTCCGGCAAATGACATAGGCTTTTATCCCAGAAATCATAGAAAAAAAACAGGAAAAGGTTACAAGCAATATTCATATCTATACACATCCCTTTTTCTTTGTCTTGGGAAAATGCGTGACGCATAGCCCGCGCTTGGGTGAGAGACGGGGCTATGTAGGGCTCCTCCTCCCCCCAAATCCCCAAAATCTCAGCCAGCCCATGGGATTGGCTCAGCGGCTGCTCAGGATGAGGGGCCCCTACCCACTAAAAACCCAACAGTGCTTCCTCGCCTGCCGGAACGGATGTCGTGATCTATACACATCCTAAATATTCGACGACCTCCTAGGCCGACTGGTACGCCGGGTTTCAAGGTGTCGCCTACTCGAGAGGTCCCGGGTACGAATCCCGGTGAGGGCAGATGTAAGTGTAATGAATACCAGCATTCGTACTCCAGTCATGGATGTTTAATATGTATTTCTATAGATATATACATGTTTCAGTATATGTATTCTAGCCGTTACCCTAGTATCCCATAACACAAGCGTACAGTGCTTACTTTAGGGCTACGCTAATTCGTGTGAGTGTTGGAAATATTAATATTTATTTTATTGTGCTTTTAATGTTGTGGAGAGTTTTTCGCTTGTTTTTCTCCGCAGCCAAAAAATATGTCCTATAAACAGTGGTAGGGGGAAAAAAAGAGTTTTACTATACATCCAATTTGAATAAAGATATATTGATTTCTGATTATTTAAAACACGTTATAATTATTTATTAGCAAGTTTAACAGTGTGTGTTAAATAAAACTTGAGCAAAGTGCCTAATTGTGCGTGCTAATTTACATTCTTGTGTAACAATTACATATAATGTGTATGTAGTAGGTTTTATAGTCAGCAACTTCCTAGTACCGAATATTTTAAGCATAAATCATTTAATCATTCATTTAATTAAATTTTCTATCTAAGTGGCTATTCGTACTCTCGTCCCTACTTTTCAAGGTAACCACGTAAAACCAGCGTCGGTGTGCGCAAGTGGTTAGCGCGTACGGCTGCGATCGATGAAGCTATGCAACTTTCGCAGTGGTCGGTCATTGGATGGGTGACCAAAAATTACTATCTCGAGCTCCTCCGTGCTTCGGAAGGCACGTTAAGCCGTTGGTCCCGGCTGCATCTGCAGTCGTTAGCACCCACCAATCCGCACTGGGCCCGCGTGGTGGGTCATGGCCCAATCTCCCTATTCCATCCATAGGGAAGGCCTGTGCCCCAGCAGTGGGGACATTAATAGGCTGATGATGATGAAGATGATGAAATGTTTAGACCTAATTTATTGTATTTCTGTATAAGGTATATATTAATAATAGTTCTATGTTGTACATACAATCAAAGAGATTTTGATAATCTGTCGCTCGATTTTGTTGTAACAGTGAAACCGTGACTAAAGGGCAATGTCACGGTTGGTTGGATTGTTGAGTCGCCGCAACTGTGTAGTAACTACTTATCGCTGGCTTGTAACGAAAGTGAAAATACTACCGAATATAATACCGTCTTACTGAAGCCACTATTCCTAGAAGAACAAATAAATTTTGTGACTAATTTCTTTGTCGTACTATTCGTAAGTGCAATTCTTTGCCCGCGCACGTGTTCCCTCCTTCCTACAATCTGGGGTTCTTTAAGAGAGGCATGAAGAAGCATTTTTGCAGGCCGACAAGGTGAGGATGGTTGGTGTAGCAGGTTATAACTGCTGTTCTAGCTATTTTCGCGTTTGGACTTTATCACCACTATATCAGGTGGGGTAGAGTCATTTGGCTACCTGGCTATATAAAAAAAAATACGAGCGAGCCTTACAGTAGTCGCGTATGATATGTAACATTTGAAACCTCACCTTATATTAGTAAAAAAAGAAATAAAACCTACTACAAAAGGAATAAGCCATTTGAACATTATGTTCTAAAATCAAATCAAATTTCTTTCGCGACTTCCTGTTACTCACTTCCGTCCCATTTCTCGAAATCGCTTCCACAAATTGAAGGAAAGCGAGAGGAAAGATGTTACACATCAATAAATTAGTATTTGAAGAATTCGACAATGTCGTTGGGTTCTCTGGTAGTCATTTCGACATTTGACGACTCTGTATATAATAATAAAGAGAGAAAGTAAAACAGTCCTTGCCGAGTTTCTTGCCGGTTCTTCTCAGTTCAAAGTATCCCGTCGTAGTTTTGCGAATCGATGGCGTAGCTTCTTCACCTTCACAAGTGCTTGTAACAGCCTAGACTGAATAAATGATTTTTGAGTTTGAGTTTGGAGTCAAATTAGAGTAGGCGCTCGGAAACCAAACGTCTCGGGTGGGATAGCATCTGATGCTAAAGTCTTTAATCCCACTAGTACCACCGATTATAAATAAATAAACAATAAATATTTCCAACAATCACACCAATTAGTCTAGGCCCTAGCCCCTAAGTAAGCACTGTCACAGGCTTGTGTTATGGGATACTAGGGTAACGGATAGAATACATATATACAGTACATATATAAGGATATTTATATAGAAATACATATAAAACATCCATGACTGGAGTACAAATGCTCGTATTCATCACACAAACGTCTGCCCCCACCGGGATTCGAACCCGGGACCTGTTGAGTCGGCGACACCACGAAACCCGTCGTAGAACCCACTCGATCACGGAGGTCGCCATACATAAAACTATACTAGTACTATTTGATGCTGCGCAATCTGATTATCTTGTATACATGCTGGAAAAATTCTTGAGCAACGACCATAGACTAGGAAGCCTGCGCAGTAAAAACTTCTACTGTGCAAGTTTATTTGTTTGCGGTTTTGTAGAAGCTTGCTGCCACATATACACTGAAACAGCTTCCTTAGCACAAACCAATATCGAATTCGGATAGTCTGCGAGTGCGAAATGTCATTGACAAATTTTGTATGGAAACTTGAACAGCAGCGCCAAAACGGACGTAACAAGAACTAAATTTCAGTAAAAATTTGACGTATAAAATAGATCGAATTCAACTATATCAATTCTGCACTTCTATACCAAAATTGCGGACTTTTCCAATGAATATTGAACTTTAAAACTCACCCGCGAAGGTAGACAATCTGTATAGTTGTTTATACGTAAACAATATAACCTATGATGTATTTGTGCAATTTCCAGGAGGAGTGCATGCAGCGGTGTAAATACTTATCGGATATGGTCAGAAAACAGAAGCAGAAAGAAGAAGAGCAGCAAAAAGAGGACGACACAGAGAGAAGCGAAGACTGCAGCGAACAGAACGGTGACGTCAGCTCGTAGCTACATGACAATAAATATAGAACAATTAAGCAGATAATAGTCAGAACATCATCAAGATTCTGCTTGCTAATGTGGAGATCTGATCCTATCGGTTAAAGGATTTAATTAGGAGTGAGATATGGCATTTCAATAGGGATGATGACTATTTTTTCTTCGTTTATCAGGTAGATTATCAAAAATTATTGGACACGTATTTTTTCTTTTTTCACATAATATAAACATTGCAGAGATATGTTTTTATTTATTTTTAAGCATTTAACTGCTAGATGTTTAAATCTAAATAAAAAATATATTGATAAAATTGCAGAGATATATTGATTTGAAAAGTCGCATGACGTCAACTTTGAGTACACTTATAAGTGAAAATTTACTCAAAAGTGACGTCACGAGCCCCTACTCTCAAACTTTAACGCGCTATAACTTTGTCATTTTTTGGTTGATTGCCCAAAGAAAAATACGTGCCCATTATTTTTTGACTGACTGACGGACTAAATGGAATTTCGTTTACTGTACCCCGTCATCACCCCTATTCTTCGCCTCATATTATTTAAACTTGTTAATTTTCTTGGTTTAAATTATGTTATGGCGAAGTTTTTGAAGTGAAACTTCTTTACGCACTCTTGACTTGGGGGGTAAGCTGGCGAATGCGTTACGCGTTACGAAAAGTGTGATCGGGCAAGGCGAACGGGAGTTGAGTGAGGGATATAAGCAAGAGAAAGCAATACGACGCGCACGGTTTCATTCTCTTTTTCTCTTATAGCTTGTAAATGATATATGTATATGTACATACATGTACATATTGTACACTAACACACACACACACATACAGGGTGTAAAAAACCTTTAACAAAGTCGTAGGCCACATATTTTCCCCATCATGATGATAATTTTTTTCTTCTTGGCCATACCAAGAAAATTTATGGTTATGGAGATATTGAAGGTCAAAGTCACATTTTTTTCAAGTTTTATACATTAATATTTTTAAAACGTTAAAAACTTTTTCATTGACGCATTTACAAACACGCACACACATACACACAGGCACATTGTTTGCGTAGCGCCACAGTAGCGCGCCGCGCTATACATTGCGTAATGGAAAAAAAAAATACCTAAAAATACAAATGATTCCCACGTATAATATTACTTGTTTGGGTGTACAGATTGCGTAGTTTTAGTCTTTGTCATAAGTTTTTTTACACCCTGTATATATATATATATATATATAGATAGAGCTAAAGAAGTTTCACTCCAGTCTTGTGGTCATAATCACACTCGTTTTTTTATGTTGCCACCATAGTCTAATCTGGTCACTTGAACTCGAGAGAATTAAAAATTTGCACTCATTATTGGCCTTAATGATATTTTTTTTCGTTTATTGACGAGGAGAATTAAAACTAATAATAATTCAGGGCAAAGCTGTGTCAATAATGATATATAATGTATTCATAACCTTCTCTGTCGCTTTAGAAATAATTTTCAAATTTTGTTTGTTTTCACGCACACCAATCATTTAATAAAACAATTGTTGAACACATTTAAAGCGCGATTGATTAACTCTTCCTAATTTCTGATGTTTCAGATACTTCACAGGCTCCGTGGTCGCAAGACTGAACTTTTATAATGTGTTTTATTAGCTAAGTACCTTATAAAATGTTCAAGCACTGTCAGATAATTTATTTTAAAAAGATTTGATTATCTATGGATCTGTTTATTGACCATTTCCTATATTCTTTTCAAATACATTATTTGAACGTGGCCTACATCGCCCTTCATACCAATTCAGTGTTTTATTGGATTTAAAAATCAATATTATTTTTGAGCTAATCGTGACATTCCTGTAGTCAATTCTATTAGCAAGTTTCCACAATAATTTTAAATTGTTTAGTAGCCCGAAAGTCTGAAGATGTTAGGTTTATTTCGCACCTAGAGCGGTCGTATTATTTTCAGTGCCAGTTTTCGACAAATCGTCATTATTATTATTATTATTTAAATGGCTGTGAAACAGACATTTACTGAAACCTTATTTCAATATTACATTAACTGTTCCTTATGACTGCCACTCCAATCAATGTCATATCCAATTTATTATCAATGTCATAAATATCCATTCAACAAGCACAGTTTTTCTATAAAGGCTTCGTCCAAATGGAAAATGAATGCACCAATCACCCAAAATTCGCGAAAGTCAATAAAGAATAAAACAAGATTTAGCCCACACCATAATGTGAAATTGACATTGGTGTCGATTCTGGCACTATTCTATAAATTAAACATCACTCTTTTTTTCTTTTTCTTCTATACAGAACTTATGCTCTACAGAATGAAAAGCATTATGTATAGAGCATGACAAGAATACACTGTTGTCAAATTTAATTTTAAGTTTAGAAAATCATGCCAGAATCGACACCAATGACGTTTGGAAATTTATATGGGTTAAATCTAGTTTTAGTTTAATGTTGATTTCGCTGATATGCTGTTAGTGGGCCTTACTTTAATTGACTTGTGGTGCGCTTAGATTTGTATTAAAAAACATGCCAAATCGATTCCCCGTAGCATGAGCATCACATGCGTTCGGTAATTGCATCGCAGAGGCGACGGACTTTTGGTCACGTGATCACAGATTAATCTGAGCCATTTGCTATTACCGAACGGTTTTACCAACCGCAAATTAATTTCTAACCTCAAACAGAAACTAACCTCACAACATGACAGTTATCCAGATTAATCTTTCTCGTCGGTCAAAAAACTCCAAGCAAACAGATTTACATCGTACTGATCCGAGAGGAATTACCGTACGCTTCAGATTTACTAAAGTAAATTCGTATATTACATCTTTAGATGTTAAATTCGTATATTACATCTTTAGATGTAATATACGAAATATGCTGCAAGGCAGCGCCATCTTAATAATGCGAAGAGATGCAGCTTAAGAATGGCTAGAAGAATTTCGACGCGATCAGTGAGGGCCGCGGTAGCATAATTGGTCAGTGCATTCGCCCGGATTGCGAAGGGTGCGGGTTCGAGTCCCGTCTGCTGCCTGGTCGGCGTGGATTTTTTCTAGTTATATTTTCTTTAGATTTAAACATCAAGCAGTTACATGCTTTAAAATAATAAAAATTATAGTATATCACGTTTTTATCGCGTCGTACTGCCAAACTCCATAGTAATTTGACACTTGAGAGTGTTAAAAAGAGTAAATATATCATATCGCGATGCTCATGCTAGGGTAGCTGTATTATTAAAGTGATTATATGAGTTCTAACTCTATCTCCATTGTGTTCTCGACTCTCTCGTCTCCTATATTGAGCATCTTTCATTTTGGATTGTAAACAGTCATTTCAGACTTGAATGCAATTTTTTTATACATAATTTCTGTGTCAATAAGCGAGTACGAGTGTGGGAAATGGCGTCTTTGTACCTGTACTGACAGATGGTAGGGTCAAGAAATAGAAAGATAGAAAGAAAAATTTGTTTATTAGGTAATGTCGAGACAGTGCGAGAACAAAGTTAGAACTGATATTTTTTTTGCATGTAGTACGCGCCGTGTGCGACTAAAGACAGCAATAGTTTAGAGTGAGAGCGCATGATCGCCGCCGCCATTTTAGATTCGTTTCTTTATTGGCGCGGCTTATACTGGCAAGTCTTTTGTTAATAGTCCGAAACCTTGTTTCACTAATCCGCTTCAACAAAACTATCACAAACATCTTTTTACAGATTTACAGTCTTCTAAAGTTCTCTATTGTAAATATACCGCCAAAAAACGTAGTATTTGTTACTCGGAAATTGTTAATAAAACATATGATTACATAACTTTAATAAATGTATTTATTAAATATTTACAAGAATACAATTGATGTGATCAATTAACATGTGTATTTTTATTCTCCTTAATACTAAAAGTCACCACTTTGACTAACAAAATTTATTTTCCAGTAAATCGACTGAAGATTCTAATAATTAACAGACTTATTAAATGCCTTATTTTTAGGAAGTATATTTTGTTTAAGTGGTGTTAGTTAAATGGTTGTTTTTACTTATTTCCTACGCTTCTCGTCGACTTTTATCCGTTGGTAGATCTCTGGGATGTCGTAGTCATACGACTCTGGATTATCTTTGTATCCACTGCTGCCGCCGCCGCCGTTCTTTGTCGGTCGCTTCGGGTATCCTATAATCAGACTGAATTAATTTCGAATTCTTAATAAATATGAGTAAAAAACAATGTAACTAGAAAAAAATCCACGCAGACCAGGCAGCAGACGGGACTCGAACCCGCACCCTTCGCAATCCGGGCGAATGCACTGACCAATAGGGTATTTGACAAGTTTTAGAAAACGATCTCACTTAATTGACTTATGTTGATACGAGCCCGTAAAAAGTGTATATTCATCATTCTGTTATGTATTTCAGTAAAAATAACCAAATCAAAAACTCCATTTTCAACCTAACCTAACATTTTTATTCTCCTTAATACTAGAAGTCACCACTTTGACTAACAAAATTTCTTTTCCAGTTAAAGATTTAAGACGACTGAAGATTCTAATAATTAACAGACTTATTAAATGCCTTATTTTTTAGGAAGTATATTTTAACGTCACACGACTGTTATTGAAACGTCAAACGATACAATGTAATGTCACTTTAACCGGAAGTTTACTTGTGTGTGACGTCATCTTAGGCTCCGCCAATCCCAAGCGTTTTGGGTCACGTGACAATAGATAAGAAAAATATTATCGTTTTCGTGGGTTTTTCTTTTTTTATAGTAAAATTTATGAATTTTTGTAAAAATAGTAAAATCCTCTGCCAATATTCATTCTAAACACAGATGCTAACAATTGGCACTTTATTTTTAATACTGTCAAATACCCTATTATGCTAACGCGGCCCTGATAGCCTTTCTTAAGCTGCAAGGCAGCGCCATCTCTTCGCATTGTAGGTAACCCACAATGTCAAATAAATACCTTTACAATTATTAAACATTTGAAAGAAGAAATAGCAATTATAGTTATGATTTTAATAAGTAATATTCTAGTAATATTTTCTTTAGATTTAAACATCAAGCAGTTACACGCTTAAAAAATTTAAATCGTAACTAGAATATAGAACTAGTTTGATTGCTCAAGGGCCTGCGCTGCGTCAAGCGGGAGCACGGTCCGCTCCTTGTCCCGCTTAACGCAGCGCACACTCTAACGGAATAGGTAACACGAAGTCGAAAAAATCGTTATAATTTTTAATCAACAGATGAAAGTATGATAAGGAGAAGGTGGACACGAAATTGGACCGATTAACTAAGGATATTTTAAAAAACATCGTCGTAAAAAAATCATTTAACATAACAAAGAAAGCGTGCATATATTTTTTCATTTTTTGCTAAATTTTCTTTCTACTGTAAAAGACTTTATATTTTTTTTTTTTAGATTTTTCCAAATTTTATATCCCAGTCCCCTCGGGGATTGTCACCAGAGGGAATAAAAAAATCGACTTCATTCCCATTTGCTTCCAGTGGCAATCCCCTCGAGGGCGATTAGGAATAAACGTTCAGTTCTTTATTCCTATTTGCCTCCGGTAGCAATACCCGCAAGGGCGACTGGGATATGTTGATTTTTCACCTCATTACATACTTTGAAAGTGGGAGCATCGACCAAATTTTGTACAGTAAATATCAAAACAAGCATACCTGTTATAGCCTCCCCACTTTGTGGTCCTGTTGATTGAATTTTCACCTCTTCCATCCTTTGACCCGTTAAAAGTGGGGTCAGAGAGACCTTAACAAATTTCTGGGAGAGTCAATGTTAAATTATACCTGATATAGTTTCTCCTCCACATCGTGAGCAAGCACATTTAGAAGGCGTGGCGACGCGGTGTTGAGTCCTGGTGCCGTCAGCGCAGCGCACCCACACGTCTACAGAGCCGTATGATACGGCCTGGCAGCATTCGCACTTCGAGTCGTGGATGCCGGTCACTGTACGTTTAAAGGCATTGATAATTGAGAAAAAACATACGTGTGCACTGTGGAACCGTATGAGGAATTCGATGGCAAGAAGTTAAGAAACTTTCGCAGTGGTCGGTCATTCGATGGGTGACCAAAAATTATCTATTTCGAGTTCCTCCGTGCTTCGGAAGGCACGTTAACTATGAGCTGCAGTCGTTAGCACCCGCCAATCCGCACTGGGCCCGCGTGGTGGGTCATGGCCTAATCTCCCTATTCCATCCATAGGGAAGTCCTGTGCCCCAGCAGTGGGGACATTAATAGGCTGATGATGATGATGATGATGCGTGTGAACGGAGAACACATCTGAAGTGAAACTTGTTTTCTTAAACAAATTAACATTAGGTGGTGTATAAGGCATAGGGGAATGGCGCAGCACACGCGTAACTTATATATAAGTAAGTTCCGCTATAATAATAATATATTCATTATTGTCGCGCGTGACGCACGTAGCGTTTCAGCCTTCGCCGAGTTACCCTTCAAGTTCCATGCTCGCCAGGAAGAGCTGCGCAGGCAACCCACACTCACATACTCGTCTATATAGAAATTGTTTGGTCATTAATGAATTACAATATACCAAACATTCCGATTTACAAGAAGTCATCCGTCCCTTTTACGGATTATCTATCTTTATTAAAAAGAAGAATGTATTTGAAGTGGCAAACGTACTGGCAAGAAACTCAACTCGAAAATGGTGCATGGTATGCATATAGAATGAAATTTAAGAAGCCTATTAAGATAGTACTTTAAGCTAAAAAATCCACCAAGAAAATACATAATAATAATAACTAGACTAGGAATGGGTCATGATCATTTTCAAGCACATTTGAAGAGAATACATTTAGAAGATGACGACCAGTGCCCCTATTGTGATAAGGGTTGCCAGATACTGGCTTATCAATTCGGGGACTTTTGCACCCCCCCCCCTAAAAAATAAAGCATCAAATTAAACCCCCAATCACCCCCAAGAATTAAAATATCAAGCCGGCCAGCGGTGTCATTCTTTATTGGTTTATTTTGTTACGTAACTAGCACATTATCGGAATCCGGGACAATAATGTCCAGGTAAGGACAGTAAGGTAAATTACTGGACACGGGACAAGATGCAAAATTCCCGGACATCTGTAAGCCTAATTGTGATACAGGACAAATAGTAATACTTCTACATCTCATCCTGGACCAGCGGGGCTTTCAGTTTACAAAGGCTAGTTTTGGTAGATGGCTTACATAAGAACAAGAAGTACAAAAACAACGATATCCCCAATCATTTGCCATCTATCCTTGAAATCCAGCCCCTTTAGCATGACCACCGAAACGAGATATGCTAAAGCGATATATCGGCATTAACTGTCAGACTACTGTCAAACTCCACTGTAGTCTGACAGTGCCGATATATCGCTTTATCATATCCCGTTTTGGTGGTCATGCTAGAGGGGCAGGAGTGTTATGACCATAGAGGTATAAGAATAGAGAGAAAGAAGATGAGAGACGGCTAGCCTTTTTCTCTCTAATCGCGAATGCGCATTGTATGAAAAACCTATGGATGAATACCGACCAATCACACGACTGCGCAGCAATACCGACCAATCGCACGACTGCGCAGCGTCACAAGAGAGAGAGATAGCTAGCCGTCTCTCACCTTCTTTCTCTTTCTACTAGACGGACACTTCCACTTGTAGTAGAGTACATATCTCCCCTACTCTATTCTTATACCTCTATGGTTATGACATACTATTTGAGTTCATCATCAATAATTTTGGCAAGATATAGATAACATATCACTAATGACTGGCCAATATGGAAAACTATAAGGCCGTAAAATTTATAACAAAAAAAATACGATACCGTTGTTATACAGCGTCCCCGAGTCGCATGAACCGCGGCATTCCAGCATTCCTTCCAGGGGCTCATCGTTGGTGCATATTCCGTGCCCGCGGACCAACGTAGACACAACGCCCACTGACGAGGACCCAGATACTGGCACTGGGGCGCATTTACCTAGACAAATACCACACGATTATTATCGTCATTGTCATCTTTCAATCATAACATGTCCTACTGCTCTGCCATCACCACTTTGATCGGTCCTAAGCGGACTGAATCCAACGGCTTCCCGCAACCTTCAATAGATCGTCTCTCGTATAAATACGAGATTTCTGGTCTTCCGTACGAGGTATGAGATTTTGTCAGAAAATTTTATAACAGGATATTTCATTGTAGGCAACATGTTGGAGCATAAATCGTAGGTATCCAAAACCAGTCCATATTTATTATAATTTTTATTTTAGGTATTTAATTGCTAGATTTTTGAATCAAGAAAATTTTACTAGAAAAACATTTCTTTACAGTCTATTCTTATTTGTACAATTACTAGTTTTGCTTTGCGGTTATACCCGAGTGGAATGGAATGAAAAAAGATTGCGAATTAACAAAATTATTGGTCACCATCACTGGACACGTCGGGGACTCGAGACACACTAAGGTTAGTAGGACAATCGTGAATAGTGATCGCAGAGCATCACGTCCATTAGAGGCCGGATTACATTACACAATGATGTGATATCAGGTATAGTATACTGATTGAGGTCGTCGGCCTTGGGCTCGCAGGTCTGGCAGCACGTCCCGTTGACTATGATCTGGGGCGGGCAGCGGGACACGTCGGGACACACGGGACACGTGGGACACTATCAGGTATAGTATACTTACTGAGGTCGTCGGCCTTGGGCTCGCAGGTCTGGCAGCACGTCCCGTTGACTATGAGCTGGGGCGGGCAGTGGGACACGTCGGGACACACTGGACGCGTGGGACACTATCAGGTATAGTATACTTACTGAGGTCGTCGGCCTTGGGCTCGCAGGTCTGGCAGCACGTCCCGTTGACTATGAGCTGGGGCGGGCAGTGGGACACGTCGGGACACACTGGACGCGTGGGACACTATCAGGTATAGTATACTTACTGAGGTCGTCGGCCTTGGGCTCGCAGGTCTGGCAGCACGTCCCGTTGACTATGAGCTGGGGCGGGCAGTGGGACACGTCGGGACACACTGGACGCGTGGGACACTATCAGGTATAGTATACTTACTGAGGTCGTCGGCCTTGGGCTCGCAGGTCTGGCAGCACGTCCCGTTGACTATGAGCTGGGGCGGGCAGTGGGACACGTCGGGACACACTGGACGCGTGGGACACTATCAGGTATAGTATACTTACTGAGGTCGTCGGCCTTGGGCTCGCAGGTCTGGCAGCACGTCCCGTTGACTATGAGCTGGGGCGGGCAGTGGGACACGTCGGGACACACGGGACGCGTGGGACACTATCAGGTATAGTATACTTACTGAGGTCGTCGGCCTTGGGCTCGCAGGTTTGGCAGCACGTCCCGTTGACTATGAGCTGGGGCGGGCAGTGGGACACGTCGGGACACACTGGACGCGTGGGACACTATCAGGTATAGTATACTTACTGAGGTCGTCGGCCTTGGGCTCGCAGGTCTGGCAGCACGTCCCGTTGACTATGAGCTGGGGCGGGCAGTGGGACACGTCGGGACACACGGGACGCGTGGGACACTATCAGGTATAGTATACTTACTGAGGTCGTCGGCCTTGGGCTCGCAGGTCTGGCAGCACGTCCCGTTGACTATGAGCTGGGGCGGGCAGTGGGACACGTCGGGACACACGGGACACGTGGGACACTATCAGGTATAGTATACTTACTGAGGTCGTCGGCCTTGGGCTCGCAGGTCTGGCAGCACGTCCCGTTGACTATGAGCTGGGGCGGGCAGTGGGACACGTCGGGACACACGGGACGCGTGGGACACTATCAGGTATAGTATACTTACTGAGGTCGTCGGCCTTGGGCTCGCAGGTCTGGCAGCACGTCCCGTTGACTATGAGCTGGGGCGGGCAGTGGGACACGTCGGGACACACTGGACGCGTGGGACACTATCAGGTATAGTATACTTACTGAGGTCGTCGGCCTTGGGCTCGCAGGTCTGGCAGCACGTCCCGTTGACTATGAGCTGGGGCGGGCAGTGGGACACGTCGGGACACACTGGACGCGTGGGACACTATCAGGTATAGTATACTTACTGAGGTCGTCGGCCTTGGGCTCGCAGGTCTGGCAGCACGTCCCGTTGACTATGAGCTGGGGCGGGCAGTGGGACACGTCGGGACACACTGGACGCGTGGGACACTATCAGGTATAGTATACTTACTGAGGTCGTCGGCCTTGGGCTCGCAGGTCTGGCAGCACGTCTCGTTGACTATGAGCTGGGGCGGGCAGTGGGACACGTCGGGACACACTGGACGCGTGGGACACTATCAGGTATAGTATACTTACTGAGGTCGTCGGCCTTGGGCTCGCAGGTCTGGCAGCACGTCTCGTTGACTATGAGCTGGGGCGGGCAGTGGGACACGTCGGGACACACTGGACGCGTGGGACACTATCAGGTATAGTATACTTACTGAGGTCGTCGGCCTTGGGCTCGCAGGTCTGGCAGCACGTCCCGTTGACTATGAGCTGGGGCGGGCAGTGGGACACGTCGGGACACACTGGACGCGTGGGACACTATCAGGTATAGTATACTTACTGAGGTCGTCGGCCTTGGGCTCGCAGGTCTGGCAGCACGTCCCGTTGACTATGAGCTGGGGCGGGCAGTGGGACACGTCGGGACACACGGGACGCGTGGGACACTATCAGGTATAGTATACTTACTGAGGTCGTCGGCCTTGGGCTCGCAGGTCTGGCAGCACGTACCGTTGACTATGAGCTGGGGCGGGCAGTGGGACACGTCGGGACACACGGGACGCGTGGGACACTATCAGGTATAGTATACTTACTGAGGTCGTCGGCCTTGGGCTCGCAGGTCTGGCAGCACGTCCCGTTGACTATGAGCTGGGGCGGGCAGTGGGACACGTCGGGACACACTGGACGCGTGGGACACTATCAGGTATAGTATACTTACTGAGGTCGTCGGCCTTGGGCTCGCAGGTCTGGCAGCACGTCCCGTTGACTATGATCTGGGGCGGGCAGCGGGACACGTCGGGACACACTGGACGCGTGGGACACTATCAGGTATAGTATACTTACTGAGGTCGTCGGCCTTGGGCTCGCAGGTCTGGCAGCACGTCCCGTTGACTATGAGCTGGGGCGGGCAGTGGGACACGTCGGGACACACTGGACGCGTGGAACACTATCAGGTATAGTATACTTACTGAGGTCGTCGGCCTTGGGCTCGCAGGTCTGGCAGCACGTCCCGTTGACTATGAGCTGGGGCGGGCAGTGGGACACGTCGGGACATACTGGACGCGTGGGACACTATCAGGTATAGTATACTTACTGAGGTCGTCGGCCTTGGGCTCGCAGGTCTGGCAGCACGTCCCGTTGACTATGAGCTGGGGCGGGCAGTGGGACACGTCGGGACACACGGGACGCGTGGGACACTATCAGGTATAGTATACTTACTGAGGTCGTCGGCCTTGGGCTCGCAGGTCTGGCAGCACGTCCCGTTGACTATGAGCTGGGGCGGGCAGTGGGACACGTCGGGACACACTGGACGCGTGGGACACTATCAGGTATAGTATACTTACTGAGGTCGTCGGCCTTGGGCTCGCAGGTCTGGCAGCACGTCCCGTTGACTATGAGCTGGGGCGGGCAGTGGGACACGTCGGGACACACGGGACGAGCGGCTGACACTATCAGGTCGGCACCAACGCGGGTACACGAGAATGTCGTGCAATTGTCTGGAGAAGACCACGTGCTACCTGTAAGGAAATATTAAAAACTAGTGATACTTTATATGTAGATTGTTTAATGCCGAAAATTCAAGTTTATTACAGAGGGCAATAGGAAGATTTATGGTAGGAAATACATTGCTCGATTCGACGGATAACCAAGTTCTATGCCTTAGTAGTAAAAGTAACAGACCATGGCATTTCCATGCTTTGTTATTTTTGCATGACACATTGCCAGGATAAATTTAGATAGAGGAAACGAAAAGAGGTGGAGTGGCGACCTTTGTCGACACTTAAAATTAAATGTCGGCCATCAAATGTTTTTTTTTATATATATTTAATTAGAATACATAGATTTGATGTAGATTATATATATAGGTGTGACTATTCATTCCAAGCCATATAACACCCCAACCTACGGTTTCTGTATAGCTTTTTTTTTTTTTTTTTTTTTTTTTGTTTTTTTTTTGTTTTTATAGATAGGTCCGACAAATGACTCCACCCCACCTGATGTTAAGTGAAGGTGAAGTCCAGACGCGAAGATAGCTGATACAGCAGTTCTACCTGCCACACCAGCCATCCTCACCCTGCCGGCCTGCATGTTGCTTCTTCACGCCTCTTTTAAAGGATCCCAGGTTGTAAGAGGGAGGGAACACGTGAGCGGGCAGAGCATTCCATTTACGGATAGTGCGACAAAGAAATGAGTCACCAAATTTCTTTGTACGCGTTGGAATTGTGGCCACAGTAAGACGGTGACAACGTAGGCCAGCGCGCGTGGTCCTCTGAAGGAAAGGGGAAGGTGGGATAAGAGAGAATAACTCCTCAGAACACTCGCCGTGGTACAAACGATAGAACGCGCTTAGTGACGCCACGTCACGGCGTAATTGAAGAGGCTCAAGGTGTTTAGTCACCTCCTCATCGCCTATGATGCGGATCGCGCGCCGCTGTAACCTATCCAAAGCATCGAGCAAGTACTTGGCGGAGCCATCCCAGAGGTGCGAGCAATATTCCACGCAGGACCGCACTTGCGTTTTGTACAACAAGCACAGTTGATCGGGCGTGAAAAAACGCCGCACGTTGTTCAGGACTCCGAGTTTGCGTGAAGCTGTTTTGATCACGGTTTCGATGTAGTCCTTTGGATTCAGGTCTGAGCGAACTTCCATACCGAGCATGGAAATGTTGCTCGGCAGCGGTAGTGTTGTGCCCTGAAGAGATGGAAGGGGAAGGAATGGCGATGTTTTTGCCGTGAAAGCGCAAGCCTGAGTTTTCGTGGCATTGAACCCAACCAAGTTCCTGGTACCCCATTCGGAAATGTGGTCCAAAGCCTGATTGAGTTCAATGACAAGATTTTCCCGTTTCTCCCTGGTTACTGCCTGCCCAGCCGCTGCTTGTCCGAGATACCCCGCATGCACTGTACTATCGTCTGCATAGCAATGAATATTCCCAAGAGGAATCAAGTCATTGATATGCAGCAGAAAGAGAGTGGGGGATAGGACGGAGCCCTGGGGAACGCCGGCATTCACTGACATGAACCGCGAACTGCTACCATCCGTAAGGACACGAATTCTACGCTCATGCAGGAAGTCAGCTACCCAAGAACAGAACTGGGCTGGCAGACCGTATGCCGGAAGCTTGGAGAGAAGGCTTTTGTGCCAGACCCTGTCGAACGCCTTGGCAATGTCAAGGCTGATAGCCAACGACTCGCCACGCTTGTCGATAGCCTCACCCCAGGTATGAGTTAAGTACGCTAGAAGATCACCCGTCGATCGTTTCGGTCTAAATCCATATTGACGATCATTAATCAGGGAGTGATCCTCTAGGTAGCGGGTCAGATGGTTATTAAGGACCTTTTCTAAAACTTTACATAAAACTGAGGTGACTGCTATTGGCCGATAGTTTGCCGGGTCTGAGCGATCCCCTTTTTTGGGCACTTTTTCATACTCAGTGGTTATCAGGAAGTTATCGCTCTTAGCGATAAGACCGCCAATTATAACGCTTTTGTTAAGATCATTGTTTGTGAATGTCATGTAATTATGTATTTAGTGTTAAAATAAAGTTTAATCTATCTCTCTAAGTTTTATCACTCACCCGGTTTCTTAAGCTCATCTTCAACAATACAGGAATCCTGCACGCATCGACCGCAGCAGACACCGGATTCAGGTTCCTCGTATACCCATCCTCGCGAACAGTCGCGGCTGCAAGTTTCGACGCTCTCACTATGGGCGATGGTGCCGGTGGCGTCGCGACTGCACGTAATGTTCTTACAAGGGTCGTCTGAAGGCCAGGTTTGACCCTCCTGTTATGTAATTTATTTATTTATTCCAGTTACACATTACATCGGCTTACGGAAAAATCCAAAAAGCCGGCAAGCCATACATAAAAATATTAAACATTTATAGCAGGTATTCATATCAATTCAAGAAAATTAAGAAAAACAGAGAAAAAAGAAAAAAAATAATGACAAATTAGAAATGTAGTTATAGAAACAAAGTCAAATTCGAATAGCCCATTGTAAAATTATTGATTAATGTTATGATAAAATAAATAAATATGTCAAATCAAACAAACAATGAATAATGTCATATCATTCCAAGAATTAAAAAGATTAATGACAATTAAGAACAATAATGTTATTTATAAAAAAATGGACTAACTAATAAATATACTAAGCAATAGATATATATTATCAGTTTTAAGGAAATCTCATTGAGAAATTTCATACGGGGGTAGATAAATAAAATATAACTCAATAACTACTCCAACACTCAAAAATTAAGAACATTACAAAACTATTTACTTTAGAAAAATACAGGGGTCGTCTGAAGATCCTCTTGTTGCATAATATCATTTTTATTTTCTGTTGATGAGAAGTTTGATAACGACTGTTATAAGGTCTGCGAACGAGTATATACGATTTTCATAATAGCCGATCATAGGATGTCGCGACAGCACGTAATGTTCTTACGGAGATCGTCTGAAGGCCAGGTTTGACTCTTATGTTATGGAAATATTAGCTGTTAATACACTGATAAATGTAAGTATTTTTAAGTAAGTAGTTAGCACCCACCAAATCACAATGGGCCTGCGTGGTGGGCCCCGGCCCAGTCTCCCTATTCCATCCATAGGGATGGCCTTTACCCTAGCAGTGGGGATATTAATAAGCCAAACTTTAATAGATTTTTTTAGTTGAGTGGCGATATAAACTTTATCATATCATACCGTGGTGCTTATGCTAGGGGGACTGCTGTCTTTTAATGATTTGGTCATGATTTGGCTAAAGATGAAGTGTCAGTACTCAGTCCACGCTTATGGTTGGGATTCCTGAAAATAATACGCGTTGAGTAAAAACATCCCCATCTTGCAACCCCCGAAGGGAGGGAAAATATCGTACCTGATATATTTTGTTGCCCACTCTGCAGGCGACAGGTTCCTTCTTATGGCAACACTTGCCGGGTATGACGTCATCACTGAACACGAACTGCTTCTTCATGGCGTCCGACACCTCGGGGCAGGTCTCGTTGCTGCTTTGCACTTGCAACTGTTTTTAAAATAATCAATTAAAACATTGTGATAAAAAAAACTTCGGCCGCATTGACTTTTGGGTTTTTTTACTACCTCGGGAACTTAACCCTTTTCCGGGATAAAAAGTATACCATGTCTATTTCCAGGTTGTAAGCTGTCTGTGTGCAAAATGTTGTGTAAGTAACAAACATACAAACTTTCATATTTATAATATTAGTATGATGATTAAGATGAGCGGCTGTATTTTTTTTATATATAGGTCTGACAAATGGGGTTCAGTACCCCCACTGATGTTAAGGGACGGTGAAGTCCAGACGTAAAGATATATGGCACAGCAGTTCTACCTGCCACACCAGCCATCCTCACCTTGCCGGCCTGCATGTTGCTTCTTTACAAATATCAAATACATATAAACTGCCAGCATTGGGCCTTGAGAACAATGGTTACTGGATATATCTCTATAAAGAACAGTCGCGTTACACTGGCAAGCTATTCTAAACCTTAAACCTATATGTCTAAGACTCACAGTTCCGTTGGTCAGCACGCAGGTATATTTAGTACAATGGTCGGGGGAAGTCCATTGCTCGCTTATAGAACGTGCTTGTGCCTGCACTATAAACGCCACTGGCAAGCAATTTTCAACCTTAAACCCATGTTTTTAAGACTTACAGTTCCGTTGGTCAGCACGCAGGTATATTTAGTACAATGGTCTCGGGAAGTCCACTGCTCGACTATAGAACGTCGGAACGTCGTCGAACGGCACAATAGTGCCTGTACTATAAACGCTTCTGGCGAGCTATTTTCAACCTTAAACCCATGTTTCTAAGACTTACAGTACCGTTGGTCAGCACACAGGTATATTCAGCACAGTGGTCGCGGGAAGTCCATTGCTCGCCTATAGAAGTCCATTGCTCGCCTATTCCATTGTTCTTGTGCCTGCACTGTAAACGCTACTGGCGAGCTGTTTTCAACCTTAAACCCATGCTTCCAAGACTTACAGTTCCGTTGGTCAGCACGCAGGTATATTTAGTACAGTGGTCTGGGGAAGTCCATTGCTCGCCTATAGGTTGTTCATGCCCTTCCACTATACACGCCACTGGTTTACATATGCCGCAACACTGCTTGCTGTCTTCTTCAGCGGGGAAATATTTCCAACCCTTGACAAAATATAAAGTATTTATTATTTGAGAAGTTTCTCTGGACATTACGGCGTCTCACTAGTACGTGTCGTCACACGACTGTCATCTAAACGTCAAACGTTACAATGTAATGTCACTGACCGGAAGTTTACTAGCGTCTGACGTCATTTTAGTCTTGGTCACGTGGCCACGGAGCAAATAACTCATTTCTATTTAATAATGTTATAGAAAAGTTATTATTTGTTCTTACAGAATAGTAAAAACGCTGCTAAAATTCTTTTTAAATAGAAATGCCAACAATTGGTACATTATTTCTCATACTGATAAATAGTCTATTACTTCAGTTACTCCGTGATCATGATGTTTGCAACAGGCGCCGAAATATCGGGGACTCGTGAAAAGCAAGGCACTATGCTTAGTGCTTGTTGTGAGGAATAGGGTACCTATTTGACAAGTTTAAGAAAACGATCTCACCTTATTGACTAATGTTTATGGAGTCCGTAAAAAGTGGATATTCATCATTTTGTTGTGTATTTCAGTAAAAATAACCAAATCAATAACTCCATTTTCAAGTTGCCGCGAAAACGTTTTTCTGGACAATATGGCGTCTTACTAGTGTGTGGCGTAACACGACTATTATTAAAACGTCAAACGATACAATGTAATGTCACTTTAACCGGAAGTTTACTTGCGTGTTACGTCATTTTAGGCTCCGCCAATCCCAAGCATTTTGGGTCACGTGACAATAGATAAGAAAAATATCATCTTTTTCGTGGGTTTTTAGTAAAATTATGAATATTTTTTATAGCACAGTGTGACCTAAACCCGCACTTTACGCACGCTTTTCCGTGACCTAAGTTCTCTATTTCTGCACGGTGTGTAAATGAATTGACCAACTTCACTCATGTAGAATTAGTACATTACGATACGCGTAACTTAACTTTACTATGCCAATCAAGGAATAAACGTTCATGGATACATTGAAATTCTATTTTGTTGTAATGATATTTGATTTTTTCCTTTTGAAATATACTTTCAAAATGGTAATCTGAACCGGAATTCTTTCTTTTCAGTTTGACTTGCAGTCTGTATTGCAATTCTTTGTGATTGCAATACATGAATTTTACTTTCAAAACACTAATCGCATCACACGGGGGGGCCTCCGGCCCCCCCGAACCCCCCCCTCTTGCCCGCGTCCGGGGCGGGTTTATGTCACACTTTCTATAACTTCACGCCGTGCAGTAATAGGCAACTTAGGTCACGTGTATCGTAATGTACTATTTCTAAAAATAGTAAGAACCCCTGCCAATATTCATTCTAAACACAGACGCTAACAATTGGCACTTTATTTTTAATACTGTCAAATACCCTATTGCACTATAAATCAATCAACAATATTTTACCGGCAAGCAGTTAGTCTCGCATCGTGTGAGCGTGGTGCTCTTGCGCAGCTTCCCGTCGCCGATGCGCTCGCACGAGTACCGCTCGCAAGGGTTGTCGGGCGACGTCCAGTTCTCGCCAACCTGATTTGTTACAACCGATTTGTTACTTCAATGTTTTACAAGAATAAAATGATACATTGACATTAGTTTTACAATGTGCACCTTACAGTTAATAATTAAAATACATTATTAAAAGGAGTCCCTTAAGGCAAGGTTCCAAATATACTGGCAGCGTTTCCCCTTTGAATAGCTAGACTAATTCTTTGTCCGAGATGGCTGCCAGCTCTTCGGTCTCCTGTGATATCGACTAACTTTCTTGTTAAATTAATGTATATATTTTGTGTTTATTTAATGTTTATCTGATTTATGAGGTATCATTATTGAATCTAAGGAGCTCGGTGGAGCAACTGTTCAGCACGTTGGGCTGCGATCGTTGAAGTTAAGCCACTTTCGCAGTGGCCGATCATTGGATGGGTGGGCAAAAATTTACTATCTCGAACTCCTCCGTGTTTCAGAAGGTGCGCTGAGCTGTTGGCCCCGGCTGCATCTGCAGTCGGTTGCACCCAATAATCGCACTGGTCCTGTCTGGTGGGTCATGGCCCAGTCTCCCTATTTCATCCATAGGGAAGGCTTGTGCCCCAACAGTGAGGACATTAATAAACCAAACTTTAATAGATTTTTTCAGTTGAGTGTCGATAAAAACTTTATCATATCATACTTATGTTAGGGGGACTGTTGTCTTTTAATGATTTGGTTAAGTTTAGAATGAAATAGGTAGAAAAAATCTCACAGTCTTCAGCGAGGGGCAGCAGGCGTAAGGCAATGGCTGTGGTTCCACCACCAAGTCCTGATCGATTCCTTATATATAATGTGCCACATTTATTTTATAGATAAAGTCTCCCACGCAGCAAGCCACTGCCCTCAGCGAGGGGCAGCAGGCGTTAGGCAATGGCTGTGGTCCACCACCAGCTTCAGGTCGGTTTCTCGAGATTATAACTATGTTGAATATATCCGACTTACTTTATAGACAAGGTCTCCCACGCGGCAAGCCACTGCCTCCAGCGAGGAGCAGCAGGCGTAAGGCAATGGCTGTGGTTCCACCACCAGCTTCAGGTCGGTTCCTTAAGATTATACCTATGCTTAATATGCCTGACTTACTTTAAAGACAAGGTTTCCCACGTGGCAAGCCACTGCCTTCAGCGAGGAGCAGCAGGCGTAAGGCAATGGCTGTGGTTCCACCACCAGCTTCAGGTCGGTTCCTTAAGATTATACCTATGCTTAATATGCCTGACTTACTTTAAAGACAAGGTTTCCCACGTGGCAAGCCACTGCCTTCAGCGAGGAGCAGCAGGTGTAAGGCAATGGCTGTGGTTCCAGCACCAGCTTCCGGTCGGTTCCTCAAGATTATAACTATGGTTAATATACCCGACTACTTTATAGACAAGGTCTCCCAAGCGGCAAGCCACTGCCTTCAGCAAGGGGCAGCAGGCGTAAGGCAATGGCTGTGGTTCCAGCACCAGCTTCCGGTCGGTTCCTTAAGATTATACCTATGCTTAATATGCCCGACTTACTTTGTAGACAAGCTCTCCCACGCGGCAAGCCACTGCCTTCAGCGAGGGGCAGCAGGCATATGGCAATGGCTGCGGTTCCACCACAAGGTCCTGGTCGTTGGAAGCACGAGGACACTCCGTGGTGGAGCACGAAGTGGTGGCACCCACTGCCGAAGATACGCAGCGGCACCAACGGCATGGGCCGTCCATCCATACTTCGTCCACCTATACGAGATATTAACAAATATTTTATTTCTATCACTATTTACATATAATTTCCTATCCCACCCATAGCGAAGTCATTTTTTCCCAGTCAGTCGGGATATTAATAGCCATTTATAATGATAATTTTAATGATATTAGCGGTGTTAAGCAGATATATTAGCAGAAATGAGTTCTGTGGACCAATGTTAACACGTATGATTGTGGAAGCAGAAAGAGATCATTGGTCATTTTTGGGATCAAACTTTTACATGGGTTTGAGAACAAATTTTCGTTTACTTCAAAACTGCCCGCTGGTCGCTTTCCCATCCTATATATCTAACACTCATATCAATTAGCCTAATTTCAAAGTAAGCACTGTAAAGCTTGTGTTATATGCTAATACTAGTGTGACGAATAGAAATACAGTAATAGGGTATTTGACAAGTTTTAGAGAACGATCGCACGTTATTGACTAATGTTTATGGAGTCCGTAATTCATCATTCTGTTGTGTATTTCAGTAAAAATAACCAAATCAAAAACGCCATTTTCAAGTTGCCGCGAAACGTTTCTCTGGACAATATGGCGTCTTACTAGTATGTGACGTCACACGACTGTCATTAAAACGTCAAACGATACAATGTCACTTTTACCGGAAGTTTACTTGCGTGTGACGTCATTTTAGGCTCCGCCAATCCCAAGCGTTGTAGGTCACGTGACAATAGATAAGAAAACTATAATCTTTTTCATGGGTTTTTAGTAAAATTATGATTTTTTTTTGTAAAAACAGTAAAAACCCCTGTCAATATTCATTGTAAACACAGATGTTATCAATTGGCACTTTATTTTTAACACTGTCAAATACCCTATTATACTAAGTATATTTTTCAGCTCGATGGTGCAAATGGTGAGCGGCGTCTGTCTGCAATCGTTTAAGTTAAACAAACTTTGCAAAACACTAATCTCCCTTCCCCTGTTTCACCACTTTCATAAAGACTTAATTTCGCATTATAAGCAAATAGGAGCTCGATAGCGCAGGTGGTTAGCGCGTTCGGGTGAGATCGAACTTAAGCAACTTTCGCAGAGCTCGGTCATTGGATGGGTGACCAAAAATCTTCTATCTCAAGTTCCTCCGTGCTTCGTAAGGTACGTTAAGCCGTTGGTCCCAGCTGCATCTGCAGTCGGTAGCACCCACCAATCCGCACTGAGCCCGCGTAGTTGGTCATTGCCCAATCTCCCTGTGCCATCCATAGGGAAGGCCTGTGCCCCAGTAATTGGGACATTAATAGGCTGATATATATATTAATACTTACATCCTTAAGCATTTGCTCTGGTTTAGGGCGAGGCTTCTCGCCTCCTTTAGGTGACGCTTCCCATTCCAATATTGCAATACATTTGTCCTTTGGTGGCTCTAGAAATAGCAAACAAATATGTAATTTTTTAATTCAAGCATTTCAATGTTCGTTTTTTATATATATGTTACCGGCCAAACCCGATTTCAGGACAAACTAGTTTTGCCTAGGCTAAACTGCTTCTTCCTATACGCGATAGGACTAACTAGTATAGCCTAGTCCAAACTAATTTGTCCTAAACCCGATAGGATAAACCAGTTTAGCCTAGGCCAAAATAGTTTATCCTGATACAAATACGCATACTCTAGGATAAAGTAGTATGGCCTAGTCTAAACATTATAGTATATCTAGAAAGTCAAAATAAATAGATAAACTGAATAAAAACTCCGTAATTGGAAAAAATTTTTTTTTTTAAAACGATAATGATTCATCGTTTAAAGTTATTGATAATTAGTAATACAAACAATTATACTATAACAAATAATATGTGTTTTTTTAATAGAAGCAATAATCATATCTCAATTATTAAAATTGTTATTTAATTTTACATGGTGTACTTTGGTGGCACTTAGAATTGCAGAGTATCATTGCCATCATTGGCATCTGTTTGTGGAACATTTTTATTGCAGCTGCATCTCACAAAACAGAAGGCCTATTACTTATGTGTGCAAGTGTACCCATGCGCATAAACACTCCCTCCACTTTCTTCCAGCGTTCTTTTTACATGACGCAACCTGTAAGGGGCCGTCCATTAATCACGTGATGTTTTTTTTGGCATTTTGAACCCCCTTGGTGATACATGGTGAGGTTAAAGTCTAGCCCGCCACCCCCCACCCCATATCACGTGTATTTTTAGTACCTACAAAGAATCTTATTTTTTTAAACTTTTAGAGGTAGACAGAAAGGTTGTTTTTGACTGACATCAATATAATGAAAGAAACTGAAAAACTTTTTGTACTAATACATGAACATTATTTAATGTACAGTATCCTCGGACCACGTAAATACACGTGATATATTACTACACCCACCATCCCCCCTTGTGATATTTCGTGTTTTTTTACGGACCCCCCCCCCCCCCTTTCGAGCCTCACGTGATTAATGGACAACCCCTAAAAGTCCTGACATGTTTGTTCAATTACTTTCGACTCTGCTAAATTGGTTTAGGGCCGTAGGGACGTAGGCCGTACTAGTTTATCCTAGAGTGTGAGTATTTATATCAGGATTAACTAGTTTGGCCTAGGCTAAACTGGTTTATCCTATCGGGCTTAGGACAAATTAGTTTGGACTAGGCTATACTAGTTAATCCTATCGCGTATAGGAAGATCTAGTTTAGCCTAGGCAAAACTAGTTTGTCCTAAAATCGGGTTTGGCCGGTAACATATATAAAGGAAATGACGCTGTTTTACTGGTTAGCGCGTTTACGGGTGATCAAAAATTTACTATCTCGAGCTACTCCGTCCGTTGGTCCCGTCTGCATCTGCAGTCGTTAGCACCCACCAATCCGCACGGGGCCTGGGTGGGTCATGGCCTAACCTCCCTATTCCATCCATAGGAAGCCCTGTGCTCCAACAGTGGAGAAGTTAATACGCTGGTGAGTGTTTTAAACAACTCTTTTTTTTATTATTTTGTATACTCTTTTTGGCCGATAACCTTTACAGCATCACCGGGTTTGGGGACGGCGAGATCCTAAGGGGACCTCGAGCCTTGGCGAGTGTCTCTAGAGCAGTATTTCCTAACCTTTTCAATACTGCTACCCCTGTAACCTATTGGGAAAACAGATTTTACACCGACTTTAAAATGTTATCATCAGTCCAAGAAATTCCAATTTGGCCGCTACATCTTTGTCTCTAATAATATCATCATCAGGAGAAAATCTCGCCCCGCTTCCCAACACTCAGCACCCCGAGGGCTCGCTAGCAAGAAGGAGCGCATGATCTATTTAGTAGTATTATTATATAGTATTTTCTTATTGTTTACATTTGACCAAATAATTAGGTTCTTTGTTACCCCCCAAGTATGGCTGATTTACCCCCGGAGGGGTAATTACCCCCAGGTTCGGAACCCAGGCTCTAGAGGTATTCCAGGCGGATGGCATCTCCCCAGGGGGGGAGTCTCTCCGTCTGGAGCCTCTAGGCCACTCGGACCTGAGAAGTTTTAAACAACTCGCTTGCGAGTAGCGTAACCATCCGTCCGGATTGGTCAGGACATGTCCGGACTTTTTGCATTGTCTGGACTTTGTCGGACTTTTTGCTTGTCTGAACTTTGTCCGACTTTTTAATTTGTCCGGATTTTTTTTATTATGGTGGAATATGAGTAAAACTACTTATAAAGTTATATCATATAAGTCAAATAATCTGTATTAAGTTCTCATTAATTTAAAATAAAATATAAATTATTTGGTTCTTAGGTTTTCACGCACATCACTCATTAGATAAAACTAGTTTTTCACGAGTTAATGCACGAAACTTTATTTATTTATTGACGTTTCGCAGCCTTTACAGGCTGCTTCATCGGAATCAATTTTCGCAATAAAGCTGCCACGCGGACGCCCTAGATAGAGACGTATCATTTTAATACGGTAAAATAAAATATTACTATGTTCCGTCCAATATATTGCAAGTCAACAACCTTTCCAATTTTATTGTGTGTCATGACGCGATCAGCACACGTGTTTAACCTGATGCGAGTTTACCATTTATTACCCATACAAAAAAAAAGTGTACAACACCGCTAAAGAAGTTTTCACTTCAAAAAAAAAAGCTACTCGTCTCTATACGATCAAATACATAGTACGTACATTTCGCTAGCAAAGCATTTTTAACCGCAAGTAATTGTTTAGGTCAATATTTTTCCGTTTAAATATATTTCATAATCACGCCTAAGTTAGTTCGCGTTTGTCTCAAGCAGTGTGCACACAGTTACTTTCAAGTTTAATAATAAATATTTTCGTCAAGTTTATCAAGTGTTTTCCTGTCTTCGATATCAAGAAATAGCAATTCAATGTACTGAGTTGACAAGGGCTCGTACAGTCTGTATCGGCTACATACCGCAGTGGTGCGTGGGGCAGCACTGGCCGCGGTCTTGATGCGGGCGGGAGGTGTGGAAGCGCGGGCAGGCGGGCGCGCGCGGGCAGGCGGCGGGCTCGCACTCGAGCCGCAGCCGCGGGCAGCAGCCGCTCGCGTCGATCACACGCTTCATGCCCGGTTCCAGTTCTACCTCGCTCTCGTCGGGGATGTGCTCGCACTCGCTCTCAGGTTTGCATTCTATATAGGCAATTGGTATTTGAACGGTTGTTCGTAATTTGAAAATAAATAAATAATATAAATATTTCCACCACTCACACCAATAAGCCGAGTCCCAAAGTAAGCAGGCTTGTGATATGAGATACTAGGGTAACGGATAAAATACATATATTGTACATATACAAGTATATATATATATATATATATATATATATATATATATATATATATATATATATATATATATGTATAGAAACACATATTAAATTATTGTTTGTAACGTTTAATATGTATTTGACTGGAATACAAATGCTCATATTCATCACACAAACATCTGCCCCCACCGGGATTCGAACCCGAGACCTCTAGAGTCGGCGACATGAAACCCGGCGTACAAACCATTCGGCCACGGAGTATATTATCACACACATTCGGTCGTATATTTAATAATAAACACCGAATGCGAGTCTATCTCGCTTAATGACTCTGATCTTTTCATATATAAGTTCTAGACCCATAACAATAGATCGCTTTCAACTCTGAGAGTACTATCTTTAGATACTATTTTCATACAAAACAGCAACTCAAGATCGTTCTCAAGACTGTTCTCAAGATCGCTCTTAGAGTTGGGAGCGATCTATTAATACGTGCTTTAAATATCAAGCAAAGTACTAAAAAATCCCTTAATCTTCGACTTTTTTTATTGTTTGTTGTAATAGCTGCCACATGACGATGAGCAATCGAAATGTTTTGGAATCACATCGCTCGTTTAAATATCTTTTAAACCCAGAGGCACAACGGAGCTATGTTAACCTTTAAATGATCAAAAATTGTTATAACCACTGTAAATAGATTTAGTTAAATCGATTAAATTTCGTACCCACTATTAAAAAGTTGTTTAAGCCGTACAATTTCCATGAATTGCAATACCTATTTGCGACCCCAGAATCAGAGTAGGTGAATAAATCTCAAAAGAAAATAAGTAATGTGCTGAAATACAGCTTCAGCTTATGGTGCAAAAACCTGGGTTTTCACTAAGGAGATGAAGGACTACATAAGTTGAGTGTGACACAGCGGGCACGGGAGAGGAAACTGGTCGGAGTCACATAGAGGGACCGTAAGACAAATGAGTGGCTGAGACAACAGAGCAAGGTCACCGATGTTATCGACCGCGTAACCAGACTGAAATGGGAAGGGGCGGGTCATGTGGCACGCAAGACAGATTCGTGGACCAAGCGGCTCCTTATGTGGCGACCTTGGGGTCAAAAACGTCCTCCAAGAAGAACTCAGATGCGTTGGGACCATGACATTAAAAGAACAGCAGGAAAACATTGGCTTCAAGACGCACAAGATCGTGACAGGTGGCGTAATAAGAAGGAGGCCTACACCCAAAGGGTTGAGACAGGCAGAAAGAGAGAAAGAGAGAGAGAGAGACACTGCTTCAGCATATATTTCACAATCGAAACGACTTACCACAAACGAACTCCTTGCATTTATTAGCGGTAGTCTTCTCTTTGAGTACTTGTCCAAAACCGCATTCCATTTTCTTCGGCTCCTCGCATTCCTTTTCGACTTTGGGCACTGTAAAATGGATTCTGAGTTAGAGGTAATACGATGCAAGCACTATGTTTATGAGAGCCTGTACTTTGAATCCGAAAATATAGTATCGTTTGTATTGGTTCTGGTTCTAACAAAACTAAAACGGGGTTGTGCAACATTAAACAAATCGATTTTCTGACTTAGTACACCTAAGTTTGATTATAGCTTAGCAGACATAAGGGAAATGCAAGTCCAATGAGAGCCAGCTGGTTACTATATATGTTTCTGTAAGGGTGAAAAAGAAAGAGATATACCCATGTATCACCTTCTCTCTGACTAGTTTTTAGAATGCTTTCACTCACACGTCTTTTTTTTTAACGTTCGAGTGTGCAGATGTGAACCTACCACCATTACTTTGCTAAAGAATACCGAACCAACCGACTTGGTTTCTACGGAGAAGAAGATAAAGCAAACAGTGTGCGTAAATATTGAGTTTGCTATATTATATTCGCGGGAGCCGGCCGCTGCCGTATCAGCTGCTGGCCTACCGGACACAGTACAGTACCGCACAACAGTTTACTGTACACACTCACCGCACATATACTGGACACAGCAGGGCGCCGGGCCGGGAGCTGCCCGCTGCCGTACCAGCTGCTGGTCTACCGGGCACAATACAGTACCGCAGAACAGTTTACATACTCACCGCACATATATACTGGACACAGCAGGGCGCCGGGCCGGGAACTGCCCGCTGCCGTACCAGCTGCTGGCCCACCGGACACAGTACAGTACCGCACGACATTACTGTACACACTCACCGCACATATACTGGAACAGCAGGGCGCCGGACCGGGAGCTGCCCGCTGCCGTACCAGCTGCTGGCCCACCGAACATAGTACAGTACCGCACGATATTACTGTACACACTCACCGCACATATACTGGACACAGCAGGGCGCCGGGCCGTGAGCTGCCCGCTGCCGTACCAGATGCTGGCCCACCGGACACAGTACAGTACCGCACGATATTACTGTACACACTCACCGCACATATACTGGACACAGCAGGGCGCCGGGCCGGGAGCTGCCCGCTGCCGTACCAGCTGCTGGCCCACCGGCCACAGTACAGTACCGCACGATATTACTGTATACACTCACCGCACATATACTGGACACAGCCGGGCGCCGGGCCGGGAGCTGCCCGCTGCCGTACCAGCTGCTGGCCCACCGGACACAGTACAGTACCGCACGATATTACTGTACACACTCACCGCACATATACTGGACACAGCAGGGCGCCGGGCCGGGAGCTGCCCGCTGCCGTACCAGCTGCTGGCCCACCGGCCACAGTACAGTACCGCACGATATTACTGTATACACTCACCGCACATATACTGGACACAGCCGGGCGCCGGGCCGGGAGCTGCCCGCTGCCGTACCAGCTGCTGGCCCACCGGACACAGTACAGTACCGCACGATATTACTGTACACACTCACCGCACATATACTGGACACAGCATGGCGCCGGGCCGGGAGTTGCCCGCTGCCGTACCACCTGCTGGCCCACCGGACACAGTACAGTACCGCACGATATTACTGTACACACTCACGGCACATATACTGGACACAGCAGGGCGCCGGGCCGGGAGCTGCCCGCTGCCATTCCAGCTGCTGGCCCACCGGACACAGTACAGTACCGCACGATATTACTGTACACACTCACAGCACATATACTGGACACAGCAGGGCGCCGAGCCGGAAGCTGCCGCAGACGTACCAGCTGCTGGCTCACCGGACACAGTACAGTACCGCACGATATTACTGTACACACTCACCGCACATATACTGGACACAGCATGGCGCCGGGCCGGGAGCTGCCCGCTGCCGTACCAGCTGCTGGCCTACCGGACACACCGGCTCCACGCACGTCACAGTGCTGCACGATATATGCGTCTCGCGTGACCCGCTTACTTTACTGCAGCTACACTTTTTGCACGCGTTCTCCTACAATCAACACGTAATATTTGAATAAGAATGTATGTAACAGTTAACATTGCATGTGCTTCGCCAGGAAATCTACAGGGTGTTACAAAAATGCAAATAAAGCTTGAAGGATGTTGAAGTACATCATATAAGGAGTCTTCTCTAATTTTCTTAAAATATTTGCTCCAAGTTTTAACTTTTTATTAAGACAGTTATTTTTAATTATCCTCGAACTAGTGACGTATTTTAAAATGATCGATATTTTTATTAATTATTAAAAATAACTGTTTTTATAAAAAGTTTAAACTTCATGCAAATATTTTAAGAAAATTAGAGAAGACACCTTATATGATGTACTTCAACGCCCTTCAAGCTTTATTTGTATTTTTGCAACACCCTGTATAATGTAGTGATGGGCCCGATCGTGTTCGATCTGAGAGCATAGAAGTAAAGTTACTTTTATTGCCAGTCTTTGAAATAGTCCAATTTTCTATCTAAATATCTTTAATCAGTTGAGACGTTAATCAGTTGTCACATTGTCCTGAATGGGTGATAGGAAAAGTTGTTGGAAGATTCAAAACACCTTTCAATAAATCAATTTGAATAAAGTATAATTTCATTTCATTTTATTATGAGAAATTGTTGTGGCACGTGATTGAAAAAATACCTTGACACATATTCGACTTTAGTTGTTTTATTAAATCTATGATAGAATAGAAAATATTATGAGAAAGAACGTATTTATTGCAGTAAGTGGCCATTGACGTTGGTTAGAAAAGAAGGTTACATAGACGGCCACGCCACGAAATCGATAACCTAGTGATGGGCCCGATCTTGTACGGTCTGAGATCGTAGTAGTGAAGTTACTTAAATTTCGCCAGTCTTTGAAATAGTGACCAATTTACTATCTCGTACACGTTATACAGTTGAAGCCGATTGCATTCGTAATCGTTAGCAATGTTAGCATCCAATAATCTTCTTTAGGGCTATGTGGTGGATCATAGCACGATCTCCTTATTCCAACCATAGAAAAGCCCTATGCCTTTTAATTTAGATATAGAAATCTATAGTATATTTTATGAAACATTTAATTGTGAGATGTTTTTAAAGGAAGAAATCAATAATCAGTTTATAGTTTTTATTTTCACAAACAGCTCGAAGGACCAATTATGAAGATAGTTTAATAGAAAAATGCCTATATTTACCTGCCACTCATCACCTGCGTAGTGTTTCTTGTCGATGTCGCACGGGAAACATTTGGTCGGACTAATGCACGTGTTGTTTACGCGTACCTAAACCAACCAATAAAACGAAGTTTTATATTGATAACATTGAAATGTATTGAATTTCTTCGTCATTAATCAACTTTTCAAAGTTTTGAGATAGCAACATGTTACGTGCAAAAATATTCTTAAAATCGATTCCAGATCATTTATTAAATGTTTAGCCTGATATGAACTTAAAGCAAAGTTTGAAGGCTGTGCTAATGTTGTAAACAGACCCGTCTTTCCCAGTGGGCACTTTGGGCAAGTGCCCAGGGCCCCGCAATCAATACAAAATTCCTAGTTCCTGTTGAATCACCAAACGGAAGTCATAGGGGCCCCATTATCCTAAAACTAGCAAACCAGTGAACCAAATGTTCACCAAAACCTGATTTTAAAAAAAAATGTATTTAATTAATTGAGAACTTCGGAGATTTTGTGTGGTTTCGTTTGAAATTCGTGATTTCTCGAAAACCGGAAGTGCTACGTTACTCAAATCCGGTTTGTAGTCTTATCAGACTATTCTTAACTTATAACTTAAATATTCTCATTATCTATCTCTTACGGTTTGGCCGCTGAAACAGCACCACAGACAGACAGACGGACGGACTTGTCTAATAGATAAGAGATGCCCAGGGCCTCCAATGGGTCAAAGACGGCACGGCACTAGTTGGAAATTTGCCTTGTAGTAACCGGTACTGAAGCTGCTCAGTTATGTTTATATTTTCTAGTTTTTTAAATCCAATTTAAAACTAAGAGCCAAATTAGAAGTTTGTACGTAGATATTACCTTGCCCTCTGGACAGAAGCACCCTTCAACCTGCCTATTGGTGCACTTGCCGGGGTGTTTAGTCAGTTCTTCGTGGTTTTCGCAAGTGAGCTCGCAATCAACACATGGACGGTATACTAGTGGCTCCTCGCTGAGAACAATGCAATAATTTGTTTATAGAACTGGTGATTGACAATGCAGTATTTTTATTATATCCAAATACCCCGCTACGTATTCGAGAAATGCGCGTGGTGGATCGTAGCCCAATCTCTCTATTCCATCTATAGCGAATGCTTGTGTCCCAGCAGTGGTGACACAACATAAAGCGTGTTACAATAATAGAGATTAGATTTCCCTTTTTAAGTGTGAGAGACTTGTGCCAGAGATAACCATTCTCCCATAGCTTGAATTGGTTATATAAAATACAGCCAGTGTAGTGTTAAATAAGTACATACATACAAACATTACTTATGCTAGTAGCTCGCACATGTTTATTACAAATAATGTGTACATGCAAACTGTTAGTCCTAGTCAGTGTGGTAAATTTTCCGTTTCAGTACCGCTAGCACGAACCAATATCGAATTCGTAACGTTTGCGAGTACGAAATGTCATTGTCAATTGTGTACTGACTTTTAGTTCTCGTTACGTACTTTGTGCCGCTGCTGTTCAAGTTTCCATACAAAATTTGACATTGACATTTCGGTCTGCAAACTATTCGAATTCGATAATGGTTCGTGCTAAGGGTACAGTTTCCTCATAACCAAGAGTTGTCAGCCGTTGTTACCGATTGTAACTGGATGATGATAACTTACCATGGATACGGGCAGAGTGCCTCTCGTTCTCGCCATTGTAAACAGACGCCCTGCTGACGGCACGCGTCCGCGTATCTCGCCAGTATAGAGCACACGTCTACGTCCTTCGACGTGCAGTATTCGTCCTCGCACGCCTCTAGGAACTGTTGCGGGTCCACTAATGCATGACACTGTGAGGGAAAAAAGTGACATTTCTAAACACAACGACTTTTTTGCGGAAAATTGTAAATTTTTTCTTCTGTTACTTTACATACCTACAAGTTGATATACATATATGTCATATACATTTTTCAGAATTAAACTTCAGATATGAATTATGTCCAATATAACTCAAGAACATCACGTATTTTTTTACAATAATATATAGCTAAATATATAGAAAAAATAAAAAAACTCAACAAAAGGGAAGGCCTGTGCCATATCAGTGAGAAAATTATAAAAATAGGATGATGATATGGAAATAAAAGTGGTCCCAGAATTGAACCCTGTGGAAGCCGAAAAAAATAAAAGTCTTCTCACTGACCTGTCCGAATGCTTCTGGATTGAGTAGTTTATAGCAGAGGTTATCTTCTGGCAGGTGGCATGGCGGTGGGGGCGGTTGGTCGCACTGCAGTTGATCCGAGGGTAGATCTAGCGCTGTAAGCGCTGTAGGGGTCGCTTTCCAACTCTTGCTGTACTGTACGGTTATTAAATAAAATTGTTAATACGTCGCGATATCTGAACGACTAATACTAAGATATTCGCCATTGTCGTACGTAAAACGGATTACAAATTGCATACAAAAGGAGCTGCGTTATTATTGTGTCATGTGCGGCTACACTCAGAAATGTAAAATAACTTTTGAATATGATTCAAGTTAGTATTAATGCGACTATAATAGTATAACGCTATTGTACAGTATCAAGCACGTCTGCAATCGTGGAACTCTTGCAGATGACAATGGCCGGTCATACGATGGATGATCAAAATTTTATTATCTGCAGATAAGGTTCGAGAGGGGGATTATTTATTTATTTATTTATTTAGGCATGCTAACAGTCACACGTATTCATACATTAATGATTGAAAAGGATACTATACAATTTTCTTATATGCGGACCAATTTGCATACACAACAATCAAAATAAAGTTAATATACAACTTGATACAATTTAACAAATTGACCTGATCACAAATCTATATATATCATAGATAGACTGATTGACTGCGTAATTTTTTTCAAATACACAAACAAAACAAGAGCAGATCGTTCGCAAATTATTTCGTCATTTATTTATTTGTTGTACCAAAATGTTTCAACAATTACCTCTAAAGGAAATAAGGCCATCACTAAATATATCTATACTCGGATCTTTGGCACATTGAGCTACCAATTTTCAAGCAGCCTTAATAGGCTGATGATGATAATGTCTCACCTCTTGCACGTCATCAGTAGCGGTCCCGTTGCTGGTGAGTAAATGTTCGTGTTGTCCGGCACATACGCCGCAGAGACCGTCTGTCCGGTTGCCATATAAGTATGAAGGTACTCGTACTGTCGTTGCGAGTTTAGACTGCTGTACGGTCACCTGAGAGAGGAATTTATGCGAATTACATCAATTATTAAAAGACAATATAGATTTTAAGCTATGTAAATATCCTTCCAATATCACCAACATATAATAAATTGGTAGGAAAGCCGAAACTGTACGTTGAATTATTTTTAAAAGAATACTTGGGGTGTGATCTACAATCGATACCGAAGCCAAAAATATAGTTTTTAGAATTTTTGTCTGGTTGCCTGTTTGTCTGTATGTATGTCCGGGATAAACTCAAAAAGTACTGCATGGATTTACTTCAAATTTGGCACGAATATAATTAATAAGTCGGGTCAACATATAGGCTACATATTATCACGAAACTCCACCCCTAAGGGTACCCCCATACGGGAGTTGGAAGGTTGTATGAAAGTCCTATGTTCTTGAGGTAAGAGACTTGAAATTTAACATGTAGGAGTATGCTCTTTAGATGGTGTAGAGGTGTACTAATAATGTATCTTTAAAAATAAACCCCCTTTTGGGGTCAAACAGTTTGTGCAAATAATTAATGCGTACGAAGTCGCGGGCGGCTGCTAGTAAATATATAAAAAGAAATCAGGTCCGCTACCATACTTAATAAGCCGAAGCAAACAAACATAACACCGAATCGTTTTTGATTTCTAAAAGTATCTAATAGTATGGCAAAGCTATTGTCTTCTAAAAGAACATTATAGAATGTTATAATTGAACTAGATTTATTATTTTTTACAATATTATAGTGTTAATTCTCATTCCAGGTATGATCGATATTATTATTTGGTGATTTGGTGAGGGTAGTTCTGCATCGTTATGATTTTAAGAGAAAAATGTTTTCCATACCTCTACACTAGCATCAGTGAGCAGGACGGAAACATCTTGTCCGTTGAGCAGGCTTATTGTCACCCAGGACTTTTTCACCGGGTACTGGAACACTGCCTCTGAGCCGATCGTCGTCACGAGCTAATAAAATACCAAAGATAAGTAAAAAGTTCTTTGAAAAAAGCGGAACTGAACGGAAAAGGCACAATAACATGAGTCCTGTTAGGTCATAACAACATTAAACTGATAAATTGAATCTTATTTTGGACGAGGTTATGTGTAGAAATAACTGGCTTGATAATTCGCAAGCATTCCTAAATGGTATGAATTAGGAACACTGTACTATAGATTTTAAACATTGGCTTTGTTATTTCTATTTCGAGTGTGTAATGCTTACTTTTTATGCTTAGTTAAAGAGTTGTCATTTGTTTTCTTTACACCCAAGCTTTAAAACCTCTATTAAATATTCTGAGATTGTAAGGTTAATGCCAATTTTTTGAAGTGAAAACTTCTTTAGCGGCGATGTACACTTTTTTTTGTATGGGTAAAAAATGTTAAACTCACGTCAGGTTAAACACGTGGGCTGATCGCATCATGACACAGAATAAATTTGGAAAGGTTGTTGACTTTCAATAGATTGGACGAAACATAGTAATATTTTATTTTATCGTATTATAATAATAAGTCTCTATCTAGGACGTCCACGTGGCAGCTTTATTGCGAAGAAAATGCATTTTTACAATAGACGTCGCTAGGTGCGCTTAAATGTGATTCATGTAAGTTGATTTCTTTACAATAGATGTCACTAAGTGCGCTTAAACGTGATTCATGTAAGTTGATTTTTCTGAGAGGTAAACTTTTTTAATGTAATATAAATTGTCATGTTTGTGTACCGTTGCTTTTTAAATCTTACCGTGCTAAAGGCTTACTCATCAGACAGCCGTAATTTTCATTGCTCAATGTGTGATATTGTGAATTTCAAATAGAGAACATTATCATTCACGCGCCTTTTATTACCACAGCGCCGAAACTTTTGATGAATTTTAAGTTCTTAAAACGCCCCATGGTTTCCGAATCTTTTATAGAGGATTTATACACCCATGGGCGTGTAGATAAAGTCTTGTATGCAACTGTTCATAATTAGGTTTTAAAACACTCGTGTGATACTATTGTCCATCATTATACAACAGTTGCATAAATAACTATTGAGTTCTGTGTACCACTGTTTTTATTAAATATAAAGTTTTACAGGTACCTTTTGTGTATTGGGATCCTTGGTGACATGTATCACCATCTTCTCGTACACCACGTGGACGGTTTTCGTGCACGACACATTGGCGTTGCTCTCGCAAGGGCCATTCGTTGCGTATACCTATCGTAAAAATTATAAGTAGATATAAAACTAACATATAATAACATGGATTCGTCTTTCCTTGCTATAAGCTAATTATTATATTATTCTTTTTTATTTTTAGTTTCTTTTTGCCTCTGATTTTAGAGGACCGGGTTTTTACATATAGAAAATGTATACTAATATGAGAAAAGATGTTTTCTATGATGCAAAATTCGTTTCGAGTGTTTTTTTTTTCAAATATATTGGATAGTGGAAGGTGCTAAGTAAAGCCATGTTCAGACAGAATCAACAACCTAAAACAGCAATATCAGCAAATGGCTCATATCAAATTATGACAAAAAGAACTAGTTGCGTTCGGTATTTGCATCGCAGAGGCATGGATGGTTTTTTGGTCACGTGATCAAAGACTAATATGAACAAATTGCTATTACCGCACGGCCCGAACAACCGTAGATTAATTTTTAACCTCAAACAGACTATAACCCCACAACGTGACAAAACCAGATTAATCTTTCTCGCCGGTCAAATTGCTCTGAGCAAACAGATTTACATCGGACTGATCTGAGCGGAATTACCCAAAACTTATTTACTCTAGATGAAAAAACGAAACGAACGATTCAGACTAAAAAGATTGATCAGACGCAAATAATGAACACAGATTTATAGTTATATATTTTATTAACGGGATTGTTACCATGTACCTTGTTTTTAGCGAGTTTCCCATATTTTACAAGGTACATGGTAACAATCCCGTTAATAACATATATAACTACTAGCGGACCCGACAGACATTGTCCTGTCTACACGTCTTTGTGAATCTAAACCATTCTCAGATCCCCTTGAACACACACAAAAAATTTCATCAAAATCGGTCCAGTCGTTTAAGAGAAGTTCAGTGACATACACACTCATAGAAGAATTATATATATAAAGACTAGCTGACCCAGCGAACTTCGTACCGCCCTAAAAAAATAGGGGTTATCCAGCGGACAAAATTGTGAATCTAAACCATTCTCAGATCCCCTTGAACACACACAAAAAATTTCATCAAAATCGGTCCAGTCGTTTAAGAGAAGTTCAGTGACATACACACTCACAGAAGAATTATATATATATAGATAAAGCTGTGTTCATTATTTGCGTCTGATCAATCTTTTTAGTCTGAATCGTTCGTTTCGTTTTTTTCATCTAGAGTAAATCTGAAGTTTTGGGTAATTCCACTCAGATCAGTCCGATGTAAATCTGTTTGCTCTGAGCAAAGAAAAAGAGAATATATTACTATAATGTTAGTGACCATGAAAGTTTAAAAACAATGTCATGAACACAGCTACTCTAAAAGCGTCCCCTCAGCACAGGTATTAGGCGGGATTATTAAATTATTATGATAAATTCATTAATTCATAACTCAGCCTCCATAGCATTACTATAGCAACAAATTGATATACCGATAAATCATCTAAATAATGGTATCGATTCTGGCATGATTCTCTAAACTAAAGACTAAATTTAACATCAGTCTCTCCAGAGAATGACAAGGATGCACTGTTGTCCAATTTCAGTTTAGCATATCTATACTGATATTATGAATGCGAAAGTGTGTCTGCCTGTTACCTCTTCACGCTTAACTCGCTGAACCGATTAAGATGAAATTTGGCAAACAGATAGTTTGGAATCCGGGAAAGTAAATAGGAGAGAATCCGAGAATTCATCCTGGAATGGGTTAAATAAAAAAGAGTTTCTATGAAAAATCAATTTTTCCACCCAGACGAAGTCGCATATCTATTGATTTTCTAACCTCATATCGATGCAGTCCGGTGTCGTTCTTATCCCTGGATGCGAGGTAGGTGCAGTCGCCGAGCAGTGGAAACGAGTCGCCTTCGAATGTGGTGTAGTCCACAGGAGTGCCCACGGTTTTACACACACCTGTCAAAAATATATAATATCTATCTGTACTGTGTTTCTTATAGGTATGAGGTACTACGCTAATCTTTTTAAAAATTATCTTGGGGTTTATTCATCCAAGGCATATTCATTTACACTTAGAGAATGATCTAAGCTTTCCCTGTCAAATGATAAAATACAACTGGGAGCTAACTATTAGAGAGAAAAAACGGTGCGGCCATAGTACCTATGGTATAGGTTTTGGGTACTGTAACGTCCGTTACGTTACAGCCTCCTTGTTTGGGTAAACTCTTTGTTCATGCAATGCCTACGGCTGGCAGTTCTATTAAAAAGTTAATGTCATGATTTTAATATTTGAAATAAGAGATCGTCTGTCTTTTGATAGAAGATTCCAGATCATATGGACTTCAGGCACCAAACCACTCGTTGATAGATAAAGTTCACATATTATATTCGCCTGATAAAATAGAAGAGTTAAATATCTAATTAGTTTTCATTTATAACGTTACGCCCCCAGGTTCTACCCCTTCAGGGTAGAACTCCGCAGTACACCATCGTTTTTACTTTTACCTAATAATTGTCAATTTCATGCGAGATGGGTTTAGTTTGTTGTATGTAGCAGTTGCAGCCCTGGAAGCACTGGCTGTTCTCCACTGGGCAGGAGGTCACAAAATAAACAAACTTACATTCGAGGCAGTGTACCAGTGAAAGGCATTTTTTGTAACTAAATACTAAAGTAATTGTTATCGTTCGAAAGATTACTCAGTTGAAGTGGCAATGGGCGGGACACATAGCGAGGAGAACCGATGGCCGTTGCGGAGGAAAAGATCACAAGTAGCTACGTACCGGATGTTGCTCAGCAGGTAGGCGCCCACCAGGTGGACCGACGATCTATTGAAGATCGCGGGAAACCGGACAGCTCAGGGCCGGCCAGCGTGGAGAATTTTGAGTGAGAGTAGGCGTCGTATGGTTGAATAAAACAGTAACTTACAGTAGAAGCAGTCCCTCGACGTGAGGCATTTATTGCCAGCTCATAACGTTCTATCGGGTTATTAGCAGCCCAAGAGGCATGGGCCGTCTTACGCTGGGCAGGAGGTGACAATATAAGACACTTACAGTCGAGGCAGTCCTTCGGTGCAAGGCATTTATCGCCAGCTCGTAACGTTCCATCGGGACAGTAGCAGCTCGGGAAGCACTGGCCGTTTTATGCCGGGCAGGAGGTGACAATATAAGACACTTAGAGTCGAGGCAGTCCTTTGGTGCGAGGCATTTATCGCCAGCTCGTAACGTTCCATCGGGACAGCAGCAGCCCGGGAAGCACTGGCCGTTTTATGCCGGGCAGGAGGTGACAATATAAGACACTTACAGTCGAGGCAGTCCTTCGGTGCAAGGCATTTATCGCCAGCTCGTAACGTTCCATCGGGACAGTAGCAGCTCGGGAAGCACTGGCCGTTTTATGCCGGGCAGGAGGTGACAATATAAGACACTTACAGTCGAGGCAGTCCTTCGGTGCAAGGCATTTATCGCCAGCTCGTAACGTTCCATCGGGACAGTAGCAGCCCGGGAAGCACTGGCCGTTTTATGCCGGGCAGGAGGTGACAATATAAGACACTTAGAGTCGAGGCAGTCCTTTGGTGCGAGGCATTTATCGCCAGCTCGTAACGTTCCATCGGGACAGCAGCAGCCCGGGAAGCACAGGCCAGCTTACGCCGGGCAGGAGGTGACAATATAAGACACTTACAGTCGAGGCAGTCCTTCGGTGCGAGGCATTTATCGCCAGCTCGTAACGTTCCATCGGGACAGCAGCAGCCCGGGAAGCACAGGCCAGCTTACGCCGGGCAGGAGGTGACAATATAAGACACTTACAGTCGAGGCAGTCCTTCGGTGCGAGGCATTTATCGCCAGCTCGTAACGTTCCATCGGGACAGCAGCAGCCCGGGAAGCACAGGCCGTCTTACGCCGGGCAGGAGGTGACAATATGAGACACTTACAGTCGAGGCAGTCCTTCGGTGCGAGGCATTTATCGCCAGCTCGTAACGTTCCATCGGGACAGCAGCAGCGCGGGAAGCACTGGCCGTTTCATGCCGGGCAGGAGGTGACAATATAAGACACTTACAGTCGAGGCAGTCCTTCGGTGCGAGGCATTTATCGCCAGCTCGTAACGTTCCATCGGGACAGCAGCAGCGCGGGAAGCACTGGCCGTTTCATGCCGGGCAGGAGGTGACAATATAAGACACTTACAGTCGAGGCAGTCCTTCGGTGCGAGGCATTTATCGCCAGCTCGTAACGTTCCATCGGGACAGCAGCAGCGCGGGAAGCACTGGCCGTTTCATGCCGGGCAGGAGGTGACAATATAAGACACTTACAGTCGAGGCAGTCCTTCGGTGCGAGGCATTTATCGCCAGCTAGTAACGTTCCATCGGGACAGCAGCAGCCCGGGAAGCACAGGCCGTCTTACGCCGGGCAGGAGGTGACAATATGAGACACTTACAGTCGAGGCAGTCCTTCGGTGCGAGGCATTTATCGCCAGCTCGTAACGTTCCATCGGGTCAGCAGCAGCGCGGGAAGCACAGGCCGTCTTACGCCGGGCAGGAGGTGACAATATAAGACACTTACAGTCGAGGCAGTCCTTCGGTGCGAGGCATTTATCGCCAGCTCGTAACGTTCCATCGGGACAGCAGCAGCCCGGGAAGCACAGGCCGTCTTACGCCGGGCAGGAGGTGACAATATGAGACACTTACAGTCGAGGCAGTCCTTCGGTGCGAGGCATTTATCGCCAGCTCGTAACGTTCCATCGGGACAGCAGCAGCGCGGGAAGCACTGGCCGTTTCATGCCGGGCAGGAGGTGACAATATAAGACACTTACAGTCGAGGCAGTCCTTCGGTGCGAGGCATTTATCGCCAGCTCGTAACGTTCCATCGGGACAGCAGCAGCGCGGGAAGCACTGGCCGTTTCATGCCGGGCAGGAGGTGACAATATAAGACACTTACAGTCGAGGCAGTCCTTCGGTGCGAGGCATTTATCGCCAGCTCGTAACGTTCCATCGGGACAGCAGCAGCGCGGGAAGCACTGGCCGTTTCATGCCGGGCAGGAGGTGACAATATAAGACACTTACAGTCGAGGCAGTCCTTCGGTGCGAGGCATTTATCGCCAGCTAGTAACGTTCCATCGGGACAGCAGCAGCCCGGGAAGCACAGGCCGTCTTACGCCGGGCAGGAGGTGACAATATGAGACACTTACAGTCGAGGCAGTCCTTCGGTGCGAGGCATTTATCGCCAGCTCGTAACGTTCCATCGGGTCAGCAGCAGCGCGGGAAGCACAGGCCGTCTTACGCCGGGCAGGAGGTGACAATATAAGACACTTACAGTCGAGGCAGTCCTTCGGTGCGAGGCATTTATCGCCAGCTCGTAACGTTCCATCGGGACAGCAGCAGCCCGGGAAGCACAGGCCGTCTTACGCCGGGCAGGAGGTGACAATATAAGACACAGTCGAGGCAGTCCCTCGGCGCAAGGAATTTATCGCCAGCTCGTAACGTTCCATCGGGATAGTAACAGCCCGGGAAGCATTGGCCGTTTTATGCCGGGCAGGAGGTGACAATATAAGACACTTACAGTCAAGACAGTCCTTCGGCGCGAGGCATCTATACCCAGTTCGTAAAGTTCCATCGGGACAGCAGCAGCCCGGGTAGCACTGGCCGTTTTATGCCAGGCAGGAGGTGACAATATAAGATACTTACAGTCGAGGCAGTCCTTCGGTGCGAGGCATTTATCGCCAGCTCGTAACGTTCCATCGGGACAGCAGCAGCCCGGGAAGCACAGGCCAGCTTACGCCGGGCAGGAGGTGACAATATAAGACACTTACAGTCGAGGCAGTCCTTCGGTGCGAGGCATTTATCGCCAGCTCGTAACGTTCCATCGGGACAGCAGCAGCCCGGGAAGCACAGGCCAGCTTACGCCGGGCAGGAGGTGACAATATAAGACACTTACAGTCGAGGCAGTCCTTCGGTGCGAGGCATTTATCGCCAGCTCGTAACGTTCCATCGGGACAGCAGCAGCCCGGGAAGCACAGGCCGTCTTACGCCGGGCAGGAGGTGACAATATGAGACACTTACAGTCGAGGCAGTCCTTCGGTGCGAGGCATTTATCGCCAGCTCGTAACGTTCCATCGGGACAGCAGCAGCGCGGGAAGCACTGGCCGTTTCATGCCGGGCAGGAGGTGACAATATAAGACACTTACAGTCGAGGCAGTCCTTCGGTGCGAGGCATTTATCGCCAGCTCGTAACGTTCCATCGGGACAGCAGCAGCGCGGGAAGCACTGGCCGTTTCATGCCGGGCAGGAGGTGACAATATAAGACACTTACAGTCGAGGCAGTCCTTCGGTGCGAGGCATTTATCGCCAGCTCGTAACGTTCCATCGGGACAGCAGCAGCGCGGGAAGCACTGGCCGTTTCATGCCGGGCAGGAGGTGACAATATAAGACACTTACAGTCGAGGCAGTCCTTCGGTGCGAGGCATTTATCGCCAGCTAGTAACGTTCCATCGGGACAGCAGCAGCCCGGGAAGCACAGGCCGTCTTACGCCGGGCAGGAGGTGACAATATGAGACACTTACAGTCGAGGCAGTCCTTCGGTGCGAGGCATTTATCGCCAGCTCGTAACGTTCCATCGGGTCAGCAGCAGCGCGGGAAGCACAGGCCGTCTTACGCCGGGCAGGAGGTGACAATATAAGACACTTACAGTCGAGGCAGTCCTTCGGTGCGAGGCATTTATCGCCAGCTCGTAACGTTCCATCGGGACAGCAGCAGCCCGGGAAGCACAGGCCGTCTTACGCCGGGCAGGAGGTGACAATATAAGACACTTACAGTCGAGGCAGTCCTTTGGTGCGAGGCATTTATCGCCAGCTCGTAACGTTCCATCGGGACAGTAGCAGCCCGGGAAGCACTGGCCGTCTTCCACAGGGCAGGAAGTGACACCCAGGGTAGAGCACGAAGGTTCGCAGCGACGTCGGTAGCAGTCCTTGTGCACTAGAGGCGGCGGGCATTCCGCAGCTGGGCGAAAACAAATAGGGTTAGAAGCAAATAATAGCGGAAAACTTATAATTATATTAATTAATAGGCGAAGGAAAATCTTTCATAGCCCTTTTTAAATATGAAGCTTCATAAGTCTATCTATGTAAAGACGTGCATAAGGGTTTTCAGAGACGCTGGTAGCAGTCCTGGTGCACTAAGGGCGGTGGGTATTCCGCAGCTGGACAAACCAAATAATTTGGATTGGATGTACAGTGGTGTCGATTCTGGCATTGTTTTCTAAACTTAAAACTAAATTTAACGTAAGTCTCTCCTTTATTATATTTTTTAAGCATTTATCTGCTAAATATTTAAGAATCAGTCTCTTCTTTTCATTCTGTATAGAAAATGTCTAGGATACACTGTTGTCAATTTAATTTATGTTTAGAGAATATTTTTTATTTATTTATATTCAGGCATCGTAGGCCCATAGAAATATATACCTTACTAGCTGACCCAGCGAACTTCGTACCGCCCTAAATAAAATAGGGGTTGTCCAGCGGACAAAATTGTGAATCTAAACCATTCTCAGATCCCCTTGAACACACACAAAAAATTTCATCAAAATCGGTCCAGTCGTTTAAGAGAAGTTCAGTGACATACACACTCACAGAAGAATTATATATATAAAGATAGTCTAACATAGATATGAAATATAAAATAATAACAAATTCTGAATATAATAATATAATGCCATTATAACCTTAAAAGCTGAAGATGTGATGAAATATCTAAATAAATGGTAAACGAAGGTAAATGTGCTTCTTCTTTGTCAATTATTATAATAATACTTGGTATATAAAGAAAAAATTAAACGAAAAAAGAGGGAAGAGATTGAAAAAAATGTAGCTAATATATTATATTATCCAAATAAGCTGTCAATCCTATATAGATAATACAGAATGTTAGTAAAAGAATGACTTTGAGCCTGTTTCGACACTTGGCATTTGCTGTGTCTATTCAGAACTTTGTAATGTATTAGTATGTATGTAACTTAGGTGCCAGTTAAACAAATTATTGGCTCACTGTATTGGCCTTCAATAGTAAAATCTGGCTAATAAAGGTGTAAATCAGTACACTCTCATTTGGTAAAGTTTTTAAAAGATTCAGTTGAAAAAAACACTCCAAAATTTCTCATAGCAAATCCTGAAAGTCGAGCTGCATCCGCCAAGTACTGACATCGGCTTCCTTGTCCTGCGCCAAGCATTCTACCACTATCTGTTGCACCACCAGGCAGCAGCACTGCTCCTCCACCCACTTGGTACCGGTCACCTAAACAGCTTCCGCCAAGAAATCACAAAAAATCCACACGACAGTCCAGCAGTATCCTCCAGGCACTGATATCGGCTTCCTTGTCCGCAGCCAAGCATTCAGCCACCATCTGTTCCATAACCAGGCAGCAGCACCGCTTTTCCGTCAGCTTGGTGCCGTTAACCTAAAGAGTCTGTCAAGAAAACATAAAAATTCCTCATGACAACTCACGACAGTCCAGCTGCATCCTCCAGGCACTGACATCGGCTTCCTTGTCTGCAGCTAAGCATTCAGCCACCATCTGTTCCACAACCAGGCAGCGGCATTGCTCTTCGGTCCTCTTGGTGCCGTTCACTTCCAGATCTTTACAGTGGCAGATCTTCTCCAAGCATATGCTGCGCCACTTGTCGAGGTTTAGGACTTTGCCGCATTTAGATAGTGGCTCTTTCCTGGCGATATGAAATAGTTAAATGGGTTAATCAAAGTCCGCTTTATTCCGAAACGCGGACTAAAGTGAGTCTTGCTTTAAACCTGATGTTGCCTCTGTCTCTTTTTAGCGAACAGAGGTGACAACATCCGTTTTAGTCTAGGTTTAACTTTAGTTTACTTTTTGTAATAAGGCGGAGTAAGTTAGTTTTGTAAAGCCTAGGTTAAACTTATGACCGCGGCCATTCGGAGACGGGTTCCGCGACCACACCCGCCCTCTCGGCACGCACTAGGGGGACCGCGGTCCTCATAGTACGTGTAGAGTGACGGTGCAGGAGTATTGTCTAGTTTTTAGTGGGCCTGTTCAGGGCGTAGGTAGGGCCCTGTTCACATCAGCGAGCTCCAGGGCTGGGAGGAGACCCACATACCTTCTTCTCGCTCCCCCAATGGTTGAAGGATGCGTAAGGCATTTTCCAGACACAGAAAAAAAGATTAAACTCATGGCGATAAATGCAAATAGTGGTATGTTGAATGAAGTTAAGTTATCGCATTGTCGGTGTATTATCATGTATCAAAGCTTTTGACAGTCATAGCCATGGGGCCACACATATCGCAATAGGTACCTTACGTCAGCTGATCAGTGAAACACATAGAAATAGAGTATGGACTGAGCGGCAAGAAATTATTAAATAAAACAAGTTTCTACGTAACAGATGGACTGATTTATTTGTTTATTGACGTTTTGCATCCGTATCAGGCTACGTCGTCAGAATTAGTCTAACGACGAAACCTGAAAAGGATCAAAAATCAATCAATCAAATCAATTTGTGGCCCGTATTATAGACAGATTCTCAGTGATTGATCTAGTCTTGAGTATAGTTAGAAAGGGATGTCGCTATATACAGCACATAACGACATCCCTTTCTAACGTTCTAACGTACCCAAGGAAAGGTCAACACTTAGTTGTCATTCTGTAATACGGACCTAAGAAGTTGTGCCTGCACCGGAACGTCGCTCCATTGCTACCAGTAGAAGCAGCTTTGACCCACGTGGTCAAAAAACCCCCATCTTCATTCTCCACGCAATTAAAATTTTGTATACTCAACTTTTCTTTATATTCGCAATATACGCATTATTCAAGACACAACTGAGCTTTATTGAAGAGTACGCATAACGCCGATACACAGTTAATAACGCGTGGTGGCATCCCCATGCGGCGGCCACCTTCTGCCGTCTCTGGGCGTGCCGTCCGTCAGTATATATACACTCACGTGATGACGTTACACAGCTCCCAGGCGCGTCGTTGTTCCTGCTCTTGTGCCACTCTCGTCTGACAGGCGTCCGGGGGGAGCCCGGGGCGACCCCAAGCGGCCGCCATCTGTTGCCCGCTGGTGGCCAGGGTACCATCAGGCAGACGTTGCTCATTACGCAATGACCCGTCGAACGCACCGCATAAACCGTCCACGTAACCCATGTAGCTCTTCAACACCTTATATAACAAAATAATTAAGATACATTTTTTTAAGGCCAGGAAGACAAATGACTCTACCCCACCTGATGTTAAGTGGTGATAGAGTCCAAACGCGAAGACAGCTGGTGCAGCAGTTATAAACTGCCACACCAACAATCCTCACATGCAAAAATGCCTTCACGCCTCATTTAAAGGACCCCAGATTGCAGGAAGGAGGGAACACGTGCGCGGGCAACGAATTCCACTTGCGAAAAGTACGACAAAAAATGAGTCACCAAATTTTTTTGGTAGTGTAGGAATAGTGGCCACAGTAAGTCGGTGACAACGTTGGCCAGCGCGCGTGATCCAATGACGAATTTGTCCCTAATTATCAATTACTTCTACGGCAAATTAAATTTCCTTGCTAATAAAACTGTCTAATTCCCCGTCTACATTCAGCCCATTCGCGCGGCATCCAGCAGGAGCATGGCTCTTAAAGTGGGTAATTCGTGAACAAGTCTCTTTAATTGCCGTTGATATTGACTCCAAATCAATACAATTCAATAATGTAAACACACATTGCCCTTGACCTTGCTTAATTGTATTTTGGCAAGCATTTTATAGTAACGGAAACGCGAAGGGCAATGGAAGTGGTCGAATGTAAATGGGATATTAGATATGTAGTCAAGGTAGCCCACACTCACGTTGAATTCAAAGAATCTACTCACCCCGATTTTAATATCTCCGTCAGCATTAAACAGCACCGTGAAATTGTACTTCCTCGAAGATATGAACAATCCGTTGCCTACTCGGGCGACGTTGAAACTGTTCCTCTGGAAGCAAATCTTGGCGGTCTGTTCGACGGTATATTCATAGTTGTCGTATTCGATCATCAGGTCAGGCTTCACTTTGATCAGCTGGTCGTCCTGGTGGATGATCAGCATGTTCTGACATCCCTCTAGACGGCATTTCTTCCGAACTGTTTAGGGGAGAAAATAACTTTTTAGAGTACAAAAGAGATGTTGGTATACTATAAGTTAGTAATAAGTGAAAAAGCAAGAATTTCAATATTCAGTAGCAGTAGTTCATTCCTTTTTTTTTTAAAAAATATAACCTATAGCCTTCCTCGAAAAATGGACTACCCAACACTGAAAGAATCATTCAAATCGGACCAGTAGTTCCAGAGATTAGCGCGTTCAAACAAACAAACAAACAAACTCTGTAGCTTTATAATATTAGTATAGATAAAAATGGTCTTTTTATTATTACCTGTATTTATGATAAAACTAAAGTTCGTATATTTCCCTCTTCCAGTACTCATTTTATATAAATTTCATATGATTTATTTTCATCTTTTGTTTACAAATGTTTGCGAGATATTTATTCTAAGATTAGCTCAGTGTTAAAAAAAGTGTTCCAAGTTTTTTTTCATATCGTACTTTTCAAGCGATATTTGACAGATGGAGGTCATTGGCTTTCCTATTATTATTTGAATCGCAGAGTAACTGAAGTAATTGCGGGTAGCTGTTATTGGTAGACATATCGGTCTTCCCTCTGACGTCGTCTTTTACTGCGCTCGATACCCCTACCACTGGTCACATTCTCACTATGCACTCGCACTTGTTCCCGACACACAATACTCACAGTATCTGATCGCGGAACTACACTTTTTTTATTTTTGCGGTTTTTGCACATACGAACCACTGGATTTCAGATACTTAACAATTTAAACCTATCCTCACGATTGAAATTCTTGAGTCGGTTATTACAATCGCTTCCCTGACTAATCTTGGTATGTAGTGACGTTTTGTCGAGATAATTTGTGGATATAAGGAGCTCAATCCAGTGATTAGGACCCGAATCAATTAAATGTTCCGCGATGGTTGATTTTTTGCGTATTATTATTATTCTTTCATTGGGCATACTATTGTGCGCTTCGTTTGGCCAATATACGAACTACCACAGCTACAGTTGATCTTATATACAACAGTTCTCTCCAAGGGGAAGTTGTCTTTTGGAGATCGTAGAATCTGTGACACTTTTTGTAAAGAAGTGAAGACAGTATTCAGTGAGTACTTATTAAGTATTTTCGAGATCTTGTCTGTCACCATTTTGATTTATGGCAAAAATACTGGTTGCCTACATTGTGTTTATGGTGTCTTAATTTGTGCGCTTGCATCAGTGCCGAAATATCGGAGACTCATAAAAACAAGGTATATGGTAACGATCCCGTTAATAGCTATAATATTAAAATTAAGTATAAATAAATATTTCCAACAATCACACCAATTAGCCTAGCCCTAAAGTACTGTACAGTACTGTAGGCTTGTATTATGGGATACTAGGGTAACGGACAGAATACATATACTGATATATTTTTATAAAAATACATATCAAACATCCATGACTGGAGTACAAATGCTCGTATTCATCACACAAACATCTGCCCCCACCGGGATTCGAACCCGGCTCTCGAGTCGGCGTAACATGAAACTCGGCGTATAAACCACTCGGCCACAGAATATATACACTACACTCGGCAGAGGTCGTCACTATATTATTTTTTTCACTTTGTATAATAATATATACTCACCGAGAACGCTCCAGGCATCATGTCGCGTGTCTCGAGCCAGAATGTGGTCACACAGCTCGTACTTGTATTCGGCTCCGTCGAAAGTGCTCACAGCACGCCCTGTCACGTTGCAGTACGCGGCCCGAGGGGGTGGCGGCACGCATGAATATCTGTGATACGCGGAGAGGTTAATATAAAGTCAAATCTTTTAGGAGAGAGGGAATCTTGTATGAACTTGTACTTTTTACAGATGCGTTTCTCAAACAAGAAATAGTTAGATGCGGTAATATGGTTATCACAAACGAGTAGGCGAATGTAAGCTCAAGACCAGGTCGAGGGCTTACAATAGTCACGAGCTTGTAAATACCAATTCCGCACGAATGTCATACAACGTTTTTCAACACATTTGCGAGAGACAAGAGTATAATTTTTAAGTTATGATGCAAACTTTTTCTAAGAAGAAAATGGCGCGCATTTCCGCGTGGCGCCACGTGATAGTGGTGAATATTAGAACTACATCTTTCGGCTCCTTTCTTTTTATAGTATTAAAATGAGACAAAAGTATAGGATCAAAAGCTATTCCAAGGAGGTTCGATCGAAATTAAAAAGAAAACCGTAAAGAATACGCGCCGTGACATCTACCGGAGCGTGTGGTAATTTTTTTACCGCACGCTCTGTTGTATGGTTTGTAATTTTTAACTTTCGAACAATGTATACAACCTACGTAAATGTGTTATTTTAACAAATGAGTTGAAAAGAATATTACATCAACCCCGTGTCTGTTAAAGTCTTAAAAAAACGATCGTTAACAAGAGCTCTAAGTTTTTAGCCACCAGCCGGATTGTATTGATGTCGTTGCTTCGTCTAACGACAGCTGACTTTCACATGTGACGCAGTTTTCATTATTGCCTCTTGGAAACGATTGTGTGATAAAGAAAGCGCTCCACCAACTCGTTTCAATGAACACAGTTTAAAGACATAAATCAGAAAAAGATCTGATGAATCCTTGGTCGATAATGCGTAGGAACGCATATACCTATGATACGTGAAATTTATAAGATATCCCATAATTTCATAAAATTTAACTTTTTTTATAGTACGTATTATTTGGGGCCAAAAATACTATAGCAAAAAGCAGAAGTTTTTAAAATATGGAAAAAATCAGGCCCCAATATCTTCAATTATAGTATATATTAATCCACGTAATTCCAAAACGCAGACTAGAGTTAATCTTAATTTAAACCTAATGTTGTCTCTATCTTCTTTGTGGCAAAAAAAAACTAACAGCATCAGCTTAACTTTAGTCTACGTCTATATATATATAAAACTCAAAGGTGACTGACTGACATAGTGATCTATCAACGCACAGCCCAAAATACTGGACGGATCGGGCTGAAATTTGACGTGCACGTAGATGTTATGACGTAGGCATCCGCTAAGAAAGGATTTTGATCAATTCTACCGCGAAGCGAAGCGAGGGCGGGCCACTTGTTTTGTAATAAGGCAGATAGAGTTCCACTTACTGCGGGCACTGGTTGACGCCAACGGGCACATGATCAAGTCGCAGCGAATATCCAACAGGACAGGTAGGCGCAGAACACTCCACGGCCACGGGTTTGGTTCCCGGGAAGGGCGGCGGCGGCAACTTGGCCACGCACGTGAACTGTACGCATTCCTCCTGCTTGCTAGGGGTTGGGGCGACTGTTGGCTTGTCCAATGAGAACGCTTGGTTAGCGCTTGGTGGTCTAGGAGGACCTGTGATTGAAGTTCAGTACATATTGATAAATATGGCATTATTGAACGATATTCAATATCAAATTTATTTGTTGTATTAATCCAAAAATTACATTTGTAAGATCAGAGAAGAATTGGCTAACTCTGCTGGTTCAAACGGAATAGAGTGCGACATCATATGAAATGAAATGAAATGAAATGTCATTTATTCAGTCTAGGCTGTTACAAGCACTTGTGAAGGTCAAGAAGCTACGCCATCGGTTCGCAAAACTACGGCGGGAGACCTTGTACTGAGAAGAACCGGCAAGAAACTCAGCAAGGGCTGTTTTTTTCTCCCTGTATTGTTATATACAGTGTCGTCAAGTTGAAAAATTACTTCAGAAATACGTCTGAAGAATACAGTGCAACACTGAATTCTTTTCTCAGTTAAAATTAGAGTAGTATCAAAAAGAGTGTAGAGAATATTTTAATGAAAGTTCAAAAATGAAAGGTATCTGGTACAAAACAATACAAAGTAAGCCTCCTCGAATACCGCAATTTATATAATACTAAATTATGTTGGAGATAAGTAAAACTAATATTAAGAACTAGCTTTTGCCCGCGACTTCGTCCGCGTTTTCGTCGTTTTTCGTAAAAAAGTAGCATATGTCCTTCCTCAGGGTTCCATGGTTTTGATGTGACAGACAGATTAACTTTCGTATTTTAGTAGGGAAATATAATATGTCAATCCACAATACTGTTAAAAATATCGCAATAAGGAATCGCAGAATATTATTATTATCATTGTGCCCCGAGACCATCAGCATGTAACTCCTTGTATGTTTTATGTTAATGTATTGGTAATATTGTTTAGATCGCTTTCACATGAGGCTTAGGTACATATAGAATGAAAATACTTCAGCGCAAAGCTTCCGGGTAAACTACGTTGAAAGTTGACCCATCCGGCACGTGAACATAAAAATTTCTAGGACTGCTAACCCGGGAAAGAGCGACATAACTGACCATGTGAAAAGCAACTGACACCGAGATCTACTCCAGCAACACGAATAGTCTGCCCTTGAGCCTTATTTATTGTCATTGCATAACACACCGATACTGGGAATTGCGTTCTTTTAAATTGGAATGGAAAATTATTTGGTATTATGGGAATTCTGGGAATAAAGATGGTTTCTCCTGCACCGCAACCTGTTAAAATTTGAGCCTCGATTACATTTTGTTGCAACTGGGTTACTTTAAGTCGAGTTCCATTGCAAATTTGTGGTGGTCTTAAATTTCGAAGCAGAATAATCGGAATGCCAATTTTTAAACAAATTTCATGAGAAGGAAGTCCGGGCATATTTAAAGAATTTAAAAATTCTATCGGGTAGTTAGTGGTTTCTTGTTCATCGGCCATTCTATTTATTGAACTATAAACTTTGCTTTCCCCCTGGATATTCGACAGTATTTTATTATTAATCTCAGATGCCTGGTCATTGCGAGGAGTTAAAATGGACCTTTCGCATAGCCAAGAATTATCCTTATTTAATATATTTGTTACGTCACCGTAAACTGACGATGTAATATGTTGTTGGGATTGCACTATACAACACAACTCAGGCGTCAGAATAAGTTTTCCTTGGTGTAGCAGTGGATAGGTATCTTTGGTGAAGGTATTTTCTTTAATAATATATCAGAAAATTCACGATCACCCGGGTTATCTACAGTTCTCACTCGCATGTTTATAGTCAAATGCACCGATTGTATATCACGCCACAAATAAGAGCTTTTCAGGCAAGCCCTAACCTCATCAGCTCGGGTTCCCCGTGGTATTACCGGTAAGGTTTGTCGGAAATCACCACAAAATAAAACTGTGATACCGCCCATTGGTCGATCATTTTGTCTTATATCCCTTAAAGTTCTGTCTACCGCTTCTACTCCTTTTCGATGAGCCATCGTACATTCATCCCATATGATTAAATTACACTTCGAACGAATATTTAAACACTACCAAAACAACTAATACGTGGTCCTAACTTTAGCTACCTTACACTTAAAATCTAAGTGACTATTTAAACTAAAATATTCTTATAGAATTATAACCATAAATATATACAACTCACAACATAAAAGAAATGAAAATTAAGCTGAAACGTCTGTGCAATACTATCTACCTATACCTACTTCACTTAAAAATAAATACTTATAACTACTTTAATTAATAAAAGTACCTACGCTTAATAATTTTTAATTTGAACGAATATTAAAACACTACCAAAGCAACTAATATCTATTTTACAAAATAACAACAAAAGAAATTTAAATAAACTATTTAAAGACTAAAAGTCGCGCTGATAAGCACGGTTACTCAATATTTCTCAATTATTGTCTGTCAATAAGGTCGAACGCTCTGAACGCATCAACAGCCAAATATTGAAGCTCGCTCGCTCTCTTTTTTTATTTTTTTTGTTTCCTCCCAGACGGGGGAGCAGGTGAGAAATCCTCATGGATACCCTACTGCAAGGTTATGTCAGACTCGTACTGACTAAAAAACACCCGTAGGGGCTGCCTCTGGCCGGGAAGGCCTCTAAGGCTTCATCGGAAGCGATCGTCCCCCAGGGGGGGGGGGGGGGGGAGGGACGCAGAAAACAGATTTAGACAGCTCGCTCTCGGACCTCCCGTATTTTGATACCCTACCGCCACCGCGACCCGTGTCGAGCGCGGCAACCGTTACACAAAAATAATCCTTATAGCATGATTCAGTATTCACGTGCGACGGCGCGATGGCTTATTTCATGTATAAGTTTGGTGTTTCTATACCGATTTCTATGATTCTTTTTTTATTGAATAGGTAATAATGTTAACTTTTTTAAATTAGGGATGAGTCAGAGTATTATAAACGTAAGAGTAAACAAATATGATCAGAATGCTCCGAACTGCTAAGCTATAGGGAGTTACACGTGTTATTGTGAGTCAACCATAAAAGATAGACATATGCTGTTGCGGGATATTTTTTAGACAATTTTATGAAGAATATTTCCGTCATACATGGTTTCTATGTAACTTTAATCATTAAGGCTGCACACGCGACGGAAGCTTAAAAAATGGAGTAACTTCTCCCGTTTTCCCAACATTTCCCTTCACTACTCTGCTCCTATTGATTGTAGCGTGATGAAAAGTATACTATAACCTGCCCAGGAGTACGAAGAATAATTGTACCAAGTTTCGTTAAAATCCGTCGAATAGTTTTGGTTTCTATAAGGAACAAACACACAGACAGACAGACAGACAGAAAAAAAATTTACTGATTGCATTTTTGGCATCAGTATCGATCACTTATCACCCCCTGATAGTTATTTTAAAAATATATTTCATGTACAGAATTGACATCTCTACAGATTTATTATAAGTATAGATTAGGTCCGGTCACATACCATCAAGGAAGTTTGTATATATGATGAAAAAAGTAAAAACACCTAATAGGGTATTTGACAAGTTTTAATAAACGATCTCACGTTATTGACTAATGTTTATGGAGTCCGTAAAAAGTGGATATTCATCATTCTGTTGTGTATTTCAGTAAAAATAACCAAATCAAAAATTCCATTTTCATGTTGCCGCGAAAACGTTTTTCTGGACAATATGGCGTCTTACTAGTGTGTGACGTCACACGACTGTTATTAAAACGTCAAACGATACAATGAAATGTCACTTTAACCGGAAGTTTACTTGCGTATGACGTCATTTTAGGCTTCGCGAATCCCAAGCGTTTTGGGTCACGTGACAATAAATAAGAAAACTATTAACTTTTTTGTTAGTTTTTAGTAAAATTATGAATATTTTTTATGTAAAAATGGTAAAAACCCCTGCCAATATTCATTCTAAACACAGATGCTAACAATTGGCATTTTATTTTTAACACTGTCAAATACCCTGTCAACAAATTGAGGACGTGCATTATCTGTTGATGGAATGTGAGCGGAATCCGGTTCAAAGAAACATATTTATATCAAAATTTCAAATAAAACAAGTTGGATATAGGAATTGTTCAAAGTTTTCTGAGCAACACCGAATCTGAAGCCGCATTGTACTTGTGCAGTTTAGTGGAATTCCGCCAGTAAATTACACAAGTACAAAATCTAATGTAAATATAATTATTATTATGTAGTTCAGTACTCGTTAGTTTGTCTCGATGGAGCTGTCAGTCATGTCATCGGACAAAAGCTTCTAGACAAAAAAGATAATAATAAAAAAAAATGAATGAAGTTTCGATTCAGCTGTCAGTCATGTGATCGGACAAAAGCTCTTAGACGAAAAAAATTAATGAAGAACACTTTTGATATGGTTTTAGATCGTCTCTAAATCCTTTTATCGTTTTTTCATGCTCACAGTAAGGGGATGACATGTGCTGCCGGTGTCTATCTTTCCTGAAAAGTATTATAATAGACCAGCGAGTGATGCTCGTTTTCTTCGGCCTCCTCAGAATTTCGATAGTCATTGTTAATACTCATTAATAGTCAACAGTCTAAATTAAATATGCTTACCACTGTATCCACCTATCGAGAAGTCTCCTTTAGAATATCTTCCCTTAGAGTATCCTCTGTATCCTCCTTGAGCCCCGCCGCGGTAGTACCGCTGGTACGAAAAGTGCGGTCGTGATAGCGATGAAAACATAAGTATCTTACCGCACCGCCTGTTTTACATTTAAAAAAAAATGATGTGGTGTCGTAGGACACCAGGTAGGAACGAAGTTCCTTCGGCTAATGTAGAATCGACACAAATTGCAAACTCGCTTGTGTATGCGACTGTCGCGCCTGCGCACGTCTCATTTAACGGTTTTATTCCACGCCCTTTTTTACACGGATTTTATCTTACGGTTTTACTATCACATTTTTTTCAGGTCGGTCGCGCAGCAAAATCCCTTTCCCCTCCAAGCCTGCCGTAAGGAACTTCGTCGCGCCTGAGCACGTCTCATTTAACGGTTTTATTCCACGCACTTATTTCCACGGATTTTTTCTTACGGTTTTACTATCACATTTTTTCCAGTTCTTTCAGCTAGTGTTCGTATAGATTGCTAGGCAGGACTGACCCACAGTTTATAATAAACTACAATGTCACAATAATCCAGTAATGCAGCCCCGTCGCTCTGCCACCCCCCTGGACTTAACCACAGTTTAGTATAATATACAATAATCCAGTGTTGGTATAATGCCACAACAATTTGGGGTTGCACCCCTGTCGCTCTATCACCCCCTGTTAAGTACTGACCTTGTTATCATGTCTAGCTTAAGTTTACAGCAGATGACAGGCGTTCCTGGTCCACAGCTCGGTATAACGTCACAAATATCCAGATTTCGTGTATTGTCACAAATTCCAGTGCTGCACCCTCGTAGCTGTGCCACCCCCTACATACGCACCTTATTATCATGTCCCGCTAGCGTTCGTAAAGGATGCTAGGCAGGACTGGCCCACAGTTTAGAATAAACTACAATGTCACAATAATCCAGTGATGCACCCCGTCGCTCTGCCACCTCCTGATAAGTACTCACCTTGTAATCATAATCATGTCTCACAGGCGTTACTGGTCCACAGCTTGATATAACTTCACAAATATCCAGTGTTGGGGTAATATCACAATATTTCAGCGATGCACCCTCGTCGCTTTACCACCCCCTATAACTTCACACATATTCACTGTTGGTGTAGTATCACAATATTTCAGTGATGCACCCTCGTCGCTCTACCACTCCCTATAACTTCACACATATTTAGTGTTGGTGTAATATCACAATATTTCAGTGATGCACCCTCGTCGCTCTACCACCCCCTATGACTTCACACATATTCAGTGTTGGTGTAATATAACAATATTTCAGTGATGCACCCTCGTTGCTCTACCACCCACTATAACTTCACACCAATTCACTGTTGGTGTAGTATCACAATATTTCAGTGATGCACCCTCGTCGCTCTACCACTCCCTATAACTTCACATATATTCAGTGTTGGTGTATTATCACAATATTTCAGTGAAGCACCCTCGTCGCTCTACCACCCCCTTTAACTTCACACATATTCAGTGTTGGTGTAATATCACAATATTTCAGTGATGCACCCTCGTCGCTCTACCACCCCCTATAACTTCACACATATTCACTGTTGGTGTAGTATCACAATATTTCAGTGATGCACCCTCGTCGCTCTACCACTCCCTATAACTTCACACATATTCAGTGTTGGTGTAATATCACAATATTTCAGTGATGCACCCTCGTCGCTCTCTCTCCTGCCGTAAGGGCCTGCGACCGTCTCATTTAACGGTTTTATTCCACGCATTTTTTCTTACGGTTTTACTATCACATTTTTTTCAGTTCGGTCGCGCAGCAAAATCCCTATCCAAGCCTGCCGTAAGGAACTTTCGTTCCAATAATGTGTGCCTCTAAGTATGTAGTACTCACCATTATACCCGCCTTTCGAGAAGCCTCCTTTAGAATATCCTCCCTTAGAGTATCCTCCTTTAGCCCCACCGCGGTAATCCCGCTGGTAGGAATAGCGCGATAGCGATAGCAGAGAAAACATAAGCACGGTAATATTATCTATACAGTATTGTGACTCCGCCCTGTCCTTGAAATAAATGCCTACGGCCGAGCGCTGCGTTAGCACGCGGTAGGGCTGCCCGCCTACAGTATTTTATGTAATTTTGTTTTTAACGCGAGTGTAGGTAGATTACTCGTTTGTGTCTTTTTTCATCCTAACCACTTATTTATATATTATTTCAGATATTTTGCCCGATGGAAAAATCGAAATACCTAAATATTAGAAACAAATTACGTACTAGTAGATAGGTATATAAAAAATATTCTATAAAGGTAAGACACCTTTCCAATATTTCAGGTAATTTAAAAAATGATATCTCTGGGTGTGTTATTGAAGAGTTCTAGCAACCAAAAACAGCAATTGTGCTGTTGTACGATATTGATCGTTGTTTGTTCTTTTCCATACTAAATTATGTAGGTATCTACTTAATTCAATCAAATATTTACAATACAAAACGCACGTTTAAGCACGGCTAACTGCATAAAAAACAATTCACACCGTTTGGTCGTCGTTGCGGCGTGGCGGCGCATTCGCGACTGGGTGCCCGCCGAGAGTGCCTCGAACTCGAGTAGGGATATTCGATATACATCGATGCATCGAAAACATCGATGTTTGCAATGAAAAACATCGAATCGATCCGATGTTTTGAAAAGCTTTCAATATACTCGATGCATCGATGTTTTAAAGAAACATCGAATTGGTAATAGAGTTTGACCACGTAGTGATAATATCCTCTTTGATTTGACCTCAGTAAAAAAACTTAAGTTTGACCACTAAAATTTTACTTATTACTATTATGAAAGCATCATTATTCCGAATTCTCTGATATGGACCCGATGTTGGCAGCACTGCGCAAGAGTCAGTGCAGTGACAATAAAAAATAACTACGAGTTTCTATGTTTATGAACATTTAATAACTTTTAGATTTTAAATACTTTTTCTTTCTTTCTTTCTTTAGTTTTGTGAACGAAACTAAGATTGAAGTATATTTCCAATATTCTTTTGACAGACTTAGCAAAACATTTGCGGGTTATTTAGTGTTTTTTTAATTTGATCTTTTGTAAAAAAATATAATACAGATTTTTCTGACACATGGCTTTTACTTATATTTACTTTTACCTACTCATTATGAAAGGAATTAATTCTTTTATTTTATGAAAGATTAATATATAAACTATAATAAAATTATGGATTAAGGTCTTTTCATAAACTTCAATTGTAATTTTTTTTTACTATGAAAAGATGGCCTCTTTTGAGATGGGTCACTTTACACATAAGTTGAGTTTTGTAATAAAATTTCAGAAAAAGTACTCGATGTTTAAAATACATCGATGTTTTCATCCGATACATCGAATGACATCGATGTATAGTTGCGATGTATCGAATCAAAAAATACATCGATGTTTTTTCAGAGTGAACACCCCTAAACTCGAGTGGTGTAGGTATGACTCACTTTCCGACCGTTTGTATGAAGATAGAATACTGTATGATATTATTACCGTGACATAAGTATCTTGCCGTACCGCCTATTTTACATTCAAAATAATGTACCTATGCTTGTAAGAATGTAGTACTCACCACTATACCCGCCTTTCGAGAAGCCTCCTTTAGAATATCCTCCCTTAAAGTATCCTCCTTTAGAGTATCCTCCTTTAGAGTATCCACCGTAACCTCCTTTAGTCCCACTGCGGTAGTCCCGCTGGTAGGAATAGCGCGGTCGTGATAGTGGAGAAAACATAAGTATCTTGCCGCACTGCCTGTTTTACATTCAAAATAATGTATGCTTGTAGGAATGTAGTACTCACCAATATGCCCGCCTTTCGAGAAGCCTCCTTTAAAATATCCCCCCTTAGAGTATCCTCCGTAACCTCCTTTAGCCCCACTGCGGTAGTCCCGCTGGTTGGAATAGCGCGGTCGTGGTAGCGGAGAAAACATAAGTATCTTGCCGCACTGCCTGTTTTACATTCAAAATAATGTATGCTTGTCAGTATGTAGTACTCACCACTATACCCGCCTTTCGAGAAGCCTCCTTTAGAATATCCTCCCTTAGAGTATCCTCCTTTAGAGTATCCTCCTTTAGAGTATCCTCCATTAGCACCGCCGCGGTAGTACCGCTGGTAGGAGTAGCGCGGCCGTGGTGGCGGTAGGTCCGTAGTGTAGGAACGAGTATGAGACGCGCTGTTTATGTACTTCACCATGTAGCCAGGTGGGCACTGCACCACTGGGCACACTACCGCTACAGGCAAATATAGAAGGGCAGCTTGAATACAATGTTTGTCTGTCAGTTAAACAATTTGACCAATGCCATTCGCATCAGTAAAATTGTCATGATGCTCCACAGATTACCATCTTTAGTCCAAAAATTATAATTATAAAGTCTAAATAAAAGGGAGACAAATAAAAAATTAGAACAGGAGCTGGGGTTTAAAACAAATATATAAAAAAAGAAAGAAAAAATGTAAAAAATAAAAAATACGAGGGCGGGATTTGAACCGACGACTGCGGTGATGCGTCGAACGTTGGTCCCGTGACAAAAATTTAACACACTGCACCGTTTCAACCGATACTAGAAAGGCAAAAACTGTGTTCATAGGCACTGTTGTCAAGTTATTTGCGTTACGGAATTTGTGAATTCAGTCGCCGCGCTCAAAGCCCGCGATAAAATCTATGCAATAGCTTAAAAAATATTAGAAAAAATACACCCTGTCATCGAAGTAGACGGGACCCGAACCTGCTCCCTCCACCCGCCATTACGGTCTCGGTAGTATAAACGTCGGTGCATCCGCCCGGATAGCGTAGGATAGTGGATTCGAGTATAGCAACGCCAAACTGGAAGATCTTTCTCCGAGCTGGGTGATGTTAGCTCGGGGCCGCGGCCCGACTGGTGTTGGTCAGGCATTATATATATGGAGTGTTAACATCCGAATTTCCCTTGCGCGATGTAGGCTTCCATACTTATTAATCGCAGCGTCGGTAGCGCCATCTCTTGAGGAGGCGAGTGGTTATTTCCTCCATCCGTTAGATATATGTGGGGCATATTGATGTCGCCACCACACGAGTCCCACAGATGTATTCTAGTAAAATTTTCTTTAGATTTACAATTTTACTTAAACACTTACGTTTAGGCGTAGTGACGGCCGGCGTGGTGGGTTTAACTTCGATAGGCACCACCACAGTGGTGACGACCTGTGGTTCGACCGGCTTCTTAGTAGTGGTCATCGTAGTAGGGGCCCGGGTGGTGGTGCAATCGCGTTCATCGTCTGGGCAGTCTTGAAGACCGTCACACCACTTCTCGTGGGCTAGGCATAGCCTGCTGGTGGGGCAAATGCGAGTGCCGATAGGGCAGGGCTCACAAACGCATTCGCAAGATGGTTTCTCTACCAGCTTGGGCACTAATGTCTAGAGAAATCAACAAGAGAAGTGAATTGATTAATTTCTAGATTTCGTGATTCAGATGATAGGAAAAAATTTAACCCTTATAGGATCACGTCGTCCGTCTCTCTGTCTGTCAAGACCCTTTATCTCGGGATAGAGTTTCAAGTTTATGGTTTATCGAAGCTGTGAAAAAATCACATTTCTAAGTCAACATAAATAAAAGATACGGTTGGTTGTTTTGCGTACCTACTAATTTGTACGGAAACCTCGGTGGGCGCGTCCAACTCGTACTTGTCCAGATTTTTTGGATGGTACACACTTAACAGTGTTGCCAACGTGGATTTTGAAAAAGTCGTAGGCCCGATGAGAAAATTACGTAGAATTGGTAAATTTTGCATATGAAAAGTACGTAGATCTACGTACTTTTTTCTGAGTGAAATGAAGAAGCTAGGTGAAACTGAATAAAACGAGTATTTTGTTATACAATTTCTTTAAAAACGGGACATAGAACAAAGAGTTCTTATAGAAGTCGCTGCATTGGAAGCATTTACCATGATGTGGTAGACATTTACCATCAGACACAGACACTGGTGGGTGTCGATTCTGGCATGATTCTCTAAATTTAAAACTAAATTTAACATCAGTCTCTCCTTTTCATTCTGTATAGAGAATGACAAGGATACACTGTTGTTAAATAGGCTATTTGACACTTTTTGGAATTATGTTTTAAATTGTTAATAATTGTTCTATCAGACCGAAAAAATATGTATTTTTTTTTACCTAGAAGAAATACAAAAACGCTATTTATCTATAGACTTATCTATGCTATGACGTCAAAAAATTTGTAAACAAACACTCGCAAGCACGTAGGAGATAAATTTTCTGAGTTAATATTATAAAACCATGATTTCTAATAGATCACATGAAAAATACAGTAGTTATCATCATACACTTGGTAAAAGACTCTAGAAAAGTTGTGGTTTAAGTTGCCAAGAGAATTAAACATACTTACACATGAACACATGTTTAAATCTTGCTAAATCCTGTAACTTCATCGACTGAAAGTCATTTTGTAAGTACTCATTGAATAATATTTAAAATTTAAAAATACAATTTTTAAGGTTATGAATGTACCTACTAAGTCAAAGAGTTTTGTTGTTTCTGCTTTCACAAATCCTGCCAGCATTTATTTAGTCAACAAAACCAATAACGGGAACCTATTCTACAAGATACAAGAGTTTTTAGATACATCTTTATAAACAATAAACATTTGTATAGTTTTTAAGTAAAGTAACAGAAAATATTCTTCTTTATTCCAGTGAATTAAGTTATTTTACAAATTTGAAAAAATTTAAGAAAGTACGTAGATTTTGGGACTGAAGTTAGTAGGTTTGCAGAAAAGGCCTAAAATACGTAGATACGTAGTGACTGCGTTACTATCGGCTGCTTCCAAAGGCGTCAATACCGGTAGGGGTATTTATATAATACTAGAATAATGACACGATGTATTTAATATAACACGACGCCACCGATGAGGGTATTTATGAGAATTTACGTCACCAGTTGGCGGCATTGTGACGTTAGGTCTTATGCATGAAGTCCTAAGCGCGAACTGATCGAACGAACATTTAAATTGACCCATAAAGCCTCGTTGACAGGGGGCGAGTTTACAATCTACTAGCAAACTCGATGGCTTGTAGCTTTTAAACTCGCCCCGTGTCATCGAGATTTAATATGCGATTTGACGGATCGGTAGATTATTCATCTCAGTGCTGCCACCATATGGTGCGCTTCATTCCAGAAAACCCTCATTAAAATTTGTTATAGCAACATGATAATCATGATCAATGACTTATTTTGCAAAAAAAAATATCTATTAGGTTTATGTCATTTATATTCTGAAAAGAACGCAACCAATCCAGCTCGAAGGACCACACAGACTTACCGGTGCGCATTTGCACTCCTTGACAGGTTGACAGTCAGTAACACCGCCTATCTTGCACATGCACTCATCACAATTCTCGCCACGGAATGACGACCCAACAGGATACCTAAGGCAAGGAGTTATTATATACATTATTTTTAGGCATTTCAAATTAAAGCTTAAGTCACACACAAGTTTGTAATGAGAGTAATATTTGTAGATTAATAGGATTGTTCAAGTCAAAAAGTCTGAAGCCATTGTTACTTAACCTCTTAATTATGTTGAGATGACGACTGTACTTAAAGTATCTATTGGCGCAAAGGCGTTGGTCTCGCGGCAATGATTCGTTAGTTCATAGCTCTTTATATACGCTCGCCGTTTGTATACTGCATGTAATGTCGACACTTCACTAAACTTGGCTATTCGATTTTGTTATTCGTAAACTTGACAGGAGTCTCTAATCATGATTTATAAGGAACAAAAAGGCATAACACGTATCATAATATTGTAGCAAGTATACTATGTCACTCACGTGAGATATCCCTTGACGCAGGGGTGCGAAGTTATCTCCATCGCAGTATGAGCATCGAAGTTCAACTATTTATTTATTTTCAAATCAAAATTCTTTATTCAAATAGGAAGCATAATGCAATTTTTTAGAATAGTCCATATTTTTTTTCCCTACAACCCGTTAAGGATATTTTTTTTATGTGGTAAATAAACGGCCGAAATACTCTCCGTCATAACACGAGGCGCCCGAAAAAAACGCATAAAGCAGTCTGTACGCTGTAGCACGTATAATACGATCCAAACTTTATGGCGGTTGTGAAGTTAGCAGCGAGCGTAACAATGTGCAGGTGTCAGTCCAGTGACATCCGGCGATTTCCTAGGTCATCCTAAAATTCTTTTACTGTACAGCTCCTTGCGTTAACTTCCCAATCGTCATTTAGTTTGAATCACATAATATCTGTCTCACTCACGTGAGGTATCCCTTGACGCAGGGGCATTGGTCGCGCGGAACACAGCTCTCTCCGTCATAATACGTGGCGCCGGAACAAATGCAGGTAGTAAGCGGGACGCCGGGACAAATGTTGCACGATATAGTAGTCTCTTGGTAGATAGGCATGGGTGTTGTCTTTATCGCTGGGTGAGAATAAATTGGTTATAAGTGAGACACATATTTACAAAGATTAGTGGCACCAATGACCGACAGGAGCTAGTGATCGAAAGTGGGTGGCCGATCGCTAAATATGGTAACACCGAGCGTCTATAGCTCGGTGTTATCATATTAGTGATCGGTTGCCTACTCTTGTTTACATTGATGACAGAAGGAAGTTTCGGTCATTGGTGCCACTTCATACAGGTCGCCGTACGTATCTCCAGCGCTGAACAGAACGCGTCAGGGATAGCTGCGCATGGGTACAATTGGAGAGCCAATCGATGCAACGCACGCCCACCCGCGCACCCCCCAACACATCTTAATTTTTACTTCTGCGCAATAACGGTCAGCGCTAGACTTTTGTGTCACGACTTACGCCGGGTACTCATTAGCGAGCTGTAACCGTAATCGTTGCATGCACTGTAACCAAAAAGCATAGTGTGTACGTGTTTCGCTAACCTGCTGCGAGCGGTACACGTGCGGTTTGCAGCGAGCCGACGTTTACAACTGAGCTACAAGCGTACACCTAGTGTGTAAACCTCGTACTGTATCACGTATGTTACGGTTACAGCTCGCTAATGAGTATCCGGCTTTATACGCATTTCTTGCTCAGATCACGTGTTTAAAAAAAAGTTGAATACGAAAAGAGAGATTAAGAGGTTTTTGTCGCGCACAATAAGTCGATGTTATTTTACAAGTAAACATAAATCAGTGTCCATTAAAAAACCATAAAATAAATTATCTGACTTGATAATTATGCACATCCCAATAAAATAACTGTATAGAATGATCGGACTCTAATCCTACTAATATCTAATTTACTTACGGTATGGTTCGAAACAGCCAATGGGCTCCACCCTCATCTCGATAGCGCTGTGCCACTTGACGGGCAAGATTTTCAAGTACCTCGCGTGTATCGGAAGCTTGAACTTATTCTGGACCTATGGTTAGTAGAAAATAGAAAAGTTTATAGGTACCATGCAACATTCATAGGTAGGTATTTCTGTCAACTTATGTGATACATTCGTATAAGTCATCAGAAATTTTATTTTAACCCTCCATCAACTCCTATTCAAAACACTGAGAAATTGGAAGTGACCAAAAGTCATGGCTACTTGTTTTTTTTTCCTAGACGAAAGGGCTCAAGTATGGTGGGAGGACTTCACAAGGTGCAAAGTTGCCCCTCTCATGTTTTTCTGCCGCGCTCAAGTAAATCCCAAATTCCCCGCTATGGGCTTCCCCACTATGCTCCCTACTGTGCCGCAGTAGGAGACATACTATGAAGATATGTAATAATGTGATGCAAATCATCATCATAAGACTTTTTTTATGATGATGATATACATCACCTTAATCACTTTGTCTAACAGATTCATATGAAGGATAGCATTGCAACGTACCATCAGCACATCGTTCAGCCTACCACAAAATCTTAGATTCTGCAATGGATTTTAAACTTATTTTAAATTACCTACAGACTCTTGATTCGCACTGTTCTGATTCCATTGCTAACTCTGCGTCTTTTACTCAAAAACAACAAACAATAGATTCGGTATTCTCTTAAAAATACTTGTTTCTACCGCCGCTATACTTAGTAATATAATGGCCCCGACTTGTGCTCCTCCCAAAACCAACCCAATTGTAAACACGACAGCAGTATATTTTTCATAATACCTCCTCCCGTAGATTGTAAACTTTAAATAAAATAAGGTCGAAAATCGACCGAAATTTTTTGCTTAAGACGACCTCCGTGACCGAGTGGTTTGTACGCTCATGGTGTCGCCGACTAGAGAGGTCCCGGGTTCGAATCCCAGTGGGGGCAGATGTTTGTGTGATGAATACGAGCATTTGTACTCCAGTCATGGATGTTTAATATGCATTTCTATATAACTATACTTATATATGTACAGTATGTGTTATGTATTCTATCCGTTACCTTAGCATCCCATAACACAAGCCTTACCGTGCTTACTTTGGGGCTAGGCTAATTGGTGTGAGTGTTGGAAATATTTATTTATTTAATTCTGTACAGTATACTTCTAAGTCAGTGTCGAAGTTGGCCGGGAACAGCTTGGGTTCCCCTTCGCTGTCCACCACTGGGTTGAAGGAGATCAACTCCAAGGTCTACGCGGACACCCACCTCTTAGTTTTTATGCCAGTTTTCTCACCAGTCAGTCTACCAAATAAGGTCGAAATTTGAGTAAATAATTTCTATAGTTTTGTTTCATTTTACCTCTGAGTCAGCGTCGAAGTTGGCCGGGAACAGCGTGGGTTCCCCTTCGCTGTCCACCACCGGATTGAAGGTGGTTAGGTCCGAGGTGTACATCACCTTGTACGTGGACACCCAGCCCTTAGGGCCGCCCTTGGTTTTGATGCCCGTCAGATTGCGGGGCGAGGTGAAGTCGAACTGTATGGGAGAAACATATTAACTTAATATTTTGATTTAATGCACCACTAGCGGCCGCCCGCGAGTTCGTCCGCGTTAACGTAACTTAGTTTTGTGAATCCTACAGGAACCTCACATTCTTCCGGGATAAAAAGTATCTCTCAATCCAGGTCTTAAACTATATGCGTACCAAACATTACACTCCGGGCTCGGCTCTCGCAGTGTGGGCGCGTGGGTAACACTTGCGGCCTTAATATTAAAATATTAATTCATTACGAATTTAATAAACTATTTTTATTTATTTTACTCAGTTTATGTATTCTATTATAACTATATATATTTTAATACAATTTTGTAATTTTAGCTTTTATACTCTAGCAATCTCTTACAGGCCCTACCAGAATACCAGCGCTGTTACGGTGGGAATATTCCCGTCCCATTGTAACAGCATTAAGCTGAGGTAGGGTCCTAATTGGCCTTTCTTCTTTCTGTATATTGTTGTTGTCTGTTTGTTTTTATTTTTATCGGTGCTTATATAATTTCTTATTGTTATATACTTGTGTGTTAAGGCCAATAAATGATTTTTCTTTCTTTCTTTCTTTCAAACATCGAAATCCGTTCGAAATCGAAATTAGTTTTTACGTGATTGAGTAACAAACATACAAACTTTTACATTCATAATATTAGTAGGATAGTAGGATCTGTACCCCTAGCACGAACCATTATCGAATTCGAATAGTTTTCAAACCGAAATGTCAATGTCAAATTTTGTATGGAAACTTGAACAGCAGCGGCACATAGTACGTAAGGTAAATTAAAAATTAGTACACATTTGACAATGATATTTCGGACTCGCAGACGATACGAATTCGATATTGGTTCGTGCTAGGGGTACTGTACTCTAGCGGCCAGTTTTGAAATCAACCTCCAGTTAAGGGGTAAGGAGAAGTTGTTATCATAGTCTTAATAATAAAAATATCTTAGCATCAAAGTTCGAGTAGTCCTACATCTTACTGTACCCGTAGCACGCACCACTATCGAATTCGAATAGTTTGCGAGTCCGAAATGCTATTGTCAAGTTTTACTAAAAATCAGTAGTTACACATTTGACAATGACAGTTCGTACTCGCAGACGTTACGAATTCGATAATGGTTCATGCTAAGGGTACTGAAGTTTAATTATTGAAACTGGCCGTAAATTAATAGTCATGTAAATGATAGTGGACCAATAAGTGTGTTAACACACACACACAAATGAGTTATCATTTAAGCCCAATTGCATCAAAGCTATATCTCGATTTCATTAAAACTACATTAAGCCCATACAAGCATTTCAAAACATTTTCTCATTGTTGTATGGGTTAAATCTAGTCATAGCAATTTTTGTTGTACGTTTACAATTAAATAAAAAGAAAACCACGGATCTGTGGGGCAATTCCGTTGATGTTTCTAAATCGGTAATTGAGACAATAGCTCCTATTCTAGCTTGCATATTTAATGATTGTGTTGACTGTGGTGTTTTTCCTGACCTCATGAAATACAGTAAAATAACTCCTCTGCATAAAACGGGAAGTACATCAGACCCCACAAACTTTAGACCAATTTCTGTGCTACCCACCTTTAGTAAAATTTTCGAAAAAATCATGTTAGATCAAATGCAATCACATTTTAATAAATATAATATACTTCACTGTAAACAATTTGGTTTTACACGGGGTCGTTCAACAACCGATGCCGGCGTTGAACTTATACAACAAATTTTTGACGCCTGGGAGAACTCGCAGGACGCTCTAGGTGTGTTTTGCGACTTGTCCAAGGCTTTTGATTGCGTTTTTCATGAAACATTACTCAGGAAACTCCACCACTATGGATTTAGAGATACTGATCTGGATCTTATTGCGTCATACCTGATGGATAGGATTCAGAGGGTTGACATTAACGGCAATAAGTCTGCGGGTTCGCCGGTTAAAATGGGTGTTCCGCAGGGCTCAATCCTTGGTCCTTTCTTATTTTTAATTTATATTAATGACTTACCTTACTACGTTAGAGATAAGCATGAGATAGTATTGTTCGCGGATGATACATCACTTTTATTTAAACTCAAACGCAAGGAAACAGTTATTGACGACGTGAACAGTTGTATCTCTAAGGTAGTCCACTGGTTTAATGTTAATAATTTATTACTAAATGAAGGAAAAACGAAATGTATTAAATTTGTATTACCTAATGTAAAACAGGTAAAAACCAGTGTGAATGTAAAGGATAGGAATATGGGCCTTGTAGACACCACAGTATTCTTAGGGATTACTTTAGATTCTAAGCTTCAATGGGGCCCACATATTGATAAATTGTCAAATAGACTTAGTTCTGCAGCATATGCCGTAATGAAGATACGCCAGTTAACGGATGTAGATACGGCCAGATTAGTATACTTTAGTTATTTCCATAGTGTAATGTCGTACGGAATTTTATTGTGGGGAAACGCCGCCGACATTCAAACTATTTTTGTGCTGCAGAAGAGAGGTATTCGATCAATTTATAATCTTAAAGTTAAGGATTCCTTAAGAGATAGGTTTATAGAATTTGGTATAATGACGGTCGCATCACAATACATTTACGAAAATTTATTACTTGTAAGAAAAAATTAAATAAAACTAGTTTAAACGGGATAATGCACGAAACTTTATTTATTTAGACGTTTCGTAGCCTTTCCAGGCTTCGTCGTCAGAATAAAACTTTTGTTTAATTTGTCGAGCTACCTTCGAAAGACTTTTATTGAGCGTTTGGTTATTTCATCGTTCGATTTTTAAGTTTTATTGTCTATGTATGAATTTATTATTTAATTTACTTAATAAAGTATTTTATTTAAAATTCTTGTTTGTAATTTTGCGTTTATTTATTTGACCCTAACTACCGTAAACTACCACCGGTTCCAAAATTGGGAGACCTTCCTGAGAAGAACCGGCGAAACAAACTCAAGAGAGGCATTATCCCGTTTAAACTAGTTTTATTTAATGAGTGATGTGCGTGAAAACCTAAGAAACAAATATGTAAGAAAAAATATTAATTTGTTTCTTAAAAACAGTGATGTTCACACACTTAATACAAGAAACAAAAATAAACTAACTTTACCTGCTACTAGGCTTCACAAAATCAATAATTCATTTAAAGGTCTTTGTGTTCGCTTATACAATAAAGTCCCAAGCAATATCCAAGAGTTAAGCATAAATAAATTCAAAGATAGTATAAAAAAAGCACTTATTAAAAAAGCTTATTACAAAGTGTCTGATTATATTACAGACAAAAATGCTTGGGTTTGAACTGTTCCAATCATTCCAACAGGTTTTCTATATTAAATAAATCATGATTGTATTGACGTTGTAACAACATAATGATTTGTAAATGTTGTTACATTATGCTTTTAATGTTGTGGAGTTTTTTTCGCTCGTTTTTCTCCGCAGCTAAAAAATATGTCCAATAACGAGTGGTAGGGAAAAAAAATGCTTGGACGATTCAAAAGTGTTGTACTATACATCCAATTTGAATAAAGATATATTGATTTCTGATTTGATTTGAAATTGAATGAAAAATTTTAAACTTATAGCAGTGATAAAGAACGAATAATAGGTAACAACTATGGTGATATGGACCTGTTAATAATCATGGAGCGATTAAATTATGCGTATGTGAATGGGTCGATCGGGATAATAATAGATATCGGGATACATTACGACATTTTTATTACATCAACCCCAGAAAAATAAGCTAAAATTAATGAACACCAGTTAAGTAAACTTTCAATTTGTTTTATCTGTAAAATTCGTATTTTTTTAATACTTTTATAATAGCTAATAAAAGTAAGTACCAATTTGTTAAGGAGCTCGACGGTGCGGGTGGTTAGCGCGTTCGGCTGCGATCGTTGAAGTTAAGCAACTTTCGCAGTGGTCGGTCATTGGATGGGTGACCAAAAATCTTCTATATCGAGTTCCTCCGTGCTTCGGAAGGCACGTTAAGCCGTTGGTCCCGGCTGCATCTGCAGTCGTTAACACCTGCCAATCCACACTGGGCCCAATCTCCCTATTCCATCCATAGGGAAGGCCTGTGCCCCAGCAGTGGGGACATTAATAGGCTGATGATGATGTTGAACCAAATTGTTTATAGTAAGTTGCTGTAGACTAAGGAGTTTGATAGAGCAAGTGGATAGCGCTTTCAGCTGAAGTTAAGCTGAATCTGCTCGTTGAAGTTAAGCAACTTTCGCAGTGGTCGGTCATTGGATTGGTGACCAAATATGTACTACCTCAAGCTCCTCCATGTTTCGGATGGCACCCACCAATCCGCACTGAGCCTGCGTGTTGGGCCATGACCCAATTACTCTATTCCATCCATGACGAAGGCCTTTGCCCTAGCTGTGCGGACATTATTAGGCTGATGATGATGATAAAGTTGCTGTACCCTTAGTACGAGTTTTACAATTACGAAAACTATGATAGTTTTCGTGAGCTTGCACCGTATTAAAAGTATTGATTTTATTGTATCGTTTCAATACAAATAAACAGTGCTTAAATTCTATCATTAAGTCATTTGTTTCTTATTAAATTTTAAGTATATTTGGTTACTTTTCACCAAAATGGACATAGAAACATAATTTACAATTACGAAAACTATGATAGTTTTCGTGAGCTCAAATTCGTACTAAGGTTACTGTAATTTTGAAATTAAAAGAAGTATTATAATGGTTGATTTGGTTTCCAGTTACCATGATCCATTCCCCGGGCGTGCTATAGGCAGGCGTCCATCCTTGAACGCCATCCAGACGGAAGTATTTGCGCGCGTCGTTGTTGGAGCTCACTTCTATGTTCTCTATGGGCAGGTCCGCTGCGAGCCCTAGAGGCTCGGTGCAATCCAGACCCTCTGTGGTTATCTGTGGTTTAAACAAGAACATTATAACGGATAGTTTTTAAAATGAAATGTATGTTATATGTACTGAGTAAATATAAAGAAAAATTAACTAGAAAACATTATACGCGGTCCACGCAGCCGAATAGCGGAGGGTGCTGGTTCGAGTCCCCACTCGAACCAGCACCCTCCGCTATCCGGGTGGATGCACTGACCATTATGCTACCGCGGCCCTAATTTTCCGTGCCGAATTTTCTTTAGTCTTTCTTAGGCTGCAAGGCAGCGCCATCTTTCGCATTGAAGGTAACCAACAACTTTCGCATGGAATATTTACTAGTATTTTTTTTTATTTAAACGTATAGCAGTTAAATGCTTCTAAAGTAAGAAAGATGCAGATTGACAGGATAGCTGCTCAGATACTCACGGGGCATGGAGGTTTTTCCGCCTACCTCCATAGATTTAAGAAGAAGGATAGCCCTAGCTGTATATGCGATCCAAGCGTAGAGGAGGACATCTTCCATGTCCTCATAGAATGCCCTCTGTACGGAGCATACAGACACTCACTACAGACACGCATAGACACAAAAATCAGTAGAGACACATTGTGGGAAATAATGGAAAATAAGAAAGAAAGGAAGGAATTCCTAGAATATAGTAAAAAAGTTGTAGAGAAAGTGATTGAGAGAAATAAAGACTAGAAATGTAAACATAAGTTGAATCTGTAAACAACTTTTAAATGTAACCTCACAACGAGATGGAAAAAGAAAGATAAACAGAAATAAGATGTAAAAGTAAGAAAGAAGAAATAAAAAAGTTTGTAAAATAGTATTAAGGAAGAAAATATATATATATATATATATATATTATATGTATATAATGTGGTGCAAAAAATGAGCACCCAGTGAGGGAGAAATGTAGAATAAAGTCCTGTTACAACGGGGGTAATCGAGAAAAAAAAATGCTTCTAAAAAAAGAACTGATTAATATGTTAAGTAACGACAAAAAAAACACAAACATCTTATACCAAGACAAGAATACGTACGTATTGCTGAAATTTCGAAAGAGATTGAAATACAATAGAACATGACACCACATTTTGTTACACAGCAATAACTGCGTCGTTAGTGGTGTAAATTTATGCTGTGTCGTTGACTCAACAATACTAACAATACGCAATCAAGGTTGGTTATGGCCCTTGCTAGATATGCGATTGTGTTCATAGGAATAGCTTATGCCCCAGCAGTGAAGATTTATAAAACTAATGAGGACGAAAAAAGCAACAATTTTTTTTTTCTGTAACAGGACAGCGGCATCAAGATCAGATTCTTAGATTTATAATATAGTATGTTATGAAAATGATAAACTAATCTAACTACCTGTTACATAGGGAACAGTACCAGAGGCGTGGTGCTGACAGCTTCCTCGCAGCTGATGACCTGCAGTCTGAGGGCGATCTTAGAATGCCAGGAGAGCGGCTTCAAGCGAAACACTTGAATGTATAAACATCAATATGTATCTAACTAAAATATGAACTAGTCTACTTGTCACACAGGGAACAGTAACAGAGGCGTGGTGCTGACAGCTTCCTCGCAGCCGATGACCGCCAGTCTGAGGGCGATCTTCTTGTGCCAAGAGAGCGGCTTCAAGCGAAACACTTGGATGTATAAACATAATGTATAAATATGAACTAGACTTGGATGTATAAATATGAACTAGACTACTTGTCACATTGGGAACAGTAACAGAGGCGTGGTGCTGACAGCTTCCTCGCAGCCGATGACCTCAAGTCTGAGGGCAATCTTCTTATGCCAGGAGAGCGGCTTCAAGCGATACACTTGGATGATCAGCATCAGTATATATATAACAATAAGATAAACTTAGCTAACTATTTGTCACATAGGGGAGAGTACAAAAGTTCGTACAAAAAGCGTGGTTCTGACAGCTTCATTGCAGCCTATAGCCTCCAGTCTGAGAGCGATCTTCTTGTGTCAGGAGAGCGATTTCAAGCGAAACACTTTATCAACATCAGTACATATCTAACAATAAGATAAACTAATCTAACTACTTGTCATATTGGGAACAGTACCAGAGGCGTGGTGCTGACAGCTTCCTCGCAGCCGATGACCTCCAGTCTGAGGGCGATCTTCTTGTGCCAGGAGAGAGGTTTCAAGCGCAAATATTTGGCCTCCACGGGCGGAGAGATCATCTGTTTTAAAGGTGTATTGTGATCGACGGGACCGCGGAATACCTGTGTACAGACGAATATAAAGGCAATTTTTGTATTTGTTTCATAGGTTAATTATAATCTGCATTTCGATCTTATTTAAGTTTTTATTATTTAAAAATATTTTTATTGCAACAGTTTATAAAATCATCGTGGATTATCAAATGTTATTTTATTTATAATCTAATACCCATAATAAAAGTTTTGCTTACTTTAGGACACAGAGATCGTATTAATAAACTTTAATTTTTAAATCGTAATCGTTAAAATTTAGACATACGGGGAAAGAAGATGTGTTTTGATTTGACACAACTTGGGGGCGTGTCACACACTTGAGCAGTACTACATAAACTTATATGCGGTCTCTAGTGGGGGTGCTGTGGTTAAGGACTCAAAAATTCTTGTTAGTTATCCGTACTTAATCTAAGTATATTACATGTTATAAGTCAGTGGCTATTTAGGCTTAAATGGAGATTTATTTATTCTTTATTACCAAAACAGTAAATGGCGGACTTAATGCCATAGGCATTCTCTACCAGTCAACCAGTATGGGTGTATGAGACGGATGTTTTCGGAGGTTTCGGAGCTACTAAAGTTAGAGAAAAAAAAAATTATCCTACAGAACTACACTATACTATAATATAAATATATATTAAATATAAATAAAATATCCCTAAATATGTAAATATAAATACAAATAGACATATATATAAATTAATAAACATAAATATTTAATTATATACATACACTTAATTAGTTAGAAATAACTATGTAAGATGGTATAGATGATGTTGGAGATGCTGCTCATTTGTTTAAAGATCACATAATATTTTTCAAGCCAAGAAAACCTTATTATTATTCTTCTTTACTCACTGTAGGCTTCGAATCGGGTCCTACTACGTAGCTATAAGAAGCAGGGCTGTCGCTATACATCAGTTCATAGCTGGTCACGTACTGGTCGTGCAATGGGTCCCCTTGTACCACGACCCCGTGGACACTGGTCGGCTGCGGCAACTCCACTTGTATGTACTGGTTCAAGTCGTCAGTCTTGGGACTCCAGCTGCCTCCTACATATTATGGAGAATATGAACATTTGTTGGGGGAAAAAATGTCTTTTGTTATTATTAGCTATACATACTTTGCATCCACTAGTATACTATACTGACTATACTATAAATGCGAAAGTGTATCTGTTGGTCTACACATTTAAAACACTGAACTGATTCGTATGAAATTTGGTATATATATAGTTTGCGTTCCGGGAAAGGACATAGGATAGTTTTTATCTGTTTTTTTTTCTATTTTTTGAAATGGACATAATCTGTCCACTGAAGAGGAGCGGAGATTTTGTGCCATTTAATTGCCATTTCTCTGTTTCTCTGCTCCGTAACCTCGCTCCGCTTCAGTGGACAAGGACGTATAAGGTGGGTGGAAGTTTGTATGGGACACTATTTTTTTAGGAAATAAATTACACTAGGAAATAAATTAGGATGGGAAGTAGGAGGGAAGGGATAGGATGTAACATTATAACATATATCCGGATAAAACCAATAGGGTATTTGACAAATTTTAGAAAACTATCTCACGTTATTGACTAATGTTTATGGAGTCCGTAAAAAGTGGATATTCATCATTCTGTTGTGTATTTCAGTAAAAATAACCAAATCAAAAACTTCATTTTCAAGTTGCCGCGAAAACGTTTCTCTGGACAATATGGCATCTTTCTAGTGTGTGACGTCACACGACTGTTATTATAACGTCCAACGATACAATGTAATGTGTTTACTTGCGTGTGACGTCATTTTAGGCTCCGCCAATCCCAAGCGTTTTGGGTCACGTGACAATAGACAATAAAACTATTATCTTTTTCGTGGGTTTTTAGTATAATTATGAATATTTTTTTTGTAAAAATAGTAAAAACCCCTGCCAATATTCATTCTAAACACAGATGCTAACAATTGGCACTTTATTTTTAATACTGTCAAATACCCTATTTCGTCCATCCTCTTTTGAGTTATTTACGTAATTTATTATATTATTTTTACTACATCTACATTTGTGTCGATTCTGGTATGATTCTCTAAACTTAAATTTAGATTTGACAACAGTGTATCCTTGTCATTCCCTATACAGAGTGAAAAGGAGATACTGATGTTATTTCGCACCGGAGATCGCGTTGGGTTCGCCGTCGAGAACAGCGTACTCCGGCTCGTGTTGAGGGCTGACCACCGAACTGGCCGTCAGTATGGGCTTCGGCTCCACATCCTCGCCCCACAGTAGGTATTTGTAACTATAATTTAACATCATAATTCATTACAACATTTTTCAAACAAACTCAAAATCAAAAAAATATTTATTCACCAATACAAAATTTTTAATTTAGCTGACAATTAAACAGTGGTTTTCGTACTAAGCTGAGCTCGTAACGCAAAGACCTAATAACGCAGTTTTACTAAATGGTTAGCATTACAAAATGTTGTCAAAACAACATTGTGAGTGAGGAAGTTACAGTAATGCATAAATGTTCGATAGTCACATTATGTTAAACTGAACATGATGTTGTACATATAATAAAGCCTAAATCTTTTCAACAGCGTTGCAGGTTATATGTACGACATATCCCTCACACCAGATAGAGAAATGCAAAAGAGTGGCATTGAATGCATAAAATTTTATAGTTTTCTTTTTTTAGAAATAAATCTAAGTACTCAGTTCAGGTATCAGGGTAGGTTTGAATAAGCGAGCGCCATTCTACATTCAAGAGATGTGCTGGCTAACTGTCGACAATTGGAATCCATCAATAGTGTACATAACACTTAAATATGTTCACTAAGCGTAATCTGTTGCATTCAGTCGCACTTTCAAACCAACTTTACCATGTCAGCAGTTTACGAAAGTCTGTATTTGACCACTTTTGAAAATGATCCCTTGAATTTCATCTTGGTAACGGAAATAATTATTTGTTCTTTTGAATTTCGTTACAACAGAAAGAAAGATTAAGACTTGTTATATTTTTAAGCTTTTAATTGATAGATGTTTAAATCTGAATAAATTTTACTAGAAAAAATTCTACGCGGACCAGGCAGCAGACGGGACTCGAACCCACACCCTTCGCTATCCGGGCGAATGCCGGATGCATTCGTCCGGATTGTCGATCGAGTCCCGTCTGTTGCCTGGTCTGCGTGGAATTTTTTCTAGTAAATTTTGTTAAGAATAGGTAATTTCTAAGATTCAATCCGAAATAGCCTTACCCATCAGGTGAGCACTCTGGCGGAGGCGACGCGGTGTTCTGCACGATAATTGGCGAAGCAGTCGTAAGTTTAGTCGTAGGAACTGTAGTAGGAGTGGTGGGGCGTATTGTAGTGGGGGGTGTCGTGGTCTCCTGTATGGGGAGGTGGCTGATCGGTACGATGGGGGTGCTGCAGTCTGAAGAGTCGCAGTGGAACTCGTTGGATAAGCACTGGCATTTGACGCAGCCGTCTGCTACTACGCCGCCCGGCTGGAGGATTTATGGTAATAATGTTGTAGTCTCTGATTAGTGTTATAGACTCTGATACAGGCCCCCTAGCATGAGTGATATGATATACAGCTCATTTTTATCACAATCAATTGTCAAATTAACATGGAGGTAGGCGCGATAAAAAACTTGATATAATGTTAATTGGTGCTCATGCTTCGGGGATCTGCCCCCGAAGTTTCACTTTAAATAAATTAGTGTCACTAATTATTCAAATTTGTACGACTACATTCAACCTGAGTGGCGTGCATTTAGAGAGGCCTATGTCACGGTAATATTATCTATACAGTATTGGGACTCAGCCCTGTCCTTGAAATAACTGCCTGCGGTAGGGCTGCCCGCCTATAGTATTTTAATTTCATCTAGTTAATTGAGTTTATTTCTAGTTTTGTGTTTGTAAATATTTTATTTCATATGTAAAAAAAATTGTTGTGAATGAATTAGGAAGTGTTACATAAAATACATGTTCATTGTTGAGACGTACGAAAAACTTTATTATTAAATTTGATAGTATAATTAATACGCATTCGTATAAAAAATTTAATTATTGAAGAGTATAAGCAACCAAAAATAGCACAATATCGACCTTATTGCTCTTTTACATATTAAATTATGTAGGTATTTATTTAATTCAATCAAATATTCACAATACAAACGTTTAAGCACGGCTAACTGCTTAAAAAACAATTCACACCGTTCGGTCGTCGCTGCGGCGCATTCGCGACTGGATGCCCACCGGGTGCCGCGCGAACTCGGGTGGCGTAGGTGTGACTTGCTTTCCGACCGTTTGTATGGAAATAGAATACTGTATAGATAATATTACCATGCCTATGTCCAGCAGTGGACTAAGATAGGCTGTTGTTGATGATGATAATACGACTACAGTTTCCTTTATTTGCTGTGTGTGTCAGAGTTATCGCTTTGTACAAAGCTCAATCGATTGTAAATTTTATTTCCATTAAAGTAAACCAAAAAGTCAGTCAGCTGGAGAAATTAGACAGTTTTGAATGTCTTGACTTGTTTGAGTTCATGATAATTATAGTACAAAATGTCTGTGAATAAGGGCGTTCTATTTGTGCAATATCAAAAATTTAATCTACTACTAAACACACGGAGCTATCAAACATGTTTTTAGTCTAGGTTTAACTTTAGTCTACGTTTTATATCAAGGTGGAAATATGATTCTCTATACAGTAACTTGTTTGAATTATAATATTTTCATTTTATTTTAATCGAAATTAATAGAGTATTTGACAAGTTTTAGAAAACGAAATCACGTTATTGACTAATACTTATGGAGTCCGTAAAAAGTGGATATTCATCATTCATTCATCAAATCAAAAACTCCATTTTCAAGTTGCCGCGAAAATGTTTCTCTGGACAATATGGCGTCTCACTAGTGTGTGACGTCACACGACTGTTATTAAAACGTCAAATGTCACTTTGTAATGTCACTTTAACCGGAAGTTTACTTGCGTGTGACGTTATTTTAAGCTCCGCCAATCCCAAGCGTTTTGGGTCACGTGACAATAGATAAGAAAACTATTATCTTTTTCGTGGGTTTAAAGAAAAATTACGAATATTTTTTTTTGTAAAAATAGTAAAAACCCCTACCAATATTCATTCTAAACACAGATTCCAACAATTGGCACTTTATTTTTAATACTGTCAAATATCCTATTCATTAATTCGATAAGTTATAATCAATTTACCTTAATCATTTTTCCGTCTGAGTAGCATGTGCAGTCTTTGACGGGGACGCAGGTCTTTTCGTCTCGCCATTTGGACCCTTTGCCGCATTTCTTGTTGACATCAGCACATCCCGCTATGCATTTCTGAAATAGGTGAATGAAAGAGAATAAATGACATCATTGAGAATCAATATTTAGATATAGATATGTCTAGATTTTTATAATATTAATAATGAATACATTATACTAGTGTGAAAGATTTTCATGCTATCAAATGGTTAAGGGCGGTTTCAGATTAGCGTTTTATACCCGCGTATAAGCTCGTTTTTGTCACACGCGCAACTCGTACGAGCGTTGACGCGCTTGTAAGTTCGTATAAGTGCAAGCCAAGAGAGACCCCACTACCTGTCTGAGATATCACGCCGAAATATGTCTGTGTACGCGAGTCCGGTTTTAAGTGCGTAAAGTAGCATACGCCTATGCCGAAACTACCGTATACCCGCAGAAAGAAGCGCTGCTTTTGAAACCGCTCTTACATTGTTTATCAAAACTTTAGATTTTTCTTTACGATTTTTTTTTGGTCCTTCGATATCGCATGGTTTACAGATCAAGTTTAGTGTCGTGGCGCAATCAATCAATGAACTTAGATGGATCAGGGTGTAATAAATTCTCTCCTTCCGTAAATGTTTTCGAAGTTAAAGCCAATTTCAATATGCAATAACATATTAAAGAAATTAATCGCGGAAGTAAAATCAGGCTCCTCGTGTGCGTTGTTACATTCCCAAGTTGTGAAAACACAATTAAAGATTGTGAAAAGGGCACTAATAGCACCATTTTCATGATATCGACCAACGAATTAGAAATGATATGAAATGCAAATTGCGCTAAAAATTATTCCACACAAACTGCGATCAAGCGGGCGGGGCAAAAAAATGCGATCAACACGACGATTATGGGATTGCTTGGGATTTCCTATCAACATTGTCTTACCCGAAATAGCCGATAGCCGAATTCATTTGCAGATATTTGATTTGTCAAATTATTTTGTTTTGTTTGTGTGCATGTCGTGTAAGTATTGAAGATAAGAAGTTCAGTTGTATAAGAACCATGTTTTAAGTTCAGTTGAATGAGAATGTTAGATAATGTTTTAGCGGCCTCTAAAGACTAATGCTTCCATTTCATTTCTTATTCGTTAATTTAGTTAGTGTTTTATTGTACTGACCTTTCCCGGAGCACACTCTCCAGTTTCCACAGTGATCTTCTTATAATAGTCGCAGAGTTGGTCGCAGCGACGCGCGCACTCAACAAACTCTTGCCCCGGCGGGCAGCGGCTGCGGGTCGTCACTTCTGTGGTAGATGGTGTAGTCGTCGTTGTAGAAGGTGTAGTTGTTGTAGTGGTCGTTGTAGTCGTAGTTTCTGACAGTGGAAATATAAACAATTTTATAGCACAGTGTGACCTAAACCCGCACTTTACGCACGCTTTTCCGTGACCTAAGTTGCCTATTTCTGCACGGTGTGTAAATGAATTGACCAACTTCACTCATGTAGAAAAAATAAAAGGAAACACATTTAAATGTCATTTGGAGCTTAAAAACTCACAGCAAACAAATGACAAATTAGCGATAGGTTAGGGCAACTTAGGTCACGCGTATCGTAATGTACTATTGTAAATCAACCTCGTTCGCACATTCGTTTTGACAGTGTGTGCGAAAGGGACAGAATATCTTAGATCAGCTGAAATTGTACGCAAAAGCTGCTGAATAGACTAAGATAAGAATCGAAACGTATACTAATGTATATTATCAGAGTCCAACGTATGTATTTCGATTTTATTTGACAACTAATTACTAAAGCTTTCTGATACTTTGTACATAGTGTGGCATTGCCGCGGACAGACCGCTTTCGTACATGCCCCGAATCCAGGTCTACTGTACTGCGTAGAAATAGACGGGATTCGATTATCCAGCTCATTGTAGATTCTCTTGACAGCTGAAAGTTTACCCAAGCTTTTGGGTTCAGCATAGAAAGATGAAAACAGTCCAAGTACACGCTATATTCTAACCCCCTTTTTAATAAACCATAAATAATGGAATACTCTATGTTTTATCACTGTTCATTGAATTATAAATGGTGCTTGAGTGAAATGAACAAACCACGGGGTAACTAGTTTACACACTATCTAATCACACACATAGACTGAGGGTAATACATGGTGTCATGCCACGGCGCAGGACTTCTCCACCGTATGGATTTATTCCAAGATCAATGTGCCTATGTCATTGAATCCCTTTGACAGCTGAAAAATTTCAAGGTTTTTTGGTGCTTACCTGGTGTAACGTTACCGCAGTCTGGGCGAATAGCGTGTATTCCCAATTAGTTTTCACTATCATCATCATCAGCCTACTAATGTCCCCACTGCTGGGGCACAGGCCTTCCCTAAGGATGGAATAGGGAGTTCTGGGCCATGACACACCAGAGCGGATTTGTGGGTGCTAACGACTGCAGATGCAGCCGGGACCAACGGCTTAACGTGCCTTCCGAAGCACGGAGGAGCTCGAGATGGTAAATTTTTGGTAACCCATCCAATGACCGACCACTGCGAAAGTTGCTTAACTTCAACAATCGCTGCCGAACGCGCTAACCACTTGCGCCATCGAGCTCCTCCAATTCTCTTTACTAACTGAAAATTTACTAAATTTTCGGGCTATTACCTGGTGTGGCTTTACCGCATTCCGGGCGAATAGCAAGCACGGCAGCGGGCCAATCACACACCATACTGTTAGGATTGTACATGGTGCCCGCTGCGCATGATTTCTCCACCGTATGGATTTTCTCAGGGTTCAACATATCCGGCGTGCATTCGTAAAATTTGGCGCAGTCCTTGGGGTGGGGGTAGCTTGGTCGGGTGGAGTTCAGACATTGGAACGGCTCTGTTAAACACAAACGTTTTGATGTAAATAATAATAATATCTGCTCGATCTGTAAAATATGTGCATGCCTACAACTAATGTGGGATAATTAGTAATAATCAATATTTTACACACTCTCACACTAATTAGCCTAGCCCCAAAGTAAGCCCTGCAACTGACTTGTGTTGTGGGATAGTAGGGTGACGGATAGAATACACATACTTACTGATACATATATAAATATATTTTATGTACAAATGCTCGTATTTATCATTTACCCCCACCTAGATTAGAACCCGGGACCTCACGAGTAGGCGACGCCATGAAACCCGGCGTATATACTATAGTATAAAATAATATGTCAGTAGATTGGATTTTTTCTTACGCTAGTTCTTGTTATGAACTAAAAGTTGTCCAAAACGGGTAAGAAATATATACAGAAAATTCAAAATACCTTTTAAAATATTCAGATTTAGATGAAGTTTAAGTTACCTACATATATTTTCATGTCATTTCAAACTGTGACTGCTAAATCAAATAAAGAACCAAGCCTTATTTGAAAGAAGTGACACCATACTCGCATTGGACTCAGAGGCCTACTGTAATTCAACGAAAAACTAAATTTCGATCGAAACTTCGCACTTTTCTTACTAGAGTCTGTGCGGAAAGAGAATGGGATTTAGATTGGAGAGCGCTGTAGTGCTTTTTTACCCTATTTGTAAGGTTTTACCCCTTTTAGACATGATTAAATACAAAAAACTGCAAGAAATCACAACAACAAACAAATCCGCATCAATACAAAACTCTGACGTTTTACAGATAGCTGGGTTTGATTGCCAAATAAAAATCTTAATGTTAGTTCCGTTTTTCGCCACGCCCATTCTCTTTCCGCACAGACTCTGTGTCTTTCTTGTTCGTTTTTAATTATAATAATATTAGTCGTCGGTTTATAGATTAAGGTGTAGATTTTCTAAGCCTACTCAAAGAAAGCTTCAATTTGATAGTTTATCGTTCAAATTAAGTATAACCTTAAATTAAAGAAATTTAATTTCGTTTCAACTTGGTTATCAAAAGTTCGTTTTGGAGAAAGAGAGTAGACCTGCTGATCACAAAGTCTGGACAGGTTCCTCCGGGCTCGAGACAGAACAGCCCTTTCTTCATGCTGCACTCCACATCGAGCTCGTTCTGCTTATGGATCTAGAGGTTCACCTTGTTGCGACACTGAGTGTCTTTCACAAATAGGAACAGATCTTTGAAGAAGAATAAGAAACACTGACCACACTCGCATTGGACTCTGATCTCGAAGTCCGGACAAGTTCCCCGGGGCTCCCGACAGAACAGCCCCTTCTCCAGGCTGCACTCCACGTCGAGTCCGGTCTGTTTGGGGCTCTCGTGGTTCACCTTGGTGCGGCACTCGATGTCCTTCATAGAGCTTTTACCGCACATCGGGGAACCGATCGGCTACGAATAACAGACAATAATTAGGTACTTATAAAAAAAACTGGCGGAAACAGTCAAATTGAGAGCCTGCTCCTGTTTGAAGTCGGTTAAAAATGGTTTCAATTCTGACATGATTCTCTCAACCTAAACACGACAAAAATGTATCCCTGTCATTCTCTATACTGAATGAAAAGGAGAGACTGATTTTTTATTATTATTTTTTGTTTTTTTTTTATAGATAGGTCCGACAAATGACTTCACCCCACCTGATGTTAAGTGAAGGTGAAGTCGAGACGCGAAGATAGCTGATACAGCAGTTCTACCTGCCACACCAGCCATCCTCACCCTGCCGGCCTTGCATGTTGCTTCTTTACGCCTCTTTTAAAGGATCCCAGGTTGTAAGAGGGAGGGCACACGTGAGCGGGCAGAGCATTCCATTTACGGATAAATCACCAAATTTCTTTCTACGCGTTGGAATTGTGGCCACAGTTAGACGGTGACAACGTAGGCCAGCGCGCGTGGTCCTCTGAAGGAAAGGGGAAGGTGAAATAAGAGAGAATAACTCCTCAGAACACTTTTAACCTCAGAGCTCTGACGAGTGACGCCACGTCACGGTGTAATTGAAGAGGCTCGAGGGGTTTAGTCACCTCCTCATCGCCTATGATGCGGATCGCGCGCCGCTGTAACCTATCCAAAGCCTCGAGCAAGTGTTTGGTGGAGCCATCCCAGAGGTGCGAGCAATATTCCACGCAAGAATTGTGTATGTGTATTGTGAATGTGTATTGATGTTTAACTAAGTTTTAACTTAAGAAAACTCTGCCAGAATGGACACCAATATGTAAGTAGATTTGTCCCAGCTAGTATGGGAATTGTAGCCGTTACTTATTAATAGATAATTATTTACAAAAAATATCATATTGGTCTCAACTATCATAGGAACGGAAGGGGATTAGTAACTTTTAATTAAAGAGATAGCTAATATCAGCAAATGTTATGTGACTTATTTATTTTATTTATTTATTTTATTCTTCATGCACATACTGTACAATGGCGGACTTAATGCCGTAGGCATTCTCTACCAGTCAACCATAGGGTGTTGTGGAGATTTTAGTTGCAGGGTGCACAACTGAGGTGGAGATCACATTTAAAGAAATATTACTCATAATAAATATATAACAATAACATACATAAATAAGTAAATATATACAAATTATATAACTAAACATATACATACACATACATATATACTTCATATAATACATACATGACGACAAACTACTTAACGAAACGCTTGTTCCAATAAAAAGGTTCGCAGCTTGGTTTTAAAGGAATGTTTGTTGGGGGACATTCTAATGTCTAGCGGGAGTTCGTTCCACAAAAGTATAGTTTTCACGAAGAAGGAAGAGTGAATGATATCGGAATTGTGAGATGGAACGACTAGTAAACGATTGAAAGAAGATCTAAGATTTTTAGTATGAGAGGTACATAAGTACTGAAACTGAGAAGTGAGATAAGGGGGGGCATTTGGAGAATCCAGCAAAGTGAACAAAGTGGTCAGAGCCCGCATACATCTGCGTTGCCTAATGGGCATCCATTTTAAGAGAGATCGGTATGCGGACACATGGTCATATTTTCTAAGATTAAAAACGAATCGAATGCAGTTATTCTGAAGTCGATCAAGCTTGTTGAGTAGATCTGCATTCAGGTCGAGGTAGCACACATCACCATAGTCGATTATGGGGAATATTAAGGTTTGCACAAGCATTGCCTTGATATTGACCGGCAAAAAATTTTTCAGGCGATAAAGGGCACGCAGTATTCCTGTTACTTTTTTGCAGACGCTACTAACTTGGTCCTGCCATTTAAAACTGGAGTCGACATACAACCCTTGATCTTTTACGACATTGCTGAAGGGGATTGGTGTGCCGTCATAAACGATGGAACCAACACTGCCGTTGTAAATTTTGCTCATGGCCCTTGACCCACCTAATAAAATGGCTTGACATTTTGTAGCATTGACAATTACACCAAAATTGTCCGACCATGTTTTAATAGCTACTAAATCCCTGTTTAGAGCATCAATGGCTTCATTTAGATTGTCAATACTTGTCTCGGTATATAATTGCAAATCGTCAGCATATAGATGATACGAACACTAAAGTTTGTGAGTGATAAAATCAATAAAAATTGAAAAAAGAAGAGGAGAAAGAATACCGCCTTGGGGAACACCAGTTTCCAGACTGCGCCAGGATGAGGAAGAATCCCCAGACTGGACCATCTGCTGGCGGTCCCGAAGATAAGATGAAAAACAAGTCAACACTTCGTCAGAGACCATAAGATGAGACAGTATAGAAAGGAGAATATTGTGATTGACGGTATTAAAAGCATTGGAGAGATCGATAAGTACTAAACAAGTAACTTTACCGTTCTCCATACCCGCTCTCACATCGCCTGTCACTTTTAAAAGTGCTGAAACAGTGCTATGCCCTGGTCTAAATCCTGATTGGAGAGGGTTCATTAAGGAATTTCTGTGGACAAATTGAGAAAATTGCTTGTGAACGCATGCCTCCAGCACTTTAGACATGAAGGGGAGGATGGAAATCGGCCTAAATTCATTAGGCTGCGTTGGGTTGGAAACTTTGGGAAGAGGCCGTACATAGGCTTTACGATATGACTTATGTGTCACCTTCACACAATACTGAACAGTTCTTTGTGCTCAGGCAGCGGTTCTATCTCGATGGAGGCGCCCTCTGATCCGGCGGTGGGCGTATGTCGACTGAGACACGGTTGGACACACTTCAACTGTCCTGACACTTGAGTGTCACCTTCAAACAATACTTACCAGTTCCTTGTACTTAGGCAGCGGTTCTATCTCCATGGAGGCGCCCTCTGAACCAGCGATGGGCGTATGTCGACTGAGCCACGGCGGAACACACTTCAACCACGTGTCACCGTTACACAATACTGACCAGTTCCTTGTACTCAGGCAGCGTTTCTATCTCCATGGAGGCGGCCTCTGATCCAACGGTGGGCGTATGTCGACTGAGCCACGGTTGGACACACTTCAACTGTCCTGAGACTTATGTGTCCCCTTCAGACAATACTTACCAGTTCCTTGTACTCAGGCAGCGTTTCTATCTCCATGGAGGCGCCCTCTGATCCGACTGTGGGCGTATGTAGACTGAGCCACGGCGGGACACATTTCAACTGTTCTTGACTTTTGTGTCACCTTCACACAATACTGACCAGTTCCTTGTACTCAGGCAGCGATTCCATCTTCATGGAGGAACCCGTTGAGCCGGTGGTGGGTTAATGTCGACTAAGCCACGGCGGGACACACTGCAACTGTTCTGTGACTTATGTGTCACCTTCACACAATACTGACCAGTTCCTTATACTCAGGCAGCGGTTCTATCTCGATGGAGGCACCTTCTGGTCCGGTGGTGGGCGTATGTCGACTCAGCCACGGTGTCCAGCCCGGGACACACTTCAACTGTTCATCGTTTGGTTTCGGACTCGTCGCTTCGGTCACTTCCTGTACGGGTATTGAATTTTTTTTATGATATAGACAAGAAAAATGCAAGTTTTAACACATTTTATGATAAATAGAGAGAAGTGAAAGCCTTCCTAAAATTGTGAGAGCGCGCAGTATGTGTAATGAGCAGTGAAGAACTGATTTAAAATTAACCTAAAATTATTAATTTAAGTAGGTTAAGATAATTTGGATACTAAGTAGTTTTTAAGCTTATGTAATTTAAATGTTTCAATATTACTTAATATAAATGCAAGTGTCGTAAAATGCTGACGGGACAAAGGCACGCGCTTGCTCGTACACCTCCTTATCGAATAACAATATCAAATAACCTATCAGGAGGCTTACAACCATATTTAGTCATCAATTAACTATTAAGTTTTAACACATTTTAATTTTTTTTCTAGTAAACTTTTCTTTAGATTTAAACATCTAGCAGTGAAATGCTTAAAAAATAAATAAAATCATAACTATAATTGCTATTTCTTCTTTCAAATGTTTAATACTTTAAAAAGTATTCATTTGACATTGTGGGTTACCTACAATGCGAAGAGATGGCGCTGCTTTGCTAGGAAAATTTCGACGCGGCTAATAGGGCCGTGGTAGCATAATGGTCAGTGCATCCGCCGGATAGCGAAGGATGCGGGTTCGAGTCCCGTCCGCTGCCTGGTCCGCGTGGATATTTTTCTAGTAAACTTTTCTTTAGATTTAAACATCTAGCAGTTAAATGCTTAAAAAATAAATAAAATCAAAACTATTCAGTTAAATTAAATATGAGTAATGTTACGCACGATAAATTCAAAAATGTAAAAATCAGTACGAGAAAAAATGTAACCGTAATCGCTCGAAAAATATGCTCTGCCGTTAGTGGCAGTGGTCGGGATGCGTAGCGAGAAGAACCGATGATATTTGGGGCGAAAAAGTTTTCGAATAGCGACCAGGCACCAAACGACACTCATTGGATAATGAAGCCTGTGACATGGAGCACATCTATCGGAATTCAGACAGATACAAAGGTCTGGTATAATGAGTGACCTCATGCTGTCACGAGTCTCGAGTCATGAGGAATGGAAGAATGTTGTTCACTATGACTCACCGCTGGAGTGCTGCATGGTTGTCCGGTGCACACTTTCTCCTTCTTGGAACACGTGCAGGTGTGGCAGGCGTCCTGCTCTACGACCTCTCCCTCTAACACCTCCTTGCCGTCCGGCAGCGTCATACACAGAGGCTTGCACTTAGATCGCGGCACGCACTCTGTTAGTGTGCTGTTACTGTACACTGAGCCTTCGGGACACGACTTCTTTGGTTTGCATCCTGTTTTCATAAAGATAATTTAATAATGAATATTTTAAATCAGTTTAAAAGTTTGAGAATTTAACTAATCATGATCAATCTTAGAGATCGACCACGTGGTTACAATGCAAATTATAAAATGGTATTACTATAGTTGCAGTCAACACAAATGGTTCTACATGCCTCCGGAAGCATGATTATTTATCATATAAAAAATCAATATTACATAATTTTTTATGTCCTGTTGATACAAGACATAATAATTTCCGCTTCAAGACTATAACTACAGCATCGATTTATGTGGCTTTCTTAATATAAGTTAAATGGCTTACGCAATTGCAAACCGAAAGCCTTTACTACTGCGCTACTTAATATAATATTCAGGCGCTCCAGTATCAATAATAAAAACAATAGAACATCACAAAAATATGTCCCTAAGGAATTTCGACCTAAATAACAAGTGAATAAGGCTCACCTTCGACGCAGACGTCCTGCTTGCACGAGGTCTGCACGTCGGCGTAGTCGAGGGTGTTGTCGCAGGTCTCGAGCGGGCAGGCGGGCACGCACGGGTCGTAGTTCGTGCACTCCGTGTCGCACTGCATTGCTGGCGAATCACGATTACTATTAGCCAATAATCTTCATACAATAACTTATAAATAAATTAACATTCGGAGCAAGCTTTATAAAACCGTTTAATAATATACACTTTGTTGTGTGAAGAAGAAACTGAAATCACATGTGTCTGTGTGAGGTAGTTTCACACTACATGTGAAACTACTGCACATAGACATGGAAGCCTGCGCAGTATCAATTCTATATACAAAAACGTCTACTGCGCAAGATTATCTGTTTGTGGTTTTGCTCAAGAAATTTGCTGCTACCTTAAACAATTCAAACTGAAATATACTCACGGCACAGCTGCTGCGAACGCCAGTTGAACATCACGCCGTGCAGCGAGCATTCGTACGCGTAAGCGGCGAGAGCGGCACATGCGCACGCACAATCATCGCCGTCGTCGCACGCGCATGCGTCGCGTTCGCAGCGGGAGACGTACGGGCCCGCGGGTACTTCGCTCGCGCATAGCGTGAACGGGTAACGCTTCAACCACCCGCACTCTTTCACCGCCCAATCTCGGCGATGGGGACGAGCCTCGCAGTAGTCCTGGTTCAATACAAGGCTTTAGTTTTTGTCTATTTTTAATAATAACAAACTTTCATATCTTTTATAGTCGGTTGGAGAAGAAAGCTTGTGCCGTTTCATAAATATATAATATTGCGCAATTACTTCTATTTATACTCAAACTTAGAGGAACTCGATGGCGCAGGTGTCGAGCGCGTTCGGCTGCGATCGTTGAAGTTAAGAAACTTTCGCAGTGGTCGGTCATTGGATGGGTGACCAAAAATTTCTATCTCGAGTTCCTCCGTGCTTCGGAAGGCACGTTAAGCCGTTGGTCCTGGTTGCATCTGCAGTCGTTAGCACCCGCCAATCCGAACTGGGCCCGCGTGGTGGGTCATGGCCAATCTCCCTATTCCATCCATAGGGAAGGCCTGTGCCCCAGCAGTGGGGGCATTAAGAGGCTGATGATGATGATGACTTCTATTTGTGAAGCTGTGGGATTCCCCACATTAATAGTAGCAGATTTATTTTGTAAACTAATCGTGGTGTATGCGCTGTTTAATAAATTCATTTTGTAATTAATAAAAACCCATCGATGGAATGGACATTTGAGAACTGTTATAGCCAAGGTGTAATAATAAAGTTGTTGTCAATGAACCCAAGGACAGAGATAGCGCCTTTGATATCTCATCGCTGATATGTCGTGGAATAAAGTATATCTATTTCTAAGTGTCACAAGACAACTCACTATGACAGGCTTCGGCTTAGGGCAGGTAGATTTAAGTTTCGAGGTGTCAGTGAGCACGAGCTCCGAAGATAGGGCTTTCGCCTAGATTTAGGTATCTCAGAAGATCACTTACGGTGACAGGCTTCGGCTTAGGGCAGGTGGGTTTCAGTTTCCAGGCGTCCGCGAACACGAGCGCCGAAGATAGGGCTTTCGGCTAGATGAAGGTATCTCAGAAGATCACTTACGGTGACAGGCTTCGGCTTAGGGCAGGTGGGTTTCAGTTTCCAGGCGTCCGCGAACACGAGCGCTGACGACTCGGGCAGCCCGCCGCCCGCCGGCGTCTGGAAGTCGTCGCGACTGTCGCCGTTGTAGTTGCCGCACAGACCTTTCACCTGGTGCCCGAATGAAGATGCCTTTGATTATATGCGAGATTCCACGAGAAAAGGTACCTTATAGATGTTTTTAGTTGCAGAGATATTTCATGCTTTGTGAAAATGGTGCATAAACTAGTTTTATTTTTTATTGATTATTAAAATACATGATGTACCCTATAATCTCATATTTTTATTTTGTATACATAATTAGCTCAATATGTGAGCTCAAAGTTTAGTGAAAAGGGTACCTTATGGCCGTGTCTTTAGAGAATTATGAAATAACGTATAGCCACAAATCATGGTTATAGACTGTGGTGTAGTATTGCTTTGGTTTTGAACATCTACCGCCTTTTCCGCCATAATAAATGTCAAACCTTATGAATGGGTAAACATTTTCAAAACAAATAAACCCAACACTGTACCTAAATTGCTCACATACAGTCATTTCAAAACCAAAATATTTGGTTTAAGTAGCATGTTACGAGTTCAAGACTCGTCTACGTCACTCATACGTCACGCGTACATTATGTGTTTCCCAAGTGCAGGTGGCTCGATTGAGCAATCGTGTTGAAAAATGCTTATTAGACAGATTTAGTTAATGTAAAACCTTCGGACAGTTTTGGGAGTTGCTTGAGCTTCAATCGTGGAAGCATCTTGACGTATAGTTTGTAAGACCGGATCATCGGGATCAATTAGTATAAGTAAATTTGTATAACATTTAAATAAATAAAGTAATAATTAAAAGTTTAGTTTTTAAAAACCCTACCTGACGGCTCAATTCCGTAATTGGCGCAGTCGGTAGGATAGTCGAGTCAGTGCGAGCATCATACTTCGATCAGCCTGATAGTCGTGTCGTCGGCGTGTCGACTATCTCTACGAATCTACGCGAAGCAGTCGTCAGACGGGAAAGAAGAATCAACTTCGAAAAACGGCGCTAATCCAAAAATCGATGGCCCATCACCACACTAAGCTAAGCATCCTGCTCCTGTGAGTTTTATTATATAAGTTACGTATTCCTATTGGTTGCCAGCGGCCCCTTTCCTGTCTCCCGTAGGACGTAATAAGTAAATTAAATAAGTTTGTTTTAATAGTTAGAAAGATTGCTATATATTCCTATTGGCTGACAGCGGCCCCTTTCCTGTCTCCCGTAGGACTTAATAAGTAAATTAATTAAGCTTTCTTTTAATAGTTTAGAAAGTTTTCAAGATTTTTTTTTCCAAAGAAAAGTAGAGATATAGGACGGAATCTGCGGCGCAGTATTCGTCCTAATTCTAGAGAATTAAGGTTTCATCGCGAAATCGAGTTATCTACATTAGAAAGCATAGAAGAAGAAATGGCGTCCAAACAACAATCTGTAGCTTATTCAAACGATATGACAGAAAGGATTTCGAAATCTTTAAGGCTAGTTCCTGAGTTTGATGGAAATTCGAACATTTTAATTAGATTCTTGAACATTTGCGACCAACTGATTTTAACATATGTTAATCCAGCTCCGGGAAATGAACTAAATAATTACGCTTTAATTAATGGAATTTTAAATAAAATAACCGGGCCTGCTGCTAAAACATTAGCAGCAAATGGCATCCCCCAGGACTGGAATGGCATAAGAAATGCGCTAATTAACAGCTTTTCGGATCACAGAGACGAATCCGCCCTATACACCGATTTATCTATGTTAACTCAAGGTTCCGATACACCGCAAATATTTTACGAGCGAGTTCAAAATTTACTTAGTATAATTATGACTTATGTAGAATTATACGAACAGATTAAAACAACAGTTGAGGCTAAACGTGAACTTTACAAAAAAATTAGCTCCTCAAACATATACCAGAGGTCTAGCCGAGCCTTTAGGCTCACGTGTCAGGTGCATGCGCCCCGACTCGCTAGAAAAGACCTTGGATTTCGCCCAGGAAGAATTAAACGTCTTATACTTACAATCGAAAGCCAGTAACCCGCTAATTTCTAAGAAATCGATTAACAATGCCCCGTTTAATTACTCACCTTTTAATTCGCATGACTCACTTATGCCTTCGAGACAATTCAATTCTGGAATGCTTACACATCAATTTAAACCTTTTAAATACCATTTCATGCAACAAGCCACTTTCCCTAATAATTTGTACCGAAAAATATAAGACCTTTCGGATAGTTTTAATAAGCATATTAGTTTATATAAAGAAATGACCATCCAACAAACTTAAATTTTAAATAATATCTCTTCAAATCAAAGAAAATTAGAAAAAGCAATAATTTCAATAAGTAATGCATCTGTAACTGAAAAAGAACAGATGTATCAATTTACACAGATTTCCCAATTATTTAGCATACTTACGGAAAATATTCTGGAACTCTCATCTGAAATAAGTAGATTAGGTAATATTTTAGCTTTTAGTCGCACAAACGTAATGCACCATTCTATACTATATATAAGTGATTTAAAAAATATGTTAACACAGCTTAAAAATCTATATAATCCCAAGCGTTACTAAACTTAGATGTTAGGTTTTATTACGATCTAATTACCTTAGGATCATATTTTATTGATAAGAAAATTGTAATTGTCTTGAAGTTTCCTATAATGTCTCTAGAAACATATGACCTTTATAGACTCTGTCCTGTTCCTAATAAAAACTCAGAAATTATCCTTCCACCATTCCCATACATGGCATCCAATTCCCAGGAATTTGCGTACATGGAGGCTGAATGCCCGAAGATCGACACCTGGTACATATGCAAGCAGCAGCTTAACCATCAAACCCGAACACGCAGTGACTGCGTCTTCAATCTCATTTATCATCAGAATACAGGAGAGTGCCATCCTACATCCATATCACTCCTGAAGGAAGCACTACTAGAATTGGACAGTCAACATTATATTTTATCATTACCTAACAAAATCAAAGTAAAAATATCATGCGGACAAGAAAAATATCATCTGTTAAAAGGAAGCTACTTCGCAACGATTCCCCGAAATTGCAGCATTCACACACCAGAATTCACAATTGTTAATACTGATGACAAATTTCGTGGGCAACCTGTTGAAATAATGACATTCCCACACTCGACTCCGATGTCAGCAAATTCGAAGAAAACCTTACCACATTATGATTTCACAACAATTGATTTGAACAAATTACACAATATTCAACATCAATTACTCATGGACCCACCTGTTAGAATTAACACCGTGGATTTATCCAGCTTATATCACACCACGATACCTACATACGTCATCATACTGTTAAGTGCACTTGCACTCATTAGTGTGGCTTACTACCTGAGACGGCGTAAGATCCAACAGCGAGTTAAATCTACACAGCCTCAAGAGATGGAAATGGCATCAGCGGGTTCTACACCATCCATCGAAGAAAGAAAAGCCGCAACATTTGCTCTCAATCTTCGCAAATAGTTGCTCATCTAGGAGGGAAGGTGTTACGAGTTCAAGACTCGTCTACGTCACTCATACGTCACGCGTACATTATGTGTTTCCCAAGTGCAGGTGGCTCGATTGAGCAATCGTGTTGAAAAATGCTTATTAGACAGATTTAGTTAATGTAAAACCTTCGGACAGTTTTGGGAGTTGCTTGAGCTTCAATCGTGGAAGCATCTTGACGTATAGTTTGTAAGACCGGATCATCGGGATCAATTAGTATAAGTAAATTTGTATAACATTTAAATAAATAAAGTAATAATTAAAAGTTTAGTTTTTAAAAACCCTACCTGACGGCTCAATTCCGTAATTAGCATGCAAACAATCCGTCACTCGGTGATATTTGGCAACATGTTATCTTTAAAGAATATTATAGTAATTACACATCTTACGAGGGTAATTCTTTTTGATTTGAAAAGCTTATTAGTCGCAGATACAGAGAAATGCATGACTCAATACCGACCATAAGGTACCTTTACCCGTGGAACGTAACATATATATACAGTAATGGTGTGGAGCTCGATAGCGATCGTTGAAGTTAAGCAACTTTCACAGTGGTCGGTCATTGGATGGGTGACCAAGAATTTATAGCTGTTTGATTTATAGCCGTTGATCCCGGCTGCATCTGCAGTCATTAGCACCCGCCAATTCACACTGGGCCCGTGTGGTTGGTCATGACCCAATCTCCCTATTTCATCTTAAGGGAAGGCTTGTGCCCCAGTAGTGGGGACATTAATAAACTGATGATATGTATACATGCCTAGATAGAGTAATCCAAATAAACCACATAAAGAAAACAGCTCATGGTACGCGCAATGTATGCGCAACTCTAATGTCAGATTATTTGAAAGCAGTTAATGTGTGCGTGACTGCGTGTGTAGCGCCGAGCGTATCAACCATACTTGTGTGCATGACTGCGTGTATAGCGACGAGCGTATCGACCATACCTATGTAGTATGCGTATGCGTGACTCTTATGTCAGATTATTTGTAAGTAGGTAATGTGTGCGTGACTGCGTGTGACTCTAATGTCAGATTATCTGTGTAGCGCAGAGCGTATCTACCATACTTGTGTGCATGACTGCATGTGTAGCGACGAGCGTATCTACCATACCTATGTAGTATGCGTATGCGTGACTCTAATGTCAGATTATTTGTAGGTAGGTAATGTGTGCGTGACTGCGTGTGACTCTAATGTCAGATTATCAGTGTAGCGCCGAGCGTATCTACCATACTTGTGAGCATGACTGCGTGTGTAGCGACGAGCGTATGCGTGACTCTAATGTCAGATTATTTGTAAGTAGGTAATGTGTGCGTGACTGCGTGTGACTCTAATGTCAGATTATCAGTGTAGCGCCGAGCGTATCTACCATACTTGTGTGCATGACTGCGTGTGTAGCGACGAGCGTATGCGTGACTCTAATGTCAGATTATTTGTAAGTAGGAAATGTGTGCGTGACTGCGTGTGACTCTAATGTCAGATTATCAGTGTAGCGCCGAGCGTATCTACCATACCTAGTAGACTTATTTCTTGGGTATCTAGGCGTATATATAGTCAAAAGACAATGCCGTTTTACTTATGTTAATACGTGAAATGTATTAATGTTAGAAACAATCAAGTACAACCATGGGTAGTAAGTATTTGCCTGCTTCCCGAGTTTCTCAAATATAGGGAAACCGTGAGAAGAGAATTTAAACTTATTCCGCTACTCACCCTATTTCTCCAGACCGCGTCGACTCTGACGTAAACCCTTAGGCTGCGATCCCACTGCAGGCTCACGCCTAGAGACGGCACGTCCAGGAACACGTATGTGCCCGCTACACGCAGTTTTATTCTACGAACAAAGTTATAATATTATAGATATTAACGGGATTGTTACCATGTACCTTATTTTTTATGAGTCTCCGATATAGAATAGTGAGAATGTGACCAATGGTAGTGGTAGTATCGAACGCAGTAAAAGACGACGTCAGAGGGTAGAGCGATATGTCTGCCAATAACATCTACCCGCAATTACTTCAGTTACTCCGTGATCATGGCGCTTGCAACAGTGCCGAAATATCGGAGACTCATAAAAAACAAGGTACATGGTAACAATCCCGTTAATATCTATAATGTTAGTGACCATGAAAGTTTAAAACAATATAAAGTTATAATAGTAAAAATAAACGATTCATAAGAAGTCATAAGCCGGGTACTCATTAGCGAGCTGTAACCGTAACCGTTGCATGCACTGTAACCAAAAAGCATAGTGTGTAGGTACGTGGTTCGCTAACCTGCTGCGAGCGGTACGCGTGCTGTTTGCAGCGAGCCAGCGTTTACAACTGAGCTACAAGCAGTGTTGCCAGATCCGATTTTTAAAACTCGGGAGGTGTTATAGAAAAAAAACAGTAGAGGTATGGAAAGAGCTACAAGATAAGATAAAGACCAGTAACGAATGTGTTTCTGTGGCTTCTACCACCCCTTAAAGCTAGATTTTTTTAGACAAAACATTTATTTTAAAATTAATAACTTTACCGACATTATTAATGGCCGAAAATGCAACTCAACATGCAATTTAACAAAAGAAAATCGTATTCTAAGAAAAACAGGAGATTCATGTAGAAAAACAATAGAACAGGAAAAAAATCAGAAATACAGGAGATCTCCTGTAAAATCTGGAGACCTGGCAACACTGGCTACAAGCGTACACACTAGAACCTCGTACTGTGGGTGTATTCCGTAATATATACCAGTATACTGGCCAGTGCTAATGACGTCATGGATCCACGCTATACTGGTGAATTGTTCCGAAATATATTGGCCAGTGCACTGACATCATAAATCGACGAAATATTAAAAATTGTGCGAATAAAGAATTTTTTTTCACCTCATCAATTAAAAGGAATTCTTTTTGTTCGGATGCCATTATTGTTCTTTAAATAAAAAAGAAATAACCGGAAGGGTTTCATGGTGTCGTCGACTCGAGAGGTCCCGGGTTCGAATCCCGGTGGGGCAGATGTTTGTGTGATTAATACGAGCATTTGTACTCAAGTCAAGTCATGGATGTTTAATATGTATATCTATACAAATATCCTTATATATGTACAGTGTATGTATTCTATCCGTTACCCTAGTATCCCATAACACAAGTCTTATAGTGCTTACTTTAGGGCTAGGCTAATTGGTATGAGTGTTGTAAATATTTATATTTATTGTTTATTCTAACTTACCCTGGATTAATCTTGGTTATTCTTTATGTTCTGGTTTTTTACAATCCGTATTTATAAAATTTTAGAATTCACTTTATTTTCTCTAATATTACGTTACCTCTTCAGCGTCGAGACATCCGGTAGCGGTGCGTCCTTGGTAAGCGAGACGATTTCCTTCTTCCCGCCGCCACCCACTTTCAATGTAGTTGTCTTCGAGCATGTAGCACCAGTTGTGCCGCACGGTACGTTCTGTGTAAAGTTATATGCATATATCGTAGTAACATAGATAAATCCGTAATTTAATTATATCCCTAGTGATATAATCATATACCGTAATATAGTTTGACGTAATAATAAAAGAAAATCCATGTTTATCTATAATCTGCTAATAGCAGTATAAGAATACAATAGTGCATAAGAATTCCGAAGTTGCATGGGGTACTAAAAAGTTGAAGTGCAGGGAAATTCTTCGATATTCGTAAAGCAGATGCGATACGATTACGGGGCTGTCAAAATTAATAAGAATTCTACTTCTTTGCATTTTCATTATGATCACCGGCGATTATAGGCAGTCAAAACTCTTGCTTGGACCCAGTGGCGTAGCGTGCCTTGGCCCCTAGGAAGGGTAAAGATTTCTCACAAAAGAAAAAAAATGTTTGCATAAAATTAAAAGAAATATTTGTTCATCGTCATTATCTATCTGTCACATTTTCCAAATTTTTTACAAACATTTCAAGTTAAATATACACTCTCCTTGCCTTTTTTCGGCAAACTGATTTATTAAATCATATATAGCTGATGATGAGTTTAGTTTTTCTAAATTTTCTGGCTCTACGGTCAATAGTAACTCCGTGGTTTATCATAGATTATTGTGGGATTCCCCCGTTCAAGTAAATGACTTAAACGGGGAAATCCCGCAGCCCGTGATAACCGATGTAGGGTGTTGCCAACGCGCACGCTTTACGCGGGAAAAACAGAAATTGCTATTTTTGTCATTTTTGAAAAAAATATTTTGGGAAGTTTTTATTAATTTTTGTTTATGCCCGTTGGGGGGGCCCCGTGACCCAGGGGCCCTGTATAATTGAAACAGCAGATACGGCGGTAGCTACGCCACTGTTTTGGACCTCTGAACTGATTAGGTGTATAAATGATGCCATCGGTTATCTACCTGTATCTCTACGTCGAATCCGTCGCTGGAGTCCATAACGCCTTTCGCCAGTAGATAGGTGCACACCCCCTCGAAGTCGTAGGAGGCGGAGTCGAATGTGTCGACGTGCGAGTCTCCCCACGCGCTGCAAACTCCTGCGCACGTGCGCTTCGTGCAAGACCAGTTGCCGCTCTTACACGCACTATCAAACATCACAGAACATTAAGCTAATCTATCTAATGCCGCTTCCTATATACTAAATATAAAGTTACCCATAAAATTTATTGTAACTATATCTTTCAGACGTATCTCTGAAGTCATTTTATAACTTTACGAGTCTGTATATAACAAACAATACAAGGAGAAAAAAAACTGCCCTTGCTAAGTTTATTGCCGGTTCTCACAGTACAAGGTCTCCCGCCGTAGTTTTGCGAACCGATGGCGTAGCTTCTTGACTTTCACAAGTGCCTGTAACAGCTTAGACTGAATAAAATGACTTTTCATTTCATAAGTATTAATTGAACAGTATTAATTCAAGCCAATAAGAGAGGTACCGCATAGCGGATTTTCCGCTCGAATTGGAGCGCTCGTCTGGGGAAGTATACTCCACCTTACAGAAGACAGTAAAATAACTCTACAAGTTCTAAGGTTCCGGGCCTATTGACGCGGAAGAATCCCTAAACGGGGATCCCGCGGCTTCGCGCTAAGCAGCTTAGAGGGTATTCGCAGGGATTTTAGCGGATATTATGCCGTAAAGCGCCCGTAAGAGTTACGGGGTCCTCAGTGGGCAGCCACTGCTGGGGCTTGTAAGGCGGTGTGCCCTTTTAAAGGCGTCGTCGTCTGTAAATAGTAAAAAAAGGGTCTACGAGGTAGGTGATTGAGTGTAGGCAATCACGCGAGTGATATTATTTGTATCGCAAGTGCCTATGGTGGATGATTACCATCAGGTGGGCCATATGATTGTTAGCCCATTTATCATAAAAACATCTTTTAAAATTTGTTAAAAACTATGTGCTCATTGTGAAAAGAATTAACAAGGCGACTTTCTTATGACACATAGAAAATCATGCTGTTTTTTCATCTAAGTGGTTTTATTTTATGTAGCTCCTTATTCTATTAACCGACATATTAGATGAGTTAGGAATTTCACATTTGTATCACTTTTTGCAACTTATATTATCTTAAGAAAATATAACTTGAAAAAAATCCACGCGGACCAAGCACCAGACGGGACTCGAACCCGCACCCTTCGCAATCCGGGCGAATTCACTGACCAATTATGCTACCGCGGCCCTCGGATTGCGAAGGGTCTGAGTTCGAGTCCCGTCTGCTGCCTGATCCGCGTGGATTTTTTTCTAGTTATATTTTCTTTAGATTTCAACATCAAGCAGTTACATGCTTTAAAATAATAGAAATTGCTATTTTAAGATATGAAACGTATTATTAAGAATCTATGAAACTTGCAGTCTTTTTAATTTAGACACCCAGAAGAACTAACAATGATAGGCCGGAAAAACGGAATTGTGTATTATGGATGGACACATGTGACATACGGCATTAGCGCCTAAACATTCGATTTGAAAAATGTATTCTCTTAACTTCAATCACTATGGACTACAAAGACAAAAAGTCTTTGTCTTTAGTCCTTTCTCTATGTAAGTAGAATTTTAATTAAAATAAACCAGTGTCAGTGTCGTTAAACCTTCACCTTGATTAATAAATATTGAACGATTATCCCGAAACAATGGGATGATGATCATTACACATTAATAACAGTATTAACTTTAATTAGGTAAAGTTCATTCAATATCTTCCACAGATGTGTGCTGTGTGTGATGTAATTTTGGTCATTTGTCGAAATCTCGAAACTATCTACGAAAAAACTAATAGTAATAAGTTTTTTTACTTTAAAAAGGTGGCAAACAAGCGTATATTACTTGTAAGAAAAAATATTAATTTGTTTCTTAAAAACAGTGATGTTCACACACTTAATACAAGAAACAAAAATAAACTAACTTTACCTGCTACTAGGCTTCACAAAATCAATAATTCATTTAAAGGTCCTTGTGTTCGCTTATACAATAAAGTCCCAAGCAATATCTAAGAGTTAAGCATAAATAAATTCAAAGATAGTATAAAAAAGCACTTATTAATAAAACCTTATTACAAAGTGTCTGATTATATTACAGACAAAAATGCTTGTGTTTGAACTGTTCCAATCATTCCAACAGGTTTTCTATATTAAATAAATCATGATTGTATTGACGTTGTAACAACATAATGATTTGTGAATGTTGTTACATTATGCTTTTAATGTTGTGGAGTTATTTCGCTCGTTTTTCTCCGCAGCTAAAAAATATGTCCTATAACGAGTGGTAGGGAAAAAAAATGTTTGGACGATTCAAAAGTGTTGTACTATACATCCAATTTGAATAAAGATATATTGATTTCTGATGGTCCGCATGATGGTAAGCGGTCACCATAGCATATGCTTGCGATACCAAAAATATCACTCGCACCCTTGCCTACCCTTTTTTTATAATTTTTATTATTTTAAAGTAAGTAACTGCTTGATGTTTAATTCTAAAGAAAATATAACTAGAAAAAATTCCACGCGGACCAGGCAGCAGACGGGACTCGAACCCGCACCCTTCGCAATCCGGGCGAATGTACTGACCAATTATACTACCGCGGCCCTCACGGACCGCGTCGAAATTCTTCTAGCCATCCTTAAGCTGCAAGGCAGCGCCATCTCTTCGCATTATTTTGCTAGTTATATTTTCTTTAGATTTAAACATCAAGCAGTTACTTGCTTTAAAATAATAAAAATTGTAACTATAATTGCTATTTCTTCTTTCAAATGTTTAATACTTGTTAAAGTATTCATTTGACATTGTGGGTTACCTATAAGGCGAAGAGATGGCGCTGCCTTGCAGCTTAAGAATGGCTAGAAGAATTTCGAGTTCGAGTCCCGTCCGCTGCCTGGTCCGCGTGGATTTTTTTCTAGTTATATTTTCTTTACCCTTTTTTTTTTAACCCCGCACGGATTGAACACGGTTACGGGTCCCCGGATTGGGAGTCACCGCACGTCATGTCCAATTGTCCCACTACCCCGTCGCGTTGATGCTATGGTGCATCCCGGTAGGGGTACCGGGCAATCATAGAAAGCCCGCTGGGGGGCTAAGGGCAGACTCGAGCTCGCCGCCTCCTAGCTCCCTCTCTCCTGTGTCGGAGGGAGTCTGCGTGGGCTTGTTCCTCGCGGACCCTCTCCGCGGCCTCTTTCTGAGAGATAACGTCCTCGCAGAAAGAGGCCACCGCCTTCCAGTATCTGTCGCTGTCCAACATGGCACGTAGCACGATGGACAGGGAGAGATCCTGTCCCACAGCCGCTACCAGAGTGCCGCGCTGCTACGACCATGCCGGACATTCCTCAAGGGTGTGCTGTATCTACAGCAGATCTAAATGTATCGAATGTAGCTGTGCCTACCCTGACCTGATTCGCTACCCCGTGGAGCCCTGGGGGGCATTCGCCTAACGGAAATGCTTTGGAAAACGCTTACGCTTACGATTTCATTTTGTTATTTCTAGCCGCCTGAGGTTTTCAAATGCCTCCCGCTCTTTTTTTTCTTTTGCATTGGTAATAATTATAATAAAAAAATGAGCGTGAGGTATTTGAAAACCTTCGGAGGTCAGAAATAACAAAATAAATACGAGAACGTTAGCGTTTTCCAAGGCATTTCCGTTAGACGAATGTCCCCCTGGAAGATTACTCACCAGACAGCAACACAACACCACCAAATGGTAGTCTTATTTTACTGTGATACCTCCTCTGTAAGGCAGAAATTACTTCCCCAGACAGGAGCTCCGATTTGAGCGGAAAGTCCGTTGTGCCCTACCGTTCTTAATAAAAATATTTAGTTTAATATATTAATTAAAAACAAAAAACTGTAGGATTCAATTTTTTCATTTGCAAAACGTATTAGCATTTCCTAAATAAATTGTATATTTTAAATAATTTTTACAAAGAAATAGTACAAATCTTATATGTCAAAAATTCTAAAAGAAAAAGTTTGGAGGCGCCGGGTATCGATCCCGGTACCTCTCGCATGCTAAGCGAGCGCTCTACCATCTGAGCTACGCCCCCTTATAGTACCAGTACAAAATAAAGGACCAGTCTGTTATGCGTCAATTAATTTTTAATTCGAATCACGTGCAGCGGTTGGTGTAACTGCAATACTTTCACTCAACGCAAATCGTAAAGTGTAATTACGGCTTCAAGGATTTTCAAAGCGTAGGCGCGTATAAGCAACGAATACTAAGTTTAAATAGTATCTCCTTACATGGAATGAAATAACAGATACATCTATTGTTATTTAAACTATTTATACTGAGTAGCTATAAAGCAGTCACAACACCCATCACCTTGTTCATGTATATTTATAACTACCTACACACAGTTATTTATATATGGTATTATTTGTGTTCTACGTACATGTACACGTGTATATTCTAATCGATTTTGTTCCCCTACCGCGTGGAGCTTTGCCGAAAATAATCGCTGCACAAACATAAATATTCGAGTATTTTTTTATGTAATATTCTATTAGATGAAAGCTTATTTTGTGGTCAGGTTTCGCATTTTGTTGGTTTGTAATACTTACATGTTATCTTATATTATACTAGTGGCCCGCCCTCGCTTCGCTTCGGTGTAGAGCTGTAGTGTAAACTATAGTTTTTGTGCTCGGGCTTGTGTTATAAACAATGACTTTATTTATATAATTACACGTGTTATTGTAAGTCAACCATAAAAGATAGACATATGCTGTTGCGGGATATTTTTTTGACAATTTTATGTAGAATATTTCCGTCATACATGATTTCTATGTAACTTTAACCATTAAGGCTGCACACGCGACGGAAGCTTAAAAAATGGAGTAACTTCTCCCGTTTTCCCAACATTTCCCTTCACTACTCTGCTCCTATTGATTGTAGCGTGATGAAAAGTATACTATAACCTGCCCAGGAGTATGAAGAATAATTGTACCAAGATTCATTAAAATCCGTCGAGTAGTTTTTGTTTCTATAAGGAACATACACACAGACAGACAGACAGACAGACAGACAGACAGACAAAAATTTTACTGATTGCATTTTTGGCATCAGGTTCGATCACTTATCACCCCCTGATAGTTATTTTGAAAATATATTTCATGTACAGAATTGACCTCTCTACAGATTTATTATAAGTATAGATGTGCGTGTGTGTGTTTACCGCATTACTCGGCTTGTATGAACATATTTCTATTCATCATGTTAAAGGTATGCGTACAAGTACCATTCGTTACACTCCTCTAAGTATCATAACATGCAGGTCAGGGGGCCAATCGCCTAGAGAGATTTCTATGGCTATCACTTTCGATTTCAATTTGTTATTTCAGGCCCTGGCACTGGCACTCATTTTATTCAGTTTAGTAATTACCAATGCAAAAGAAAAAGAAGATCGCGAGACAATTGAAAACTTTCGATGGGCCGAAATAACAAAATGAAATCGGAAACGATAGCGATAGCCATAGAAATCCCGTTAGACGAATAGCCTTCACGATAGCTTCATCCATCGTGATGGCAGGGACAGTAAGTAGTGAGCTAGCACACACTTGTTAGCGCTCTCATCCAATCACTAACCAAAAAATGGTGTCGATTCTAGCATGATTCTAAGCTTTAAACTAAATTTAACATCAGTCTCTCCTTTTCATTCTGCATACAGAATGACAAGGATACACTGTCGTTAATTTAGATTTAGAGAATCATACCGTAATCGACGCCATCGTCATGTTATACGCGTACTCACCATTCATTGCACTCCTCCATCATGACGTGCCCGTCGGGATAACTTCGTCCGCCATGATGGCAGGGACAATCGTTGGCTAACACACACTTGTTAGCGTTGACGTCCAGCACATAGCCTTTCTTGCACTGGCAGCCTGGTCGGCATTCAGTCGACGTTGGCGTCGGTGGTAGATGCATGTTCTGGACAAGTAGATATTAATTTGTGTTTAATGAGACACGACAGGTAATTAATTGAAGGAGAAGTAGGTATAAAAACGGGAGATATTCAAAAAGTACTAATTAGGCTAATCACAGGTTAGGTATATATTTTACTGTACTAGGCAGTAATAGGTGAATATAATAATAAGGCTGGCTGATCTCAGATTAGATATATAGAGGAAAGGATGCTAAATTGGAATACTGCAATATACAAATATACTAAAGCGCCATGTATTAAGGTTTACCAGTCTATGTGTTAGGAAACAAAATTGAGGTGGCTAAGAAGCAGCCATATTGACAGTTCCGTGACAAACTTCATTGGAGTGAAAGTGCTGACGAGAAAATTTTCCAAGTAAGTAATAAATCGGCTTGCATCTTGAGTGTGACTTATATTTATGTGTTTATATTTGTACAAATCTTAATTCTAGTATATCAGTTGTTGTAATCAACACTTATTTTAGAAAATAATCAAAACACAAATTCACAAAAACATTTCAGGTTAGAATTGGCTATGTTGTTTGGTTATGACTCTGGCTGTTACGTTTGTGACTATTACAGTCTAGAAAAATATAATAGTTTTAATATAAGCGTATAGCTATTTTTTTTTTAATTGAAATTCTTTAATTTAAAGCCAAATAAATAGGTATATCAGGTTAACCATTAGGTGATTGTAATGTGGAACATCCTATTCATTTGGAATATATTGACTTTGGTTAAACTACGCCAATCTGTGATTTCTTAATTAAACCACAATTGATCCTACTTGTGATAATCCAAGATTGTTAATTACTTTAACTTGAATAAAATATAAGTTCTTCTAATATTAAATGCAGTGTTCACTTATTTATCTCTTCATCCATGTTTAATACGATTTTTTTTTAAAGTAGTATTCCAAATTTGCATCCATTCCCTATAATATTATATTAGGTAGGCCTGTTTATAAAATTGTTCCTCGTAGATCATTGACGTATAAAAACATGTAGACTCACAATCGCGCTTAAAAGTGTCGGAAGCAAAATTACGCACATGCGTGTATTATGCGTAATTTTCAAACAGTCGTGTTTCGTCCGCCCTATGATTGAAACGCAACCCAATGACAAAGTGTTCGATTAAAAATTGTGCAAGTAACACCTGATCCATACATAAAAAAACATTAAGTGTCGTGTTTTTGGTGTCCCTTAAAACTACGCAAATATCTTTTTGTTTTCAATCGTATTGCTAATTAATACATTCTAATAGCTGCAACAAAATATATTAAAAGAAATAAAATAATTTCGACGCGGTCCGTGAGGGCCGCGGTAGCATAATTGGTCAGTGCATTTGCCCGGATTGCGAAGGGTGCGGGTACGAGTCCCGTCATCTACCTTGGTCCGCGTGGATTTTTTTCTACTTATATTTTCTTTAGATTTAAACATTAAGCAGTTACATGCTTTAAAATAATAAAAATTATAACTATAATTGCTATTTCATCTTTCAAATGTTTAATACTTGTAAAAGTATTCATTTGACATTGTGGGTCACCTATAATGCGAAGAGATGGCGCTGCCTAGCAGCTTAAGAATGGCTAGAAAAATTTCGACGCGGTCCGTGAGGGCCGCGGTAGCATAATTGGTCAGTGCATTCGCCCGGATTGCGAAGGGTGCGGGTACGAGTCCCGTCATCTACCTTGGTCCGCGTGGAATTTTTTCTACTTATATTTTCTTTAGATTTAAACATCAAGCAGTTACATGCTTTAAAATAATAAAAATTATAACTATAATTGCTATTTCATCTTTCAAATGTTTAATACTTGTAAAAGTATTCATTTGACATTGTGGGTCACCTATAATGCGAAGAGATGGCGCTGCCTAGCAGCTTAAGAATAGCTAGAAAAATTTCGACGCGGTCCGTGAGGGCCGCGGTAGCATAATTGGTTAGTGCATTCGCCCGGATTGCGAAGGGTGCGAGTTCGATCCCGTCTGCTGCCTTGGTCCGCGTGGAATTTTTTCTAGTTTTATTTTCTTTAGATTTAAACATCAATCAGTTACATGCTTTAAAATAATAAAAATTATCACTTAAAAGAAATAGTTTTTTAAACATGGCAATAATGCTTACAAATTAACCAGAGAATAGATCCTACCTTGCAGGTGAGTGGTTCAGCGAGCATACAGGTGGTGAATTCCATGTGATTGGCGGCGCTGCAGTTGGAACGCAAATCCTCGGCAGGCGGATAGTTCTGGATATCGGAGTCCGTCGCCGGAACGCAATCCCAGCGGGCACCCACGCATGTACTAAAAATTATAATTACTTATAAATATAGGACATCATATATTGAAGAGCTCAATGGCGCAGGTAGTTAGCGCATTTGACTTGCGATCGTTGAAGTTAAGCAACTTTCGCAACGGCCTGTCATTGGATGGGTAAACAAAAACTTATTATCCCGAACTTCTCCGTGCTTCAGAAGGCATGTTAAGCTGTAGGTCCCAGCTGCATCTGCACCAATCCGCACTGTCCCGCATGGTGGGTCATGGCCTAATTTCCCTATTCCATCCATAGGGGGAGGCCTGAGCACCAGCCGTGGAGACCCTAAAAGACTGATGATTGGACGAAAGCTGGCATTCGATCTCCTCTGTACCGTATGTTGGACACATATAACAATAAATTCCTATTGACATTTTTAATAACAGTTCTGGTACAGTTTGGTGTTGAAGCACTTCTTGATTGGGACACATTTTGAGCGCTCGTTGTGTATTTGGGATTTTTCATACCGTTGACAGATGCCAACAATTGGCACTTTATTTTTAATAATAATTGCCAAATACCTTATTATTTATGATAATTAACAGCATAAATTATACTCACCAAAGCTCTCGTTCGCGTCTACCAGGCCTAACCTCCTTATATCCAGCGTCAAATTTCATGCCCTTGTGTTTACAGGAACACAGACCTTGAGGGACGCAAGCGTTGTTGTCATCGAGAACCTAGAAGCAAGTTTCTTTTTATTAAGTTATAGTTGTATTTGGTTCCTTAAACCTCCAATCGATAGCTTATATACTACCCGAATAGGGTATTCGACAAGTTTTAGACAACGATCTCACGTTATTGACTAATGCTTATGGAGTTTCATTCATTCATCATTCTGTTGTGTATTTCAGTAAATATAACCAAACCAAAAATTCCATTTTCAAGTTGCCGCGAAAGCGTTTCTCTGGACAATATGGCGTCTTACTAGTATGTGACGTCACACGACTGTTATTAAAACGTCAAACGATACAATGTAATGTCACTTTAACCGAAAGTTTACTTGCGTGTGACGTCATTTTAAGCTCCGCCAATCCCAAGCGTTTTGGGTCACGTGACAATAGATAAGAAAACTATTATCTTTTTCATGGGTTTTTAGTAAAATTATGAATCTTTTTTTTGTAAAAATAATTAAAACCCCTGCCAATATTCATTCTAAACACAGATGCCAACAATTGGCACTTTATTTTTAATACTGTCAAATACCCTATTGGGAATAGCACTTTCTTCAGAGGGATACATAATGCTTTATACTATACTTACGAGTGAATAAAAGAGTTTTTTTTTATTTACATTACTAGTTTTAGTTATTTCAAGTTTATGCAATACTGCCAGTGAAATAACTATTAGTTTCTGGATATCACGGGTTTCAAATTACAGCTTGTTCAGTTTCTCTGCGTTTCAGTAGAAATAAAAATTGAATACTCAGTAAAGATAAAGCAATCCGCACGCTTTTTTTTTTATGTAGGGAAATCAAGTTGCCAGTATTATTTGGCAGAATGTGATAAATTTTAATATTATGTCTATGGCGTTAGAGTACAGTAAATTACCTTCCTGAGCGGGCACGCAGCAGGACTTACAGTGCCCGATGCTAGAGAGCGACACGTTATAGACCTTATGCCTATAGTGTTAGAGTACAGTACATTACCTCCCCGGGCGGGCAGGCACAGCTCTCCACACAGCAGGGCTTGCAGTGTCCGATGCTAGAGAGCGCCACATTATAGATCTTATGTCCATGGTGTTAGAGTGCAGTACAATACCTTCCCGGGCGGGCAGGCACAGCCCTCCACGCAGCAGGGCTTGTAGTGCCCGATGCTAGAGAGCTCCACATTATAGATCTTATGTCCATGGCGTTAGAGTGCAGTACAATACCTCCCCGGGCAGGCAGGCACAGCCCTCCACGCAGCAGGGATTGTAGTGCCCAATGCTAGAGAGCGCCACATTATAGATCTTATATCCAAGGCGTTAGAGTGCAGTACTTTACCTCCCCGGGCGGGCAGGCACAGCCCTCCACGCAGCAAGGCTTGCAATGCCCGATGCTAGAGAGCGCCACATCGGTACACGTCCGTAAACAGCTGTCCGCGCAAACTGTGTACTCTTGTCCGCCGGTGCATTGCAACTCTGAATAGTTAATTAATAGAAGAATTTATTTATTAATAAAAATTAATAGAAGAGAAAAGTAAATCGTAAGATCGACTGATAATTCAGTTTTTAATTATGTCCTACTAATAATATTTTTTTATAACTTTGATCATAAACTGGCAGTTAATTTCTTTAAAAATATATCAATATCTAAAATCGAAATAGGATAAAAAATATATACTTATATTCAATTGAAATCAATAAAATGAATTTCATATAAAGTTGTGTATGGCAAAATTCACAAAATTTAAGTGTGTGAATTAGAATTAGGGTAAAGAAACTCCAGAGTCTAACCATAGCCAAACTCTCTTAAACACATGCAGAAACGAACGAATTTAGGCTTTTTTTTATGGTTGAGTAAGGCTGAAAATAGAGTAACAGTCGAGTAGTATAAATCTCCTATGAGAGGTTGTTAATAATAACTTGACATTCTTGACGAACGATTATAAATAATTTTAGACTGTATACTAACCGCATTCCTTCACGTTGTACCGCCATTGCACTTGCACGCCCGCCTTGGCACAGTCCATAGCGTAGCTGCCCAGCAGTGGGCACAAACACTTAGAGACATCACCGGCGCATGCGCACATGTCATAGAGACAGGACTCGTAGTATGGCTCCACGTCGACGTACCAATGGCACTCTGGTCAAGGTGAAAAAATCATTTTAATGAATTCAAAAGTTATATAAATTGCGTAATCATTTCTAGAATAAGCCTCCCTATTTAATATCCAAAAAATAATTAATTAACTTAACCTAAGAAATACTAGAGAAAATTCGACACGGACAATTAGGGCCACGGTAGCATGATTAGTGCATCCGCCCGGATAGCGGAGGGAGCGGGTTCATGTCCCGTCTGCTGCCTGGTCCGCGTGGATTTTTTTCTAGTAATATTATTTTTAGATTTTAACATCTTTTTCTAACATCTGTTAAATGATTAAAAAAAAAATAACTAAAAATAATTACTTTCTGTATTTTTTTATGCATCCTTTTTTCTAACAAAATTAATAAACAAATAACAGCAACTAGCTAATTGGCAGAATGAAGTCTTTTTGACAAAGCTATACACCTTCCTCTTGCCTTCAAAGGAGCACTCGCGCTGGCCTTCGTAGTCACCGACTTAATCTCAACTCATAGCTTTGTCGCACTCCCCGCAAATGGAACGCTTTTCCCGCTCACATGTTCCCTCCCTTCTACAACCCGGGATCCTTTAAGAGGCATGGAGAAGTAACTTGCAGCCCACAATGTGAGGATGGCTGGTGTGGCAGGTGCCTGCTGCACCAGATATCTACGCGTCTGGATACCACCGTCACTTAACATCATGCGAGGTGGAGTTGTGGCGGCGACATCTACAAGCCCCATATATAATTATCGACGCAAGACTTGACGCTCCAGAATAACAGATGATGCTATCAGCGCTGCACACAATAAGTATGGGAACCTACATCGCGCAATAGAAATTTGGAGGCTAGCTGTTCATACATGCAATGCTCGACCAATATCAGTCTAGCCGCAGCCCCCGAGCTACCATCACCGAGCTCAGAGGAAGATCTTCCCATTTGGTCTTCCTACAAAGTCATTTGTTCAGATCTATACACAACAATATCTATTAAGAATGTTACCTTCAAACAGTTTGCTCTTGAGCTTGCTGCAGTACTTCTCTGCGGTCTCCTTGTTCTCCATATTGGCCTTGCAAGGATGTTCGGGCTCCTTGGTGTCCACGTCGGCGCAGAACTCGCGCGTTTTCCACTTGTTGGCGAACGCCAGCGTCGACTGCTCCACGTCACCTTCGGGGGTCAGGAAGTCATCCTTCTGATTCAAGTTGAACGTGCCGCATAGACCCTGTACGTTGAGAAGGAGGTATTTTTTATGTTAAAAATGTGGCAAGCTCTTATTATTCGAGTTCAACTGTAAATTCAGGCTTCGTTTGTGTCTTAAATCAACCCTGAATATTTTCTCTACAAACTTATCTATATGTATATTAGATGTGTACTAATAAAACGCAAAATATGAAAAACTAAAATTTGAAAATAATTTTCTCAACTCGTGGAAGAAATCCGCCACTTCCACAGACTTTGGCAGAAAATGGCTATGCACGATCTAATCGTACGTTTTGCTAGCAAGGCATTTTTTAACCGCAAGTAATTATATTTAGGGTATCAATTAACTGATTACTTATATTTCATAATCACGCCCAAGTTATTTCGCGTTTGTCTCAAGCAGTGTGTAGACAGTTACTGTCAAGTTTAATAATGAATATTTTTCGTCAAGTTCATCAAGTGTTTTCCTTTCTTCGATATCAAGAGATAGTAATTCAATGTACTGATTTGACAAGGGCTCGCACAGGTTATTTACACAGACGAGGGGATACTATGAAGTTATAGGTGATTTGACGAATTAGTAGACCTTTCGTCTAAGTGCTGTCAACTGGCACCCGTCATTCCAAAAAGCCCTCATTGGGTTGTTTATTGACACTAGAATGTTAATTTTACGCTTATTTGTTTACCTTAGTTTGTCCTTTAAAAGAGGCAGGAACGTCGACGAATACTCTGGTGAAGCCATCCCACCAGATGTCCACTTTTATGGGTAGTTGCACTAATAAAAAACGGATTTAATTAATTGCTTAGTTGTAAATTATATACAAATTAATTTTCTCAGTGCTGAGATATACGTTATCTCTGTGGACGCTATAAGCACAGGTCATGACACACAACTCAGACCGGATTGGTAGGTGGTATACATCCCAGCGAGGAGCTCGATGGCACTGCGCAAACACACACTATGCGGTTCGTATTAATGAATAGTTTTTTGAAAGAGATAATCATCAATACTGGAAATATCGGTTGTATAACTCTGCGCAAGGATAATGCATCTCATTCTTAGTAAGTAATAAGTAATGCAGGAGTGTGGCCGACCAACGGGCACGACTTCTCCAGTCGCCAGCATCGCTTCCGGAAGCTTGCAGCAGTCTGCCAAGACTGTTTTCCTTCTGGACTAACCTAGGCTGGCTGGAGTAAACGGGAATGTGCAACATTCACGCGCACAATGGTCCAATGATTAGGACTAAGTGCGGAAACCGCCTTGAAAAACTAACTAACTAACTAAAGTAATAGGTTTTGATGCCAGTTGCATTATTAGTTCGATGGCGCAAGTGGTTAGCGTGTTCGGCGCGTGCGTTGAAGTTAAGCAACTTTCGCAGTGGTCGGTCATTGAGCTCCTCCGTGCTTCGGAAGGCACGTTAAGACGTTGGTCCCGGCTGCATCTGAAGTCGTTAGCACCTAGCCGCGTGGGTAGGGCCCGCGTGGTGAGTCATGGCCCAATCTCCAAATTGTATCCATAAGGAAGGAAGGATCCATAAGTGCCCCAGCAATGGGGACATTAATAGGCTGGTAATGTGATACATCCCGGCAAACCACTTGATCGACGACCATAGAGAAGGAATCTTGCGCAGTAGTAACATTACATACAAAAATGTCTACTGCGCAAGTTTATATCTCTTTGGTTTTTTTTGCTCAAGAAGTTTGGTTAACGATTGTAGGTAGAACAAATCGGGATCAACTTATTATTATTGGTTTTTGAACAAAACCTTGGACTTGATCAATGCTAGACTTGGTGGTAGTATAGATATATCAATTCCCCTTTTCCGCTCTGGTCAGCCCGCCCTGCTTCAGCTGTATATTGCTTGTAAAGGTATTCATAACCATGATGAAGAGTGATGGAGCGGCGCAAATCCTTACCCTGGCCACAGTAACAGACAAGTCGGTCACTTCCCGCCCTGCACCAGGGTTAGCCCACCCTGCTTCAGCTGTATACTACTATTGAAGGCATTTACACCAATCATAAAGAGGATGAATCGGCGCAAATCCTTATCCCGGCCACAGTGACAGACAAGTCGGTCACTTCCCGCCCTGCACCAGGGTGAGCCCACCCTGCTTCAGCTGTATACTACTATTGAAGGTATTTATACCGATCATAAAGAGTGATGAATCGGCGCAAATCCTTCATCATCATCATCAAAAGCCTATTAATGTCCCCACTGCTGGGGCACAGGCCTTCCGTATGAATGGAATAGGGAGTTTAAATAAAATCCTTATCCCTTCCTTATCTTATCCTTCCACCAGGATCCACCCGCCCTGCTTTAGCTGTTTATTGCTAGTGAAGGTATTCATACTGATGAATGAAGCGGCGCGGTTCCTTATCCCAGTTACAGTGACAGGCAAGTCGATCAACTCCCGCACTTCCACCAGGATCAGTCTGTTTTGCTTCAGCTGTATGCTACTATCGAAAGTACAGTGGGATTCAAACTTTATGGCAGCTGTGAAGTTAGCAGCGAGCGTACTTTGCGTATGTTTCACAGTTTGTTCGAGTAGCGCTAACTTCACATCCCCCTTAACGTTTATACGCACTATATTCATCATAGAAACTTGCATAAACAAGGTACATGGTACCAATCTCGTAAATAACATAAATTACTATAACATATTCATACCGATGATGAAGAGAGATGAAGCAGCACGAATCCTTATCCCAGCCACAGTGACAGGCAAGTCGGTCACCTCCCGCCCATCCACTAATATCAGCCCGCCCTGCTTCAGCTGGATGCTGCTGCCGCCGTATAGAACTGTCACCGCCTTAGTGCACGACGGCTTGCCCTCCCCCGTGTAAGGCGACAAGTTCATCGCCTTTAATAACAAATTAAAAACAAATTAATTATTTGGAGATAATTTTCCTGTCAGCTGAACTCCTGATCAGAAATTGCCAATGTAGTTTTTTTTATATGCATGATATTAGCATGATCGATCGATCGATCGTACTAGCGTACAGACGTGCTCATCGCGCTTATAAAATAAATTAACAGTTAAATAATAGTGACCTAGTTTAAATAGTGATTAAGCGTATTATGAGGTTAAGCTCAGTGAGTGACAATTATACGTGCATAAATTATAATAATGGACATAAATATTTAGTGTAAGTTCTTTTTCATTAATTATGTCAAGTGAGAGCCCCTTTAATCGAAGCGGCATTACTCGCCGCACTCCTCCCCCAACGACGCCCAGCCATCCAACTCAAGACCAGGATGATATGGATACCTTAAAAATAGTATCTACTCCGGAAATACAAAACTGGCTTACCTCAATTGAGCAATATTTACAAGAAGTATGTACCATATCGAATGAGGGAAAACTAGTATCTGACCACAAACTTAGGATTAATAATCTCTGTCGAAAAGTTGGACATGGAGTTGCGCAAATGGCTGTTCAATATCAGTCTTTAAAGCAAAAGGCGTTATCAACTCACTCTAATTTGCAAATTTTAAAGGAAAACCATGACCTCTCAGCTTGTCTTACTGATTTTAAAAAGACTATACAGGAATCCTGCACTAAATCTGCTACAACAAACACGTCTTTTGCAGACATGGTAAAAAAGGGATCCAACAACTTTATTCGCCCTAGCCCTGTCAGTTCTGTGGTAATCTACCCAAGCAATGCTGCACAAAGTAGTGACGAAACAAAAAATTTGGTCCAAAAAATTATTAGCCCTGAGGAGATGAAACTGAAAGTACGTGGTCTTCGTAAAGTAAGAAATGGAGGAGTGATCGTCAGCACTGAGACCAAAGACGACATCCATAAATTGAAAAATTCAGTGCTGTTAGCAAACTCAGGCCTGACTGTTGATGAGACCAATAAACGCAAGCCGCGTATTATAATCATAGGAGTACCTTCATCTATGACTGAAAGTGACGTCTATAAGTGCATCTACGAGCAAAACGTAGCAGAATCGTCATTAAATATATCTAGAGATACTTTCCTGAACTCTATAAAACTGAGCCACAAATCAGGAAAACGAGATGCAGACACCTGCAACTATATTTTAGAAGTACCTGCTACTATACGCAAAGCCTTAATTATACAGGACAGACTTTTTATTAACTGGAATTTTTGCTCGGTACGTGATTTCACACTTGTAACTAGATGCTACAATTGCCAGCAATATGGCCATGCCGCTAAAACTTGCAAGGCGACAGCTTCTACCTGTGGCCACTGTGGCGAAGATGGCCATTCTCTCAAAGACTGCACAAAAAAAGCCGATCCACCAAAATGTGCCACTTGCGTTAAATTTAAAAAACCGTGCGGCCATAGGACCGGAGATGCCGAATGTCCAGCTAAAAAAGCTGCCGAAACTAGGTACATTAATACTATTGATTATGAAGGCGCCTAGAGCGCCACTTATTTGTTATAATTAGAACTTTACTATGGACATTAATATAATAAATGAAATAGATGATCTATCTATGTCTAATTCATGTTTATGTGAAGTCGAAGAGTGTAGACAATATCTGACCGCTTATAAAAACTCATTAACTGTACTCACCCAAAATATACGTAGTATTTATAAAAATATTGATAATTTTGATATTTTCCTCCATAGGCTTAACTTTGTTTGTGATGTAATTATACTAACCGAGTGCTGGTTAACAAAACGGAACGGCAACCTACCAACAAGGCCAGGTTATAACTTATTTTATAGTCAAAATAATCACAACCAAAATGATGGAATAGTTATTTATGTTAGAGACTCCTTGCAAGTCACCCTCGAGGAACCAGCTCTTCAGGGTTGTAGTTGTTTGTTGGTACATATTAACCAAGATACAGTTATTGTCGCAACATATAGATCCCCATCTGTCACAAACATAGATAATTTCAACGGAAACTTAGACCAGATACTTCAATCATTAACATCTTTTAAAAATGTAATAATTACGGGTGATATTAACATAAACATTATACCCGACATACATGATGCTGGAACCCAAGATTATCTCAATCTATGTTCGTACCATGGTTTTTACCCAGCCCATACATTACCAACACATCAGAGTGGTTCTTGTCTCGACCATATGATGATAAAATCTAGGTCAACATATCTAACACTTGTCACAAAAACGCCGCTTACCGATCATTCCGCTGTCTTACTAACCTTAAATTTATCGCTGCCTAAACTGAATCATAAACTAGTAAAATCTAAGTTAAACATAAAGAAACTCGAACACGATTTATGCAAGCTTGACTTTGCCCCAGTTTTTCAATCGACGGACGCGAATGCATCTTTGTTGTATTTAATTAATAATGTTGAACAAGCTATATTACATAATACGTCTGTAGTTGCTTCAAATAAACAATATCAAAATATCAAACCTTGGATAACCCCGGGTATTATTCGATGTATAAGACACAGGGATAAACTTCATATGAGGACAAAAAAATATCCCGATAACCTCACATTGCTAGTTATCTATAGGAGATACAGGAATTTCGTTAATAATCTTTTGAAAAAATTAAAAGCAAATTATGAAAAAAATGAACTACTGATATCACTAACAAAAGACGGAAAGATATAGTCTGCATCTCTACACATGATTCAAAATACATCTTTTCACATAGATTCTCTACTTTCCTAAGTCCTTTCTTATAAAATAAGTTAAATAGAGTATTAGGTATTTACACATTAAACTATTTTAACTGTAGAACTGTAATATTTAATTATTTGCACAGCCTGACATACGAGCAGACCGAAGAATTACTTCTTATTTGTAAATAAATGAACGTAACTCCATTATTTACATTTACCAACATTTATATAATGATTACTTTAAGTTCTGTTTTAATTAATTTGTTAATTTATTAAATATTCTATGTATTATTTAGATCATAAAAGCCTGAAATACAGGTACAATTTTAACTGTAACCTAGTTCAGGCATCCATTATTTTGTATTTTATATTGTTATTAGTATTATTATGCAATGTATGACCTTATTTGAATAAAGATATATTTATTATTATTATTATTATTTTATATCTTTCTTCCAAGCTAGGCCGTTACAAACTTACAAAATAAAAAAGACAGATTTTATGATATTAATGGAAGAATTTTCTGTTCTTTTTATAACCATTGAGAAAGCTTCAATCTTCTTTTATTTTTAATCCAGTCTAACCGTGGACATCATGTTAATTAACTGGCGCCATTGTTAGTTACCCGCCAATTCCAATATGGCCGTGCTCGAACATGCCAAAAGGACGGACGAAGCGTTCGTTGTCGGATTTTAGCATCCCAGCCTTCGTATCGCACCGCCGTTCAGCTTGTACGTGCAGCGCCTTATGAAGTCGTACCACCCCGCAACCCCCCACCCCGCAGTAATGAAGGCACGTTACCTTAGTGATGGCCCCGGAGAAGGCCACGTTGTCCACCTCCAGCGTGAGGTTCTATGCCTGCAATAATGAAGGCGCGTCACCTTAGTGATGGCCCCGGAACAGGCCACGTTCTCCTTCTGTGCCTGCAGCAGCGTGTACGTGAGGAATCCCATGAAGTCATCCCCCTCCCCCCACGCAGTTATACGTCACCTCTGTGGTAAAGTTCTGGTAAAGTTTTCCGCGTGAGGTTCTGTGCCTGCAGCAGCGTGTACATGCAGCGCCTCATGAAGTCGTACCACCCCGCAACCCCCCACCCCGCAGTAATGAAGGCACGTTACCTCAGTGATGGCCCCGGAGCAGGCCACGTTCTCCACCTCCAGCGTGAGGTTCTGTGCCTGCAGCAGTGTGTACGTGCAGCGCCCCATGAAGTCGTACCGCCGCCCGTCGAACGTGGAGTAGTGCGGGTCGCCGACGGCACCACAACGGGCTCCGCAAGCCGCACCAGTGCAAACCCACGCCCCCGCCTCGCATGTACTACGACAAAGAAATAAATATTATGCCCCCACTTTCAATATAATATTAATTATCGTTTATCCCTCTATCACCTTTTCTTCAGAGGACCACGCGCGCTGGCCTACGTTGCCACCGACTTACTGTGGCCACTATTCCTACACTAACAAAGAAATTTAGTGACTCATTTCTTTGTCGTACTATTTGTAAGTGGAATTCTTTACCTGCAAAATAATTCATTTCCAAACCAGAAAACAGTTACACTTGGTCGTTAGCCTGAATACGAGTGCCAATGGTATTCGGGTAAACGACTAAGTGTAAATGAACGGAGTCGAGTACGCCCGTATTCGGTTAGATTTCCTTTTGTTTACCCGACACCGTCTTCCAGCCCGAATAAGGGCTAAATAAAAAATTTCGGAAGGAGAAGTCTGCACACACGTTCATTGTTTAGAGTTTTCAATCAATCGTGTTTCGGTCGCGCGTTGCTCACATACAATAAAGTATTCGTATCGTTTTTATTGACATGTACTTTAAGTACACGTCAATGAACAGAATAATGATTGTAGAGATATACCTATAAACAGTGCGAAAAGGATAGTTATGAATATGAGTGACAGTTCGAGATGGCGCCACTGTCTACGTAAATGAAACACAAAATATGACGTTTACAAAGATGACCACGTTAGTTCCAATTTGCGCCACGTTCATGAAGATCTTGTTCCTATAGAATAAGCACCACAATTAACATTATGTTTTTATCGCATCGAACTGTCAAAACCCATAGTTATTTGACAACTATTGAATGTGATAAGAAAGCGTTTGATATCATATCGCGGTGATCATGCTAGGGTTGATGGTCGCACTATGTTTTACCAAGTGTTGCAGTCCTTGGGAATGACAGCTCCAGGTTTGAAGTTCTTATTCCTCAGCCGACAAGGGCACTCCTCCTTCGGTATGCAGCGTCCCCCTTCTAGCAGCAAACCTTCGGGGCAGAAGCAGCCCTCCACACAAGTAGCGTTGTTCACTGTGGCCGGTTGAGGGAACGCACAGGTGGGCTGGCTATCCGGCCCGCAGATCTTGTATAGCTTCCCATCGGGGCAAGTTTTGGCTGAAAATTACTCATTATTAGCTTACTAGCGGGTTTATTATTTTAAATTTCCATGGTCACTAACACTATAACTAACATACAACTGAAATAAATACATTGTTTGAGATTTGTCTGGGAATTATAAAAATAAAAAAAAAACTAGATTTTACAAAACAACGAGTACACATAAATTAAAAAGTATCATCATTAATAAATTGTGTACCTATTTAGTTGTACTTACGACAGGTTTCGGGGTCCCTCCAGTACTTCATCTCCTCGATGCCGAGTCTCATACACTCCTTGGCATACACAGACACTGTACTACAAGCGCATTCTTCAGAATCTAAAAACACGAGTACAACTCAATATTATAGCGAAACAATGCTTACTTTTTGAAAAACTGACTAAGTCATTTGACGTCAATTTGCTTTTTCATAATTTTGGTACTTAGGTTAAAACAAAAAGAGAAGATACGGTAAGCTCATACTAGCATCAAATAAAATATGATCCGATTTAACTACATAAACAACTCCCACACACGTTGAAGTATGTAAATAAACATTCAATCGAGCGAGCGAGACAGTACTGTACGCTTCAACGCAGCGCGAGCGAAACGGCGAGTCGGCTTCCGAGTCCGCACGGCTGATCTGTATTGTTGTCCTTTTCTTGAAAACAAAATGGCTATTACGTAAATAACATTCAAGACAAACCGTGATTTTTAAGAAATAAATGATTTTACAGTTTTACGAATGAAAAGTGTTGCCGAGGCATTTGTTATTTGATGATTTTGAAATATTAGTATTCTTTATAAAAGCATCGAAGGCATTGTTTTATCTTTATAACACAGAATATACGCAATATTGTTATATTGAGTGCACATGTAGCCTGTTTGAATGTCCAATTGTGACTAAGCGAATTGTGGTCATGCACCACAATTTAAGCGGATCACTTTTGAGCCGCGAGTGCCGTATCTTCCCTTTTTGTTTTAATCTAAGTTTTGGTACTATTATTTTGCAACGATATTTCTAAGTGTTGTAATATTCATAAATAAACTTAATTTTTACTTACCGTCGCTGCTAGCACAAGTGCAGAAGTCGCCCTGACAAGCTTCTAACAACTGAGACACGTCCATTACCTGAGAAAGGATCAAATAATTTACTAAATTATTCTCAAATATTTAGCAATGAGTTTTAGTAAAATGATATTTACCGTCGCACATTTCTTGAATTTATCTTTGCTGAATATTTTTGTGCAAAACTGTAGAGCCTTCTTCTTGATCTCGTCCGATTGCGAGGTGCAACTGTGCAATTCCATGGGATTGCTCTTGCAAACATCTGTAAGGTAAAACCACAATCAGAGGTCTTTTTTATTTTTTTTCTTTCGTAAAAGCTTGTCTTATCAGATCGGTGAGAATCGGACTGGAAAAATATTGAGTATTTGAGCTTTGTGAACCCAAGAAGGTATCGGCATGAAATTCTTTATTCAAGATATAGAAAAAAAAATCTAAAAATTTGCCGCATGCCTTGTCAGTAGCAAAAAAAAAATGCATTCTTAACTCTATGTTAAGTTCCTGTTCTAACTTAACATTACGTTATAGGACAAACTTTATTTTTAGTAAATACTTGAATTACATCATCTTTCGAAAACACAACTTTGATTCTGTTGATCAGCCAAGACGACGCCATTGCTGCAGAAGTCTTGGCTTGCATGCCCGCTTTGGTATTAAAGATTTCATATATCAATAATAATATGCCAAATAACAAGTCTACACACGAGCCTGACCTTCGATCCTGTTAAGTTGCCACGAGGACGCCATTGCAGCAGAAGTCTTGGCCTTCGTGCCTTCCTTTGTAGTAAGGTCATCTTGCATGTTGCTGTTCAGAGATCCGCATAAACCCTCCGTGTTGTTCCATAGCAGAACACTGCTCTCAATTACCACCACGTCCTACAATAGAATTAACCGACTTTAAATTTAGAAGAATAGTAATTTATTGTAAACAGACGTTGGTTAATCTGAAAAATGAACAAAATAAACAATTTATTCTTATTTTAGTCTCACTTGGGAGGACTTGCGGGGAAGCGGGGATCAGGACTAAATGCTTCGAGCTGCGGAACACTACGCTACCTTCTGCGACGAATGGCAATAAGTCACTATATACTCACGTTGGTGTCCCACTTGCGTGTGGAGTGCGCCTGGTCCAGGTTGACTAGCATGTAGTCGACGGGAATGGCCACGTGTATGCCAGGCAGGGACGCGGAGATCGGAACTAATCGCTTCGTGCTGCGGAACACTACGCTGTCGTCTGCTGCGAGTGGCAACAAGTGACTATCTACTCACGTTGGTGTCCCACTTGAGCGTGAGTTGAGCCAGATCTAAATTGACTAGCGCGTAATCGGCGGGCATGGTCAAGCGTATGCCGGGCAGAGACGCGGGGATCGGAACCAATCGCTTCGTGCTGCGGAACACTAAGCTGCCGTCTGCTGCGAGTGGGAAAAATGTCACTATCTACTCACGTTAGTGTCCCACTTGAGTGTGAGGTGCGCTTGGTCCAGGTTGACTAGCACGTAGTCGGCGGGCATGGCCACGCGTATGCCGGGCAGAGACGCGGGTATCGGGACCAAACGCTTCGAGCTGCGGAACACTACACTGCCGTCTTCTACGAAAGGAAACAATGGTATTTTACATGTTTACGTTAAATAGATAGGTAGGTTTAATTGATACAAAGGTTATTGGGTTAGATTCTGTATGGGGGTAATGTGAGGTATACGTCTTCGTTTTACACTTTTGAAATATAAGTAATTTATTGAAGGTATTATTACTTTTATATATATTCTGTATTCCTTCTCCTATCCGTATGGATAAATGTATGTAATGTATATTACATGCGGTAGTGCAGTACACTGAGATTATAGGTAAACTAATATTGTAGACAAGGCAAAACAAGAATGATAATGTTTGCAGAGTACCCAAGTGAATGCCTACTTTTTTTCTATTTATTTGGGTAAACAAACAGTTACATAAGAATTCAGTATTGGTAGATAGATAAATAACTTTGAAACCAGCATCGTTTACCACCTGTATACATATTAAACAGCGTTGAGTGTGGTGATATTATAAGTATGCAAGTATCAACATTATTTATGACTAGTGGCCCGCCCTCGCTTCGATTCGGTGTAGAGCTGTAGTGTAAACTATAGTTTTTGTTCTCAGGCTTGTACTATAAACAATGACTTTATTTATATAATTACACGTGTTATTGTGAGTCAACCATAAAAGATAGACATATGCTGTTGCGGGATATTTTTTAGACAATTTTATGTAGAATATTTCCGTCATACATGATTTCTATGTAACTTTAACCATTAAGGCTGTACACGCGACGGAAGCTTAAAAAATGGAGTAACTTCTCCCGTTTTCCCAACATTTCCCTTCACTACTCTGCTGATATTGATTGTAGCGTGATGAAAAGTATACTATAACCTGCCCAGGAGTATGAAGAATAATTGTACCAAGTTTCGTTAAAATCCGTCGAGCAGTTTTTGTTTCTATAAGGAACATACACACAGACAGACAGACAGACAGACAAAAATTTTACTGATTGCATTTTTGGCATCAGTATCGATCACTAAACACCCCCTGATAGTTATTTTGAAAATATATTTCATGTACAGAATTGACCTCTCTACAGATTTATTATAAGTATAGATGATTAAATACAAAACCTTAATAAGTTTGATGAAAATCAGAAATCTCATGGTGTTTACAAGTATCTTGATAAATAAAAACCTCAATGTAAGTCATCATCAGTTAAACATATTACTTTTATGCTCAAGTTTGGCAATTAACATATTTTTAAAAGTACTTGGACGAATTGCCGTCTATTGTATGAAAGATCTCGTTGTAAGATTTTTCCAACATTGACAATTCTTTGGTTATACAGCTGTGTGAACTGAGTATCTTTTTTTTTAAATATGTCACGTCTGATGTGACTTTTAGTGTCGCCGCACACTGGTCACACGCCACAGCCACAAACGCCGCCACGAGAAGCTAGAAGCAGCTACTAAAGTGGCTGAAGCGCGCGACAGCGGCCGACTAAAGTAAGGGAGAGAGGGGTGGGGACTCGCGTGAGTGACGTGTGGAGGCGTTTTATATCGGCGCTTAAGTGGCCGATGCGGGCCACAAGAAGCAAGCACGACGATTTGTAGCGTGTGGCGGCCACCGGCGTACCGTGTGTGGCGAGTCCATATAAAATGTATGAAAACTGCAAGAAATATGCCGGAATAAGAATAAAATATCTTCAACCTCAACTGTATCGAGTTTAAAATAAAAGGTTAGTACTCACCCGGGTGCACAGACAGCACGTAAGGTTTCTCCTCAATGTAGATAGTGATCTCGGAGGGGCAGTACGAACGGCGCGAGCAGTTGCCCGGCTTCACGGCCACTGTGAACTTGTGCTCTTTCGCGTCGCGGACTAGGATATGCCGACACTGAGATTTGAAGCTGTCAAACAATTATAGATATATTTATGTATATATGTGAATAATAATTACAAAATTAAACTAGTACTGTAAATAAGATTAAATTCAATATTCTCTGATTAGGTTTTATTAGTTTTTAGTTTTAACTTTCACTTAAATTTTTTAGTTAGAGTTTAACCTATATGTGCTATATTTATCCTTTAGTATATATCCTTAGTAGTTAGGTAGTTTTAGAAATGCATGTTGTGCTTGCATCTAGTAGGTTGCAAAGTAGTTGATGTTTTTTTGTATGCATATATTTATATGGATATTCTTTGTAACCAGTTTTGTAAGCCAAATAAAAAAAAAAAAAGATCAATTGAGTGAGTTATAAAATTAATGAAATCAGATGACATTAATTTATGCATGCTTTGAGAAAAAAAAAGTTGTTTAATAAAAATTAGGTTCTTCATATAAATAATTGTTTATTTGTTAAATTCTCTAAAAACAGGGTTCATGTTAGTTACTTTATGCATTTTGTAACCATCCATGTAACCACATGAGTGCAATAAATTAAATTAAATATGTATATGTGTATGTATTAAACGTAAAAGATTTCATAAATGATAAGTCACCTTGGGCTTAACATAATAGACTGTCGTTTTACTATGCTAATTTGGTTGAAAATTGTTTAATCGCCACTTCTAAATTTAAAAATAGTACCTAGCTATACTTAACTTTTGTTAATTAATAATATTAATGTGATGGAAGTTGACATCAACACATGTATTCAATTTTTGATGTCATCTTTCAATTGACGACACTGTATGAAACAAAACAGGGAGAAAAAAATAGCCCTTGCTGAGTTTCTTGCCGGTTCTTCTCAGTACAAGGTCTCCCGCCGTAGATTTACGAACCGATGGCGTAGCGTTTGACTTTCACAAGAGCTTGTAACAGCCTAGACTGAATAAATGAGTTTGAATTTGAATTTAATTTTGTTTTTTCATTGTCTGATGTTTGCTCTTTCCTATGTTTGTCTGCCGTTTTATTGACTCTGTGCGTTCTTTCCGGTTGACTGGTAGAGAATGCCATGCTGGCATTTAATCCGCCATATGCAAAGGCATTAAAGATTAAATAAATAAATAAATCATAGTTTTAAAACTTTAAGTAATCTGTTAGGCCCTTGCATCCTGCCGTCCCGGGCTATGTCTCAATGCTCTGGGGTAAATACGCCCCTGCTTATGGAAAGTGCGAAGCGGAGTCCTTTATTTAACACACTATTGCTTACTCCTACTTAGTGCTTCTTCGCTATGCCGCGATATGCCGACACTGAGACTACATCATCAGCCTATTAATGTCCTCACTGCTGGGGCACAGGCCTTCCCTATGGATGGAATAGGGAGATTGGGCCATGACCCACCACGCGAGCCCAGTACGGATTGGCAGGTGCTAACGACTACTTAGCTTATTATCACTGAACATCTTTCTTACACATGTTGTTACAAATAAAATTTCTTTCTTTCTTTGTTCATGGAAAGAAATTAGTGGAGTGCTTTCTTTATCACACTATCGCTTCCTAAAGATAGACCACTGTAAACTTGTACTCCTTCGCGTCGCGCACTAAAATGTACTGACACTGAGACTTGAAGCTAACAATCATAATTTTAACATCAATCAAATCATTTATATAAGATCTTTTTAAAACTTCAACACTTGTTCATAAGAGTTAAGTGACGCTTTCTTTAACTCAGAATCGCTTACTAAAGAGATGAGATAAGAGGAGACATGCTAAATGAATGCATGCGGGTATCATAAGAAGGCTCTAGGTCACACAGCGAGCAATGGAGAGAGCTATCCTCGGTATTTCCCTACGCGATAGAATCAGTAATGAGGAATTCTTGAATGGCAATCACGCACCGGACGACGCTCAGTGGGCAGGCCCCCTACAAGGTGGACCGACGATTTTGTGAAGGTCGCGGGAAGCCGATGAATGCGAGTGGCGCAGGACCGATCGGTATGGAGATCCTTGGGAGAAGCTTATGCTCAGCAATAGGCGTCGTACGGCTGACATGATGATGATGATGATGATGCTCAATAAAAGCTAAGCTTTCATCAGTACTAGCTCGATTCCGTCAATAGAAAGAGTCCTAAATATTGCGTTTGTGAAATCTTTATACGAGTCTTACTTAGGAACGTTATACCAATTCAATACTTATTCAGTGACGTGTTATCTCATTCCATTGTTATCGCAAAGAACTTAAACTTAAAAGTCAATTGACTTCTCTAGGTGCGGCCATTTTTTTTGCACACACCAATTAGCCTAGCCCTAAAGTAAGCACTAAGGCTTGTGTTATGGGATGCTAGGGTAACGGGTAAAATACATATACTGTACATGTATAAGTATATTTTTTTATAGAAATACATATTAAACATCCATGACTGGAGTACAAATGCTCGTATTCATCACACAAACATCTGCCCCCACCGAGATTTGAACCCTCTCTCCTCTCGAGTCGGGACCTTTGGGACCTCTCGAGTCGGCGACACCATGAAACCCGGCGTACAAACCACTCGGCCACGGAGATCATCAAATTGTCTTGGGATAGCAAAACTTATATCTATGGTCTCGCCTTTTTTGTAATTAGAAGCAAGAAGACAAGACAGTTGTATTACAAAATTGTCATTACCCGTATATTTTTCCGTCGAAGGTCTTATAGTGGACTCCAGCCCAGGTAAGACAGACGCCGCCCTTGGGCGTAAGATCCCTCACCACCATATGGGTGCCGCCGCCATGCGCGTGTGCTCCGTACCCGGCTTGCGCGTGCGTGTCACCGGTAGACGTCCAACTACTCCCGCTCTGAGACCCGCCGGCGTGGATGTCGCTGGAGGAGTGCCACGAATGGCTCTCGTAGTAGCTCTGTTGCGATGATAGAGAAAAAATCTTCTTTGAAAACCAATGGCCTCACCATAGATATTCAATTCAATTCAATTCAATTCAATTTATTTGCATTAAATAGGGTACAAATAATGGTGTTACATTTCATCTAAGTTGTCTCTTAACCTATTTAGTCATATAAAGATAACATGCAAATTTTTCTATTAAATTACCTATATTAATTACCTATATAAATGTCAATAATTCTTATTATAATATTTTAATTATTCGATGTCGTCAATTTATCATGTCCATAATTATGTGAATGTCATAATTAGAATGGTCTTGTAAAGAATCAGAATAAAATGTTATATTTAAACCCATTAAGCATGTCTTTAACCCATGCATCAAATCCTATCATAATTCATGAACTCAACCATACTGTAAAACCGACCGTGTTGATAGACCAATAATGGACCGAACAATACTCTCATAAAATTGACAACCAATGCCGTCTTTGACCTATTACAGGCCCTGGGCATATTAGGATAATGGGGCCCCTATGACCCCCGTTTGGTGATTTAACAGGAACTAGGGACTTTGTATTTGATCTGAGGGGGGCCCCTATCGATCGCGGGGCCCTGGACACTTGCCCAAAGTGGCCACTGTCAAAGAGGGATGGATCTGTTGACAACTCTCTAGAAAGAGACACCTAAACGAACTATGGGCCGCATGATCGTTTTGTCACTCTCACTCTAACCCGCCCAGTTTTTCTTTACTGTTAGACAAAGAACGCTCAGTTCAATCTTTATCTCATGGGCCACACTGACTGTTGACTTTTTGCTGATGACACATTGGTGTTGTTTAGTGTGGTTAAAGGTATGGGTGAAAAAAGGCAGGATAGACTTGTAGTAGTCGTTCGTGTGACCCACCAGCCAACGAAGACGTGAAGAAGTTACGTAATAGCACCCAAGAATAAGTATTTTAGTTGTAGTCTATTGAATAAACGTGTGTTTGGACCCACCGCAACGAGACATAAGCTCTTGCACCACCTTATGCATCCTACCACGAGCGTACGCTATGTACCCACCTTTTTGCGGTAGTAAAGAAATGTCCCGATCTTTAATTTTTATTTTAACATCAATAATGACACCGCTACGAATAATTGACAAGTAACAAAAACGAAATATTTTTCAGACATATCTTCAGACGATAATTCACACTGTGGGTTACATCCCTATTTGTGAAAGTGCCATAATTTTTTTCTTATTACTGCCTAGTTTTAAGGATCCATGTCGAATTACGGCTTAGTACTAAGTCTCTGAGCTAAGCTGCGCACTAGCAAACAGAAAGAAACAGCATAAGCCTAAAAATTACATTATCAACTCAATATTATTTTTTACCGACCTAAAGAAGTAGGTGCTTATTAGTCAGTATATTCTACTTTATTAATATAAACATGTTCATTAGGTAGTACTTACAGTGCTGTTATTATGGTAAACGGTGGGAGCTACCATGTAGGCGTCACCTGCAAATCAACCAATACTGTTACTTTTACCCTGTTCCACAATATAAAAATAAGTTGTTCGAAATGGTCATGGTCACGAACATTATATTCATATTTATGTAAGTAGCGGGATTAATAATAAATCACAAAAATAGATCACATTACATTCAAATAAAAAAAAATCTATAGTAGAGTCTGTGCGGAAAGAGAATGGGCGTGGCGAAAAACGGAACTAACATTATGATTTTTATTTGGCAATCAAACCCAGCAATCTGTAAAACGTCAAAGTTATTGTGATTTCTTGCGATTTTTTGTATTTAATCATGTCTAAAAGGGGTGAAACATTACAAATACGGTAGAAAGCACTACAGCGCCCTCCAATCTTAATCCCATTCTCTTTCCGCACAGACTCTAATACATTTATGTGCAATAATTAAGTTTCCCTGAACTATTTTACATTACAATTGTACCTGTATTTCAGGTTTTTCGAGGTCAAACGTAATTTTAGATTTATGCTTGAAGTTGTAGCCATACTATATACTACATGGATGGATTTACTTCAAATTTGGCACGAATATTATTAAGAAGACGGGTCAACATATAGGCTACATATTATCACGCTATCACCTACGGGAAACGAGCATTGGACCTTTATTTCTAACTAACTCCACGCATACGAAGTCGCTAGTAAGTAATAAATTAACAATTTTAATAACAATAGAAACAGTAGCATTTTAAAGGTAAAAAGGTCGTGGGTAAATATATATATATATAGTATAAATAATCTAAACTATAAAAGAACCTAGCATTTATTCACAAAGAGATTTCTGTCATACTTATAGTTACTCCGTGGTCACTCATGGCACTTGCAACAGGGTCGAAACCTGTCAAAACGGAATACCGGAGACTTGCAAAATGCAAGGTACATTACGATCTACGGATCAGGATAGACCACTATGTACCCGTAGTCCTACCGTACTAGGGCGATAAATAAGGTATCGATAAATGTCTGAATTATATTATTTAAAAGTCAATTGCTTTATTGAAATGAAATCGTCATAATAATTTTTGTTTAAGAGTAAATAATAGGCCTATATCTTACTGGATTATAGAAGTTGACGGTTATAGAATGTGCTCACATCAGATACCATAATCGAGCTGGTACATTTTAATACGATACCCATCGTATTATAACACACACACTGTTTTCTGGTAACGAAAATTTATTTGTTGTGATCCATTCTGCTCAAGCTTTAGAAAAAACCTAGAAAAGTCACCACTGCTGACAATATTTCAAATATAATTTCTTTGTTAAGAATAAATATAACTATTAATTACCACAACAAACAACATTTATCCACTCGACTTCGAAAGTAATTTGTCGGTATTAGTTATTATTTATCGTGAGCAAAGCGTGGTAGGAGCACGGATACCTATATAACGGTATACCGTGGTCCTAGGAAGCAGAACAAATCTGTAGAACCACGGGTCCTTGATCGTGCACATAGCACCTACTGCAATCCCACTAAATACATAAATTCCTATAATTTTGTACAGACTTAGTGTCGCCGCACACGGGCCACACGCCACAGCCACAAACGCCGCCACGAGAAGCTAGAAGCGGCTACTAAAGTGGCTGAAGCACGCGACAGCGGCCGACTAAGGTAAGGGAGAGGGGGGTGGGGAATCGCGCGAGTGACGTGTGGCGGCGTTTTGTATCGGCGCATTAAGTGGCCGGTGCTGCCCACAAGAAGCGAACAACAGGGATTTGTAGCGTGTGGCGGCCACCGGCGTACCGTGTGTGGCGAGTCCATATAAAATGTATGTAAACTACAAGAAATATAAGACACTATAAGCGACACTATAAGGAGACACTATAAGTTAAAATAAAAACTATTTTTTGGATAAAATAAAGGAAACCCAACTCACTGAAAACGCAGTGCGGTATAGGTTGCGGCTCGAATATTCCCGTGTCATAGCGACAGGAGTATAAGTTGGCGCGCGGAGCACTGTACGTGGAGCCCGAGGGACAGTTGAGCTTGCACGAAAACTTGTCAGCGTCGCCGAAGCAGCTGTAGCCGCCGTTGAAACCGAGCTTGCGGACGTCGCACACGCTCGTCGCTGGCAGAAAAACATTAGAATTTATCAAATAGGTACCCAATGAGATACAAAATACATGTTATTTTTCTCAGAACATCGTCACACAATAGAAAGCAGCCAAAAGGACATATTCACAACACTGTGTCCCTTACAGTTGCGAAAAATTTTTGTGTGAAACTGTGTCAGAACGTTAATGTGTGCTGAGCCGGCCCTTACTGCTGATCAAAACGACTTATGGTATTGTTTACGGTCTTGATACTAGAATCCGATCAGTAAATGTCAACTTACGATACTGGAAGTGTAACTCCCTTGTACTCCTCGGGGCACATGCAGGTGTTGAGCGCCAGACAAACGCCTGCGTTCTGGCAGCGGGGCTCGCACTTGGGCTGACAGTACGGTATTATGTGCAGGTCGGAAGTAATCAATTAATCCAATCAGTAAAATATATTAACTTACGGTACTGGCAGAGCGGCCCCCTGTAGTTCTCGGGGCATATGCAGGTGTTGAGCGTCAGACAATCGCCTCCTTTCTGGCAGTGGTACTCGCACTCAGGCAGGTAGTCCAATACGATGTCCAGGTCGGCAGTAATCAAGAGACTATCAGAAAATGTCAAATTACGGTACTGGAAGTATGGTCCCCCTGTACTCCTCGGGGAATATGCAGGTGTTGAGTGCCAGACAAACGCCTCCTTTCTGGCAGTGGGGATCACACTTGGGCTGACAGTACAGTATTATGTGCAGGTCGGAAGTAATCAAGTAATCCGATCAGTAAATGTCAACTTACGGTATTGGCAGTGCGGACCCCCGTACTCCTCGGGGCACATGCACGCCAGACAAACGTCTCCGTTCTGGCAGTGGTAATCAGGCTGGCAGTCCGGAATGATGTCAAGGTCAGCACTAATCATGAGAACCGATCAATAAAATGAACTTACGGTACTGGCAATGGGGCCCCCTGTACTCGTCTGGGCACATGCAAGTGTTGAGCGCCAGACAAACGCCCCCGTTCTGGCAGCGGGGCTCGCACTCGGGCTGGCAATCTGGTATGATGTCTAGATCGGCGCGCGTGGGCTTCCACTGGCCCTCACTGCACTTCAAGTTGGCCACCGTGGTGCCGTCGATGAATTTGTGCCCGGCCAAGCATTGGATCGTGCAGAATCTATGAGATAAATATTATCATACGTAAACGCTTTTAGCCATATATATTTTGATTCACCGCAACGACGACATATTTGGCAAATTATTATATTATTTAATCAAACTCATAATAATATTTTTGTTAATCTTAAATACATGAAACTTGTACTAAAGTTTGGGCCGCAGCCGACCGTGCTCAGTTTCTCAAGCGTCGTAAATACTCTTCTATAACTGAAGATTATGAGTTTGCGGCGTTAACTTTGAGACGTTAGGGTCGTGGTCGGCTGACATGAAGCGGTTTAGGAAGGATATGTCGAATCGACTGATTCTCTCTTCGGGTGATCAGAGGGCTATTTCGCGCAAAGAATCAGTTTAGCTATTCAGCGAGGTAATGCTGCCAGTGTTGAATTTTGGATGACATATTCTTCTTGTGAATATGTATATAAATATTTTAGGGTTTATTTTTTAACAAGTGGCCCGCCCACGCTTCGCTTCGGGGTAGAATTGATCAAAATCCTTTCTTAGCGAATGCCTACGTCGTAACATCTACCTGCATGCCAAATTTCAGCCCGATCCGTCCAGTGGTTTGGGCTGTGCGTTGATAGATCACTATGTCAGTCAGTTGAGTTTTAAAACTTTCTCACTCAACCTTTGAGTTTTTTATATATAGATGATAAGTTTTCAGTTTGATATTGTTGTGACGTAATTATAGTTTATAATTATTATTATTTTTTTGTTAAATGTATGGAATATTAGTGACTAAATATACAATAGCAAGTGGACGTTACTAACTCTGAGGAGCAGCTCTGCTTAGAGTTCTTAGGTAGCGGCGGGTTTAAGAAGCAGGGTTTCTTCTCAAACTCGCAGTATTGGCCGCGGTAGTTAGAAGGACACTGGCAGGTGTTGGTGGCCACGCAGATGCCGCTATTTTTGCATTCCGGAACACATTTTGCTGCAATTCAAAGGTATGGTAAATAACCTTCGATGTAAATAACAGAAGAATCTAGACATTGACATTTTCACTTTGAAAACCGATCCGGTCGCGTAGCGTTCTGATATTTAAGCTATTATAAGGAGGAAGCTACTTTACAAACTGAGAAAATTTTGCCGTAACTTCTTTTAAAGAAGACCTGACTCCACCCCATTTTAAGTCCAATTTCGTCCTTTTTTATTTGGATGACAGGAAAAAAATGCATTACCTATATCCATTACAACAATAGTCAATGCAATTAATTTGCGAATAAAATGCTTGCATTGCGTGACCAAAGGGTTACTGCATAATGAATTCAATAGCCTGGTCAAAACTGAGGGTCACCAGCCGAACATTGACATAGTAACTTTCATGCTTCCTTCTGGCCAAGACAAAGACGGCCTGAACCACCGGTCTTTTAGCCTGATCCTGAGATTCACCTGGAAGCTCGGGTACCCTAACTTTGTGGGTTTGAACGTTTATCCTCTTCCTCGTGAAACTCTAAAGCAAGAAATCGGTGTAACATTCTACCTCTCGTTATTTTTAATCGAAGCAAAGTTTTGTTCACACGACCGACCAAATATCTTATCTTTCCCATACAGCCGTGACCTAAATCCGGCGAATAGTTATTGCATGCTATCGATAACACTGCACTATCTGGGACAGCCAGGATGCGTGGGAGTTGCAAGGTCAACAGGACATGAAGATGATGGATCCTCCATATATTTAAAAGGTAAAAACTAAAAATCATAAAAAAAATTGAACATGTAATAGTGGATGATATGTTTTCCATTCGTACGCTAAAAGAAAATTAAATTCTTGCTGCTATACTGCTTTAAGAATCAGTCAAGTTGCAGCAATCCCACAACCAGATATGATAATTTTTACTATACATATTTTTAGTAATATAAACTATATTACTTATATACTTATGTTTTTGTTTTACTTAAGTAGATATTTAAACACGGTTCATTAATTTTACCACATTGTCTTGTCAGAGCTACAAAGCTGTAAATTACAGCTTACTAAGGACCCGTTATTTGATACATACTTAGACTATGATTTAATCTAAAAGTACAATTCCGAACTGAACCGCAGACCGTAGGATGCAGCTGCAGACTGCAGGCGACACTACTTGTTTCTATGAATCTCTATGAAATTGATTCCGATCGCGGCGACATGTCGCGGCTGTACAATGCATATAATGCACGGTCAGCCGCAGTTGCTATCCGCAGTGTCGCCTGCGGTTGTCGCCTGCAGCCCATTGCGGAATTGTACCTTAAGGATACATAGTTAAAAAAATATGTAAGTTTGTAAATGTGAGTATTAGTGAGTGTCACGTCAAAGACGTAATAAACTGAAGCAAATTTTAACAAATTGTTACTTTTTCGATGGTATTTTAAATATAGTCACCAAATAGTCACATTTAACTATGTTAAACAACAGGCCCTGAGTCTCTCTGCGAAGGTGCAGTGAAAGACAACAACCTGCTTCTAACTACGGTTCCCTAAAAATTGGGAATGTCACTTAAGACAAAAAACATATTTTACGAAAATAATCAACGTCAAATGGAAAAATTGCCTCATAATTAACTACAATAACGTAAACAAGCAAATGATAAGAGAAAATTATGTTAATACACAAAGGATTGAGCATCGTACCTACCCAGGAATAGTTCATCCGGTTAGCTGGGATTTATTTACACAGCTTCCGTTCAACAGATAAACTTCCCACGCTCGCCGCAGATAACATTTGCAGTAAGTCTAATCAAATCGAAACACGCGCTATGCGGCTCGTATTTATAAATAGTTTAAATTTGAAAGCGATTATAAATGCTGGAAAAATCGGTTGTATGTCTCTGCGCAAGGATAATACATCTCGTTCTTAATAAGTAATGAGTTTTGATGCCCGTTGCATTATTTAGTATATCTTTGCATGGGAGAAAGTATACAGTATAAATCACATACACACACACCTTTCATGTAGGGCATAGTGATCAGCGCGTTCGGCTGCGATCGTTGAAGTAAAGCAACTATCGCAGTGGTCGGTCATTGGATAGGTAACTAAAAATTTACTATCACGAGCTCCTCCGTACTTCGGAAGGCACGTTTAGCTGTTGGTCCCGGCTGCATCTGCAGTCGTTAGCACCCCCAAATCCGCACTAGGCCCGCGTGGTGGGTCACGGCTCAATCTCCCTATCTCATCCATAGGGAAGGCCTCTGCCCCAGCAGTGGGGACATTAATAGGCTTTTGATAATGATGATGATAGTGGATCGGGCGTGTTAAGGCGTCCGTCTGGGGTAGTAACCTCCTACACCTTACAGAAAACCGCAGGTAGATAACAAACTTTTAATGGTGTTGCGCTTGTGTTTCTGTTGCAAATATCATAGAAAATAGCTTGACAAACTGCTTCTTCTGTTTCTTAGCAACATTTGAGGTTGTGTCGCCGCACACGGGCCACACGCCACAGTCACAAATGCGGCCACGAGAAGCTAGAAGCGGCTACTAAAGTGGCTGAAGCGCGCGACAGCGGCCGACTAAGGTAAGGGAGAGAGGGGTGGGGAATCGCGCGAGTGACGACGATTTGTAGCGTGTGGCGGCCACCGGCGTACCGTGTGTGGCGAGTCCATATAAAACGTATGAAAACTACAAGAAATATGCCGGTGGCGGCGTTTTGTGGTTGTGGTCGCATGTGTGTGGCGACACTATGACTACGCTACACTAAGAAGCAAATATGCGATAAATAAAATATTTTTTGTTTGATACGTCGGCTACACCGCGCTTGGTGATACGAGTCTAGTTTTTGACTTACACCAGTATTACAGAATGACAACTAAGTGTTGATCTTTACTTGAGTACAGTTAAAAAGGGATGTCGCTATGTGCTATATATAGCAACATCCCTTTCTAACTATGCTGAAGACTAGATCAATGACGAAGAATCTTTCTATAATACGGGTCTTAATTGACGATTCATAATGAATAGACACACCCACAGACCTCCTAATGTAGGTACTTTAAATTGTACAGAACCGAACGTGTCAGATTTTGAGTAGGTACTCATGAGAACAAATAAGTAGAAAAATAATAGGCCTTGGTCACCTACTTCAATTATATCGTTATTTACAGCCTAATCTATACATATAATAAAATGGTAGGAAAGTCAAAACTGCACATTGAATATTCTTTTAGAAGAATACTTGGGGTGATATCTACAATCGATACCGAAGCAAAAAATATATTTTTTAGAATTTTTGCCTGTTTGTCTGTATGTATGTCCGGGATACACTCAAAAAGTACTGCATGAATTTACTTAAAAGGACATTGTTCAGCGTCCATACATAGTTAGCCTAAGAACCAACAATCATGAAATATTATTTTCTAGGTTCAAAATCGTAAGTAAATGACTGTAAAAACAAAGATTATTGACGGACACTTCTGAGAACTTAAATTATTAGGAAATCTATTTTTTTTTTTTGAGGTTATATTTAATATTCAATGAAACATAGGTCAACCTATGAATTTAGTATGAACTCAGTATGAAGTGAATTAATATTACAACTAATTCATTTTATTCGGTGCGATTTTACAGAATAACTATTAGGAAAATCTTGGTTAGGTAGGAATCATCATCAATAGCCAAGTGAAGTGCCGGCATTAGGAAGAAAGAGTGTTTTGTTTGCAGCGCTGCCATAGATTATACACAAACAATGGTATTTATTGTCTCAGATTATTTTTTAACTTTTTAATTTAGCTTACTTAACTGGAAGTGTCCGTCACAATCTAAATACTGATAATTATCGCAAAAAATATACTAAGAATAGGCTAGTTTACTCATGTCGAATTGTATTAAATAAATGTTTATTTCTTAAAGTGTTTAGTCTAAGGAACCTTAATATATCGATTTCACTTCATAAAAGCAGAAGATTGCTGTAGAAAATTAATTTTAAAAAATATTTTTTAGTCTATATTTTTTAAACACTAAAAACGCTGTTCGCCACATTCGCCATGATTTTGACGTCTCTTGTGGTAAACAACTAAATGTCATTCGCGTGTTACTGTAGGTGGATTCTTTCGTCTGACTAAATTTATCTTAAAACACTTTTAACTTTAGGAAAGAAAAAAACAGTACACTTAGTTTTTTTTGACTAAACAAATTATGGATGCCGGCTTTGTGAAAGCAGAAATCACAAATGTGCCAAGAATTGACGCATTGATTGTTGGTGAATTTGTTGCACTAAACCCCGATTTCTGCTCTGCGGAGCAGAGAAACGACAAGGCATCTATGTAAGTACAGTGCATTTAGTATTACAATGTAGTAATAAACATAAAACTGATACAACATATGAATAAGTGTAATAAAGTTGCGTAGGTTAATTTCTTTCGGCACTTTAATCCACAACTTTCATGGAGTCTTCAAGGATGTGTTTTTATATTCTCGTACAATACAATAATGATAATTACATTATTTTTCGTGGTATTTATTAGAAATCATGTTTTTTTTTTATTATAAACTCAGTTAAAAGTAATTTTCTACGTGTTTACGAGTTTTTGTTTACCACAGTTCACGTCATAGCATAGACAATCTATAGACTAAAATGGCCGACAGCGTTTTTGTATGTCCATGAAAAGTCTATTTTAAAATTAAAGATTTGTAGCTTTCTAGGTTTAAAAAAAATACAATACATTTTTTTTCGGTCTAATAGAACATTTATTAACCATTTAAAACCTTTTTCCAAAAAGGGTCAACTAGCCTATTATCATAAATGCCAAATTGGTGTTGGTTCTTAGGCCAATTTTAACATTGTCCTTTGGCACGATTATTAAGAAGTCGGTTCAACATATAGGCTACATATGATCACGCTATCACCTACGGGGAACGAGCAGTGAACTTTTATTTCTAACTAACTCCACGCGTACGAAGTCGCGGGCGGCCGCGAGTATAACATAGTTATTCGTTTTAAACATTACGATTGACGTCCGGTATCGAGAACGGTGAATGAATGCATTGCAAAATACGCGCCTAAAACTTGCGTAGTGTATTATTTCGCACCTTATTTCTAAAAAATCCAGTATTTTTGCAGTAGTCTGGCCTTTTGCCTTTGTGTTTAGTACTACATAATAAATAATAACTGTTAGTATTAATAATTATGCAGACTATGTGTGTAACAGTATAATATAATGTGTACGAAACTTATACGTTAAAGTTATACTTACGCCGAAATAACGCATCCATCGCATGATTAGCACTGTTCTGAAAGTCGTGATAAGAGGGCCTGAAAGCAAAAAAATAATATTGTATTTTTTAAAATGGTTACATAGAAAATATCCTTTCAGCCATTGACGGCCGACTGTTTCTATCCAAAATGTGTAACCAGTTACAAAAAAAAATCTTACTTATTACCTGTTACAAAATAATTGAATACCAGATAATGATTTATTTGAAATAGTTAGTCCGAAAGAATTTCTGTGCTTTTTTGTAGCAATTTACACCCAAAGTAGAAAGAATAGAAAAAACATCAGGAATTTAAAAATAAGTAAATATATCCAACACTCACACCAATTAGCCTAGCCCCAAAGTAAGCACTATAAGACTTGTGTTATGGGATACTAGGGTAACGGATAGAATACATATACTGTATATATATAAGTATATTTATATAGAAATACATATTAAACATCCATGACTGGAGTACAAATGTTCGTATTCATCACACAAACATCTGCCCCCACCGGGAATCGAACCTCTCAAGTCGGCGACACCATGAAACCCGGCGTACTAATCACTCGGCCACGGAGGTCGTCTAAAATAACCTTTTTGTTAAACTTTCTTACAAAAAAAAATGTATTCTATGCGTGTAACGGAGAACAATCTTCTTTTGTGACAATACCTAGACAAAGAAACTTCTCCAGAATTTATAATTCAAAACCTATTCCTGTTATACTATTATACTAAATACTACCTTTTGGTTGTGTTGTTTCTGTCGCTGAGTAAAGTTCCAGTTCTCCACGGGGTAGGGGATTGGATCCGGGTAGGCAACAATTTCTCGCTCCCCCAGTGGTTTAAGGATGCGTAATAGTAGGGGATTTTTGGATTTACTCGAGCGCGGCAGAATAACATATGGGGAGCAACCTTGCATCTAGTTAAGTACTTCCACCATACCTGAGCCTTCTATGTAGGGTCGAACGTCTAGGGCAGCAATAACAAAATATCAACGAACGATCATAACTTTCGGTCGCGCCCAAATCGTCAGTCTTTTAATATAAACTACTAGAGGGTTCATGTAACGTTTCTAAGAACGGAAAAAATATTGATCTGCCGCGGTTTGCATGATATGGGGGTGGCCGTACGAAGGGGTATAATATAGGAAAAAATAACCAAGCGCGTCAGACATTGAGAAGGGATGTTACGTGAACCCTCCAGTAGCTTCTATTCAAAAGACTGACGATTTGGACCCGAATAAAACTCATGGCTGTTTGTTGAAATTTTGTTTTTGCTGCCCTAGACGTTCGGCCCTACATAGAGGACTCAGGTATGGTGTGAGTACTTAACTAGGTGCAAGGTTGCTTCCCATATGTTATTCTGCCACGCTCGAGTAAATCCAAAAATCCCCGCTTGGGCTCCCCTACTATAAGGCATATCCCAGACATTAACAAAAAAAAGGTAGGCAACGGTGCGAGTGATATTTTTGGTATAGCAAGTGTTTAGATATATATATTAATAAATTACATTGAATTTTTTTATTTTGAAACTTGACGCCGCCGTCTCTCCCACTTCCTTCTAATCCTCTCCATCCAAAGGTTGTCTGGAAGAGATCGCTTTTAGCGATAAGGCCGCCCATTGTAACACTTAATTTAAATGGCTCTGAATTTATTGTAATGTGTGTGTAATGTTTCTGTGGTGTTCAATAAAGTGTTTTGTATTGTATTGTATTGTAGTGTATTGTATTGTATAGACGTGTATAGAGGAATAGGCTAGTTGACTCATGTCGAATTGTATTAAATAAATGTTTATTTCTTAAAGTATTTGGTCTAAGGAACCTAAATATATCGATTTTACTTCATAAAAGCAGAAGATTGCTGTAGAAATTTAATTTAAAAAAATATTTTTTAGTCTATATTTTTTAAACACTAAAAACGCTGTTCGCCACATCCGCCATGATTCTGACGTCTCATATGGTAAACAACTAAATGTCATTCGCGTGTTACTGTGGGTGGATTCTTTCGTCTGACTAAATTTATCTTAAAACACTTTTAACTTTAGAAAAGTTTCCGTTTACTGTTTTTTTTTTTGAAAAAACTAATTATGGATACTCGTTTTTTGAAAACAGAAAGCACAAATCTGCCAAGAATTGATGCATTGATGTCGGTGAATTTATTGCACTAAACCCCGATGTCTGCTCTGTGGAGCAGAGAAACGACAGGGCATCTATGTAAGTACAGTGTATTTAGTATTACAATGGTGTCGATTCTGTCATGATTCTCTAAACTTAAAACTAAATTTAACATCAGTCTCTCCTTTTCATTCTGTATAGAGAATGACAAGGATATACTGCTGTCAAATTTAAGTTTAGGTTTAGAGAATCATGCTAGAATCGACACCAATGTAGTAATAAACATAAAACTGATACAACATATGAATAAGTGTAATAAAGTTGCGTAGGTTAATTTCTTTCGCACTTTAATCCACAACTTTCCTGGAGTCTTCAAGGATGTGTTTTTATATTCTCGTACAATACAATAATGATAATTACTTTATTTATCGTGGTATTTATTAGAAATCATGTTTTTTTTTATTATAAACTCAGTTAAGTTATTTTCTACGTGCTTACGAGTTTTTGTTTACTGCAGTTAACGTCATAGCATAGATAATCTATAGACTAAAATGGCCGACAGCGTTTTTGTATGTCCATGAAAAATCTATTTTAAAATTAAAGATTTGTAGCTTTTTAGGTCTTAAAAAAATACAATACATTTTTTATCGGTCTAATAGAACATTTATTAACCATTTAAAACCTTTTTCAAAAAAAGGTCAACTAGCCTATTGGTGGCTGCTTACAATCAGGCGGGCCATACGCTTGTTTTCCACCCTTTTAACATAAAATAATTTACTTTCTTTTAAGTTATTAAGTAATTGTGTTTTTTACTGACTCGATTCCGTGAAGAGAGCACGATGTAAAGTCGGTTTACGGACGATAATTTTACGTGATAACGTGTCGTTCGCTGTTTACCTCGGGGCAGTTTTAAGGGTTTTTTTTCCGATTCGTTTGAGCCCACGAATGCATCTGTAGCTCTATGGGGCCTGAGTTAGGCTCCGCTTTAGGGCAATCAGGGGATCAGGGGCCCACTCGACTTCACCTCACACACAAAACGGAACGTGAACCTTTTTCGTGCGTGCAGCCGGCATCGATTTATAAGAAAGACGTTATCATGTCCAAATGGTCAATCTTTACTAAGTAATTTACTTAGAGTATGTGCGGAAAGAGAATGGCCTGGCGGGCATGGTGAAAAACGGAACTAACATTAAGATTTTTATTTGGCAATCCAACCCAGCAATATGTAAAACGTCAAAGTTTTGAATTGATACGGATTTGTTTGTTGTTGTGATTTCTTGCGGTTTTTTGTATTTAATCATGTCTAAAAGGGGTAAAACCTTACAAATACGGTAAGTAGTAAAAACACTACAGCGCCCTCCAATCTAAATCCCATTCTCTTTCCGCACAGACTACAAGTTTTTTCAGTATCGATGAAGAAGGTAAGTGTGTATTGTAATATATCATGTAAAAAGAAAAGGCATATTTACCCTTGACCGGTTCCAGTATCCCAAGACCTCCTTTCCCCGTATGGTGATTTCGATGTACCCGTATACGTGTACCTATTTTTGGTACCGGAATAACCAGTTTTGGTACCAGCGTAACCCGTTTTAGTGCCAGAATAAGGGTTTTTGGTGCCAGAGTAACCCGTTTTAGTGCCGGAATAGTTGTTATTTGTTCCATATGAAGTTTTGGGGTATTTTTGGTTTTTCAGATATGCCGGAACATAAGACGGCGCTTGTACGTCAGATTGTCTGAAAATGTTTTAAAGGAAATCTTGTAAAGTTTGCAAATAAAGAAAGTTACAGAAGATCTGACGAAAAAATAAATCATGTAATAGATAGCATTTATAATTATATTTTTTAAGCTTTTAACTGCTAGATGTTTAAATCTAAAGAAAATTTTGCAGACCAGGCAGCAAACGGGACTCGATTCCGTACCCTCCACTATCCGGCCGGATCGGTTTTCGAATTGCCGATCGTCCGTCTAGTCAACAATACCGATCAATCTAATACCTATCTTAGAGAGGTGTTTGGAATATTTCGTCACCACTCTGCTTGGGCTAAATCAAGCCGTTCCTTGATTCCTAAGTTTCTATATTTTGATTGTTAATTATACCGAAATGCTGACATTTCAGAAGTGTTGCCAATGAGTAAACATTCCTATAATCTTTGTAATCTGTGAAACAGTCTAGTCTAGCGATATTAAAAATAATCTTTCTGACTGACTTCAACATTGACTGGTAATGTTTAAATGGTAATCAATATATTATTGGAGTTACAGAAAGGAAATTATTTCTTTCTTCCACAGGTATCCTTGTCCACTATTCATAGGTTACAAACCCTTTTTTACCCGACTGCTCAATGCAGAGCGCGAAGCGCAGACAGGGTATAGTGTTCGTAATTACTTAATAAAAAAATAAATAAAAGTCCAGTAGTTAATAATTCTGTTAAGTAAGGAACAAAGCTACTTTAACAGTCGTGACCCAGTTTTGAAAACAAATGTTCCATTATAGAATATCTAATGGGTCCCGACTGTTAAAGTAGCTTTGTTCCATACTTAACAGAATTATTAACTACTGGACTATTATTAAGTCTTTTTTAAGTAATTTTTAAGCAGTCGGTTTTTTTGATTTTTTAAATTTAGGTTTTTTAGTAAAACTGTAACATTAGATACAGGATACATATCTAGGTAGGTACTTTTAAGAAATCAAAAACAAGCATAAATTGAGAGTTTTCTCATAATCGGTACGTTTTGCCGAATAGTCTCCAACTACAAAAGATGCCGAATAGTCGTTTTTCCAGACTACCCGGTGGCTAGCCGGCCCATGGCCGGTCTAGTACAACGATTTTACATGTAATGTAACCAGTACCAAAGCCATATTATGCATTCCGCTTCCGTAGTAAGTAGGAGCTCGAATTAATAAAATATTAGTGACCAACCCTATGACCGGTTATTGCAAAAGTCAACAAAAGTTGCAAAACTTGCACGATTGCAGACCCTTACTATATTTAAAGAATTGCATAAAAAAACATCCATCCATTCCATCATTAATCTATACCTACTTTATTTCGAAATTCTTGAAGAAAATAAATTCAATCATTACACTTAGTCGTGATAGCTACTAAGGAAGCCTTGTTTAATTCCGTGGCTAAACAAAATGCAAGTAAGAATACTATTAAATGAAGATATGATAGAATATTTATTAAAAACTAAGATTTATGGATAGAAAAATTGTATTCATTAAAAAAAATGCTCCCACCAGGATTCGAAACCTTGATCTTACACTGACCAGCTAAGGGAGCCCATAACGGGAACGTCCCTGAATGCAGCTGTTCGATTACCTTATGGGCCGAGATACTAAGAAGAAAGCAAAAAGAAATGCATCTAGAGTAACTTTACTTACGCATCTTGTCCTCCAGAATAGCCACCGTCGCAAAGCACAATCCCGTATAACAAAATAAACGTGTGTTTAACTAAACGCATTTTGGTGTGAACATTTATGTGTCCATGTATTAAAAATGAAAATAATATTTAATTAAGCATGTAGAAATTGTTCGCCTGCTCGGATGTCACGAGCTAGACTGGATTCTGTATGGTATTACGTTATTATGTTATCTGGACGTACATAAATCAGGATATTATTCACTAACTAGGTAATTATCTAGAGATGGGCAGTAGGAAAAAACCGGGTATTTATGTGGGAAAAAACCCAATAGACGGGTATTTTCATTATTAAACATAATTATCACGATCTTAATTTTTTTTTTATTTTTAGAACAAATGTAGCGAAAAATAGGTACTTTGCTGTGGCGAAGCTAATATATTTACATTCAAGCACAAGCGGACATTGACGTATACGTTAATGCAAGCGACATAATTAAATTGCGCGCTTTGTAAAAATATTCTTTAATATGCTGGATACAAAATACGCAATGCATTTGATATCGCGCATACGCACACAGATCCGCACCGTAGTAGGCTGGATAGGCCGCTTATCATATTGGGACTTCAAATAAATAAAATGTAAGCACTTCACGCACAAATACACATTACTACCACATGCAACCAATCGTCGATATAACAGCGATCTAACCCGATCTTAGATAGCCTGCAATCTTTATTTGTCATGTGTTAAGGCTCCGTTTAGCTTGAAGTTTTCGGCCAATCGCAGACACCTGGCGCTCGGCTCTGTTGACCTGACGTAGAGAGGCCATTATTTCGCGCGCATTCGCATGGATAAATTAGCATTCGAATCCGTTCTATGCTTATTTATCTATTGTGATAAGTGATTAGCTTGATTGTGGTATATATGTACTTTAACAGAATCGAAAGTAGTGAAATTTTACTTGCCAAGTGTTGCGTATAGTGTTTGTTTTATTTCACCGTAAAGGTTTGTTTGCTTTTTTTTGTTTCTTACCGTCACGTAGGAGTGGTGGAATTAGTACAAATAGATTGTTGTCTTACAGATTTCCTATTAAATGAGTTAACTTCATTCTCAAAACATTCGTTCGAAAATAAAACGTGGCCATGGCCTTCGGCTCTTTCTACCCCGTAAATCCCTTACTGACGTGATACAATGTATGTACGTAAAATAGAAATAAATTAGCGGTATTTCTGCTGGTTTTTATTTGTGATGATGATGCTGGCCCTTATTTTGGTTCTTTGTTTTTCTATATATTTATTTATAGCACAGTGTGACCTAAACCCGCACTTTACGCACGCTTTTCCGTGACCTAAGTTGCCTATTTCTGCACGGTGTGTAAATGAATTGACCAACTTCACTCATGTAGAATTAGTACATTACGATACGCGTAACTTAACTTTACTATGCCAATCAAGGAATAAACGTTCATGGATACATTGAAATTCTATTTTGTTGTAATGATATTTGATTTTTTCCTTTTGAAATATACTTTCAAAATGGTAATCTGAACCGGAATTCTTTCTTTTCAGAGTTTGACTTGCAGTCTGTATTGCAATTCTTTGTGATTGCAATACATGAATTTTACTTTCAAAACACTAATCGCATCACTCGGGGGGGCCTCCGGCCCCCCCGAACCTCCCCCTCTTGCCCGCGTCCGGGGCGGGTTTATGTCACACTTGCTATAAAATAGTATACGATACTTGTGGCCAAAGTTGTCTATTACTGGACGGCGTTTAGCACCCTCGCTCCGCTCGGGCGCTAACTTCACGCCGTGCAGTAATAGGCAACTTAAGTCACGCGTATCGTAATGTACTGTTATAATCTGTGTATGAGTGACGTGTGCTTTATACGGTTTTTTGAACGCCACTTTTATCATAATCGACATGGACTGTTCATATAATACCAGTGATGTTATGTATGGTGAAGGTGGTGAACACTAACAACTATACAGCAAGCATGTTCTGTCGCATGAAAAAACTGCATACAACGCAACGCAAGCACTATATCTAACATTTCCTTGTCGTTTTGGGAAAGGTGTACTAACACACTATTATAAGGTAAGTAATAAGGTAAAATTTATTGCATGTATTTTTATAAGATATGACAATTTGCTTATTGACGCGTTAGTCGTTTTTTTTGGTCCGGCTTTACCTTTCTTTTTTTTCACCCCACGCCACTGGTACTTTGCGATGCGCACATACTTTGCGACAGCGTTTATAGGACACTAGCTGTTGACTTTGTTCGAAATGTCAAAATGTGTAGCCTGATTCAGGAACTAAAATAAAACCAGCAGTTTAATTTATCAACAAAAAGACGTCTTCAGAAGTCTACAAAACAAAATCCCAGTCCTCAATTAAACTAACATATTAACACAAGTGCGCACAGTACGAAGCCAAAATAACGTGTAAGATAGATCACCAACGAGTACGCCACTGCTACTACCTGCCCCCCCCCCCCCCCCCGCGTACGTAGTTTCGAATTACTTGTCGCTAAGAGTGGATGAACACACAAACAGACAGGTTTTTTTTATTTTATTTAATTAGATAGCATGGAGTATATATAACGTTTTTATTGAATTATGAAATTAAAAAAAGTTAGATTAGCTCTAACTAGTAGTAATAGTAGGTACTTACCATTTGATATATACATGTATCTCCACATTACCTCGATGTTACATATGCTAAATATGAAAAAATCCGAATATTTTCCCACATTGGGGTTTTTTCCGGGTAAAATCCCATCTCTTTATAGCATCCTTTTATCTTTAAGCTGATGTTTGACTGAAACATGCCAATCTGATTTCAGCTTACAACTTATATTGGCGAATTAGGATTAACTACCTTTTTAAACAATCGATGAAATAGATAAATTTTTCAAGAGTCAATATATTTGGAAAATTTAAAAAAACATTCGTTATGCAGTTAAATATTTTATTTGGGATATTGGCATTACGATTGTTAGACTTTTGCCTGCGCGTTTTTTTTTTATTTTTTGCATTGTTACCGCCAAAATTGAATATTTAATTTTTTTTATTTTAACACATTTCTCTGCCAATTGTACTAATAGGAGGCGTGTAAAATTGTGAATACCTATTTGTTTTGTGGTCTCGGAGTTGTGGAAGTTAACTGAGTGTGCAGTTCTAGTTAAAAATCTGACAAAAAAAGCCCGAAAAGCCATAATCATGCAATTTCACAGTACAAAACGATTAACTAAAAAAAACAAACGGGTACGTGTGTACTCATTGCTTTGACCGATTTTATTACAAGTATGATATAGAAAAACCAATAACTACTTTTATTACAACAATAATACTGTTGGAGTCTGTGCGGAAAGAGAATGGGCGTGGCGAAAAACGGAACTAACATTACGATTTTTATTTGGCAATCAAACCCAGCAATCTAAAAATCAAAATCAATCAATCAAAATCTAAAATCTAAAACGTGAAAGTTTTGTATTGATACGGATTTGTTTGTTGTTGTGATTTCTTGCGGTTTTTTGTATTTAATCATGTCTAAAAGGGATAAAACCTTACCAAACCGGTAGAAAAGCACTACAGCGCCCTCCAATCTAAATCCCATTCTCGTTCCGCACAGACTCTACTAGAAGGCAGATATTTATTAGATATTGCTCCTATTTGGTCGGTTTTGTTTTAACATGTAGTCAAAGACTCATTAATAAAATATGTATAACTAGCTGTGCCCTGCGTTGTTACCCCCGGTTTATTAGGGATATTTTCCCGTTAAACGTAGCCTATGTGTTAATCCAGGGTGTCAACTAACTCCATACCAAATCTTATTAAAATTGCTCCAGCCGTTTAGACGTGAAGAAGTAACAAACATACACACTCACAAACTTTCGCCTTTATAATATTATAGTGTGTTTAACTTAACTTTTATATTTCTTTAAGCATAACAAAATTAAAAAGAGGTTGATGGAAATATCGTTGAAAGTGGACCATTACATTTACAAGAACAAGCCCATATCAGCTGCTGAAGCTTCATCACATTACTTAGAAGTTATGTCTTTTCAAAGTCTTTGCAGACACGATAAGCGATCACTTCAGGTACCTACTTATCTAAGGGCGATTTCAGACTAGCGTTTTATACGCGCGTATAAGCTCGTTTTTGAAAGTGTATGTAATCGCGTATAGGCGCACCTTTGGTCACACGCGCAACTCGTACGAGCGTTGACGCGCTTGTAGGCTCGTATATGCACGAGCCGCGAGAGACACCACTACCGGTTGGAGCGAACACGCCGAAATATGCTCGTGTATGCGAGTACGAATTTTTGAAGCGCGCAATGTAGCGCGCGTGAAAGAGCGTATGCCGAAACTGTTCAACAGGGCCTGGATCGAATGCAGCAGCGTGGGATTGTTATATTGATATTGGTGTGAAACGAAAAATTGTATGATGGCGGCACACGTTTATTCTTGCAGGGCACAAGGTGGAAAAAGGGACGACAGTCACATCTTATAGGTTAGGCAAAAAGCTAGATAGACCAACATAACTTACTTCCTACATAGACAATCCTTTACACTCTTTTTCCATAAAAAGTAAAGCAAAGGATTATACAACCACAGAGTATATAGTGTACTTAAGTTTAACATATAACAATATATCTTAACAGAAACGACTGTATACGCGCAGAAAAAAACGCTAGTTTTAAACCGCCCTTACTCCAATGAGGGTTTTTTTTTTTATATTACTAGGTAGGCAAATGACTCTACCCCACCTGATGTTAAGTGGTGATAAAGTCCAAACGCGAAGATAGCTGGTACAGCAGTTATTAACTGCTACACCAACCATCCTCACCTTGCCGGCCCGCAAAAATGAAAATGGGTTTTCTGGAATGACGGGCACCAGGTGGCAGCACTGAGACGAAAGGTCTACAAATCCGTCAAATCGCACATGTGTTCAAAGTCTATGGATCAATTTAAATGCTCGGTCGATTAGCTCGCGCCAAAAACTTTATACAAAAGACCTCACGTCACAGTGGCGCCAACTAGTGACTTAACGTTTTGCATATGTTTTATATCATAGAATAATATTAGGTAAGCACTGAATTTCGGCCATATCCGGTCATCTCACCCAGCCTTGTCCGGTGATGAGTGGATTTTATATTAATCATATTTTACTGCAAATATTTTTAAGTTAAAAAAATGATTTTAAAATATTTAAAAATTTAGATACTTACAAACCTACACTACACACTACTTAAAAATATGCAC